CTACTTCAATCCCGTACCTTCCCCGGTCCCACCCATTTCCCCGGCCGCTTATCGGAAGCCCGGGGAATAAGACGACCAAGCAAATCTATTTCCTTTTTTCTTTCTTTTTGCTTTTAAATTTTTTTTTTTACACTTCTCTTCTTTTTTTCTAGCGACTTCTTGCGTCTCCATTTAAATCTCTTCGGCTGCCTATTCATCAGCACGTTCGGGCCCAGAAATATGCTTGACTCGGATCCTGTCGTGCATGTACATTACATACCTAATCTAATGCATAGACTTGCTGCACCACAGACCTTACATATCGCCCAAGTGACTTAACGACGCCCCTGCCGTGCTGCCTATGTCCTCAACGTTACATACCGAGGTGCTTACCGCCACATCTCTTCGCATCTTACGTATATTTCCAGAATAGCGTATCAACCCCCACAATACGTACCCTACCGCAACCATCCTCCGTCCCTATTGCAGTGGGCGACTTGATACATAATCCTACGCGGCATTGTGAACGGGGAAATCCTAGCAACTCTTAAAGATACCAAGGTTATCAGTGGATCCTGGCGCTGACTGTTATCTTGGAGCAATCTTGGGTAAGACCTATGTATCTCTCCGGAGCCGCGTCAGTCTTACGGCCTCTCAGGACTAGTCATCCCACCACGTCATAGGATATGCTGAACGCATGGCACGTCGCGAGGGGAGTTCGATTACGAATAACGGCTAAATCTGTTACTACCTAAGCTACATAATATAAACGGATAGACTAAGCACCTTGTTAATATGAGCAAACTGTTGTCCCGAAGCACATCTAGCCGTCTTACTGTAGACTTGAAAAGAATGTTTATGAGGTGAGAAGTAAGAAGTTTATAGTGTGGATTTGACGAGAGTTATTCAAGTGGATTATACGAGTAATGACTAGTTCTAGTTCGAAGACGATAGAAGCACAACCTAGGAGTAGCCAAGATTCCGGTAAATGTTAGTATGTATTGTCGTATCTCTTATGAAATAATATACTATACTCAACGAGTACTCGTCTGATATAATCTTGGATATAAACTTAAGTCTTGGTTACTGACAGATATGTATGTAGATTTATAACTTGTAGAGGTTACAGTACTAAGTCATCTCTTATTAGAGAGAGCGAGAAACGCTCATCGCCCACCAAATTAATATGTAAATTAATATTTAACCCGTAGCTCTTTAAAGCTTACTATAAGCAGAAGTACTATATCACGATGAGTCTGTACTCGTATTTGTTGATTTGCAACTACCTAGGCTACAGGTTGTCTCGATTCTACTTAAGGGGAAGACATGTATATTCTATATTCGCTATTAATGACTTTTCTTTCCCTATTGTGGGCGTATATTAGAGACTAAGGTCAGATATCGAATTTAAGCCACTGGTATTCTTTGGATTGAATTATCACATTTGGTCTGTAGCTTTTTAAATATGTTATATATCTGGCTCGGGGTATGCCACTTTCATTTTCAAAGGATAAGGTAGTAAAGCTATGTGGAGCGCATCTTCACCTCGCTATGAAAATAACTTGCATTATCTATTCTTATGAAAAACCCATTGAATTACTTATATTTTAGAATCATTTATACTCATATGCAATGTATTGAAGTTTATTCTAGCTATCTATTTTAACCTCAATTGTATTTAAATAGCCAGCTCCCCCCTATTCGACGGCCAAGCAGGATATTTGATGGCTCTTGTAATTATAGTAATAATGGAACTTATTAGACATTCCTAGTTGGGAGACATAGATAGTCTGGTAGTTATACGATGCTTTCTACATATGCTCCTTTCTTTCACAAGCTCCCGGATCTCACTAAGAATGCCTTGTAAGTTTCGTGGCAGAATGCCCAGTAGAGGCTTCAACACTCATCACTTGGCAATGCAGCGAAGAACGTAAGAAGTTGAGTTCGTACCACCATAAGCATCCGGACACCACCTTTAGAGCATCGTAGAAGAGCCTCAGCTTAACAGTTCCCTGCGCTACGGCTATATTTAGCTTCTTAAACTTATACCAAATGCTAAATTCATGGCGTCGATCATGTGTCTTAATATACTGCAAACTAGTGATAGATATCAATACGAACCTCTTAAATTGAATTCTTAGAAATAGAAAAGGGGCTTCTGTGAAGAATATAAGATGTAACTTAACGGGTTCTAATTGGCTAATATTCTGGGCTTTTATGTAGAGGATCTCGTTATTAACGCAGGACATGCCGAACTATCCAGGTACCTAATATTCGTAACCAATATCAGAGTCCCTATAGCTCCCCAATCTACCCAATCTACCCGAAACACCTCTAGGTATTAATCTAAGCTAGCTCTAGAACCACCCGTCCGGATCGCTGATTACCATTCCCATGCCCTGCTACCTTACCATACCGTGGTACCTACCTCCTTATAAGGCTGAATGTAAGATATAATTAGGTCCGTGTTCGTACGTTGCTACGATACGCATGTAAGTCGTGTAAGTCAAGTACCTAAGGTAGGTACCTAATGTATATACGTGTATCCGCGTCTAGAAGACCACACAGATTATATTAATATAGCTAGCCCTATACACAACAGCTGCATGATAATTATATTGCCTTCTCTACCACCTACATAAGTACCTTGAATAGACATGTAACTGCAGCCGGAACCCTTGTGCGCCGGTATGTCGCTACCACCATATCGGGTCGTATATGCCGTGCGCCACACCACGTTTACGGTGGACTATTAGTCCAACTGTGCCAAAATCAAGAAAGTCGGTTGTATTATATTTAATAAGGTAATAGTAACATTAGGACTATAGTATAAGCTCGGCTATTTCTACTATATACACAATTTATATGGTAATATATATTTTTTATATGAAATAACTTTATAAATATACGTTTAAATTATTTAAAAATAGTATTAATATTTTCATTAAAAAAAAACAAAAATTTCAACCTAAGTTTTATATAATTCAACCTTAAATTTGTAAAGATATTAGAAAATATAAGCATTATTAAATATATTACGAGTTATTTTTCCTTTTCTTATAAACTAAAAATAGTAACTAATTAAATTTAACACTTACTTTAATTTTAAATATAACTATTTTATATAAATACGTATTTACCATAGGTATAATTATAGGATATAACTTATATATTACAATAATTTCGCAAATATACTATTTTAAGATTTATAATTGGTATTATTTTATAGCTTTAATTAATGCGAAAATAATAGTTTTAATTGTATTATTATAAGTTTTTAAACTGGCATGTTGTATTAATATTAAATAAATGTTATGCGAAAAAAATAATAAACCTTTTAAAACTAGCACGTGATACCCTTTAAGACCACCACTTTGAAAAAATATTTATAACAATAAATAAATTATTTAATATATATTTTATAAACATACAAATTAAACTATTATTTTTACATTAATTAAAGCTATAAAACGATATTAGTTATAATTTTTAAAATAAAATATTTATAAAATTATTTTGGTATAAAAATTGTATTATATGTATACCTATAATAAAAATAATAATAAATATTATATTTTAGGTATTTTAAGATACTGTGCACTTAGCGTTGTTTATTAAATTACCCTTTTTGGATAGCTCCTATCCATTTTCTTGATTTTGGCATAGTTGGACTAATAGTCCACCGTAACGTTTCTGCATATCCACGGGTGCGGGTTCGGGTTTGGGTTCGGGCGGGATATGGTTAGGTACCTTACCTATAAGATTCCTCTTCCTGCCTACCTATTATTATACTTACCTACCTCCTACCTACATGTATAATTGTATAATTCCCCAGGCTTACTTACCCTTTGACAAGAGGCGTTGCAGAATTGTTCGCATGCGGGTTACGCTGCGCTGCTACGTTACTATATCTTCTTAGGTACCTCCTAACTTACCTTATGTACATACCCGCCTGTGCATATCCCCTTTTTCTTCTTTTCCCGCTTCTATTTTACGCCTACATACTAGAACACACCCCTCCCCCAATCACCACCGTCGAACATCTCATCTCACCTTACCTCACATAAGACGCACCTAAAAATCCCAGCCCCCCCGGATTTAACTCTCACGTTATGACTGGGTACCTCTTAAGGTACCTATACCTAGTTTCATTATCCCTCGCGGAGAAACGCAACATAGGTATAGTCTGCGCCTCAATCATCAAGGCTACCTTACACCACCTCACCCGACTCAGGTAAACGGGACCGCTGCTGGAGAAAATATGGGTACCTAAGTTAACCTCCGTAATTAATATGAAACGGCCCCAGCCCTATCTCCTTTGCTTCTCGGCTTTTTCTCGCGCGTGCCGTGCCGCACCGGCCGACATTTCTATCTATAAGCAAGCAAGCAAGCACGCACGCACGCATCTCGGACTACGCAGAGATTTATATTATATTCTATAGAGTACCTATCTACCTACCTCTTATTATAGCATACGAACATACGTGTCCGCATATTCTCTGAGAATTGCTCCGAATCATGTCGGGGGTTGTTTCGTGATTGACTGGCCCCCGTATTTTAACCCTGTTCATTTCGACGATCAGTTATTATCTGTATATTTCACGGAGGCTAAGATGGATATAGGACTTGAACGATTGCCAACTCAGTATGCTAGGTGGCTATTAATTACCGTGTCTATGTATATATCCATGCTCGAGATAGATAGCCGTCTCCTCCTAGATACAAAGACAGATCTATGTCTAAACGCGGCGCATTTAGACCCCGATGAGAATTGTCTACCTATGCCCTAAACTTAACAAGGTCATCTGAAGACCATTACCAACTCGTCCGGAACTTCCGGAACGTCGGGCCGCCTGCTGTTCTATGCTCTCTTTCTGAGGCTATTCTGCATGGAAGTGAAAAGCGGCATGCTTTATTTCAAATGTACGAACGAACCCTTCTAGCCCGAGCCAACAACCCAGCGCCATGCTTTTCTATACCCCCTACTATTCCTAATATAATCATAACCTCGATCTGCTGAGTCATTCAGGTACTCGACCCTCGAGTCCGGCAACGGTAGCAAGGTTAACTTGGCTCAGTTGCTCGTGCGCCTCGCCACTCAGTCCAACTCCGGCGAGGAGAGCTATCGACTCCACAACATCCTCGGGCTCCAGCATGTGCCACTTAGCCAATGTGACCTTTGTACTGGCACCGACGGTAACTGTGAAGACGTGGCTCCTATCGACTTGTGTGCCACTAAGACCGTTCAAAGCCCTGAACATGTCTTCGTCGGTGAAATCGTCACCCATACACAAGACGAATTCTAACTTTCCTTCTTTGCCCTTGTCGTTTTGCTGCCCAGGGGCTATGTGTGCAATATCGGAATTATAGTCATTAACCAGGCGTTTGGCGATCTCGCCTTTGTTGATGAAAGTAGGTCGTACTTCAAGGTTAGCCTTGCCTTTCATTACATCGACCTCCCACTTCTTGACCACGGTCGACTCAAGTTCCTTATGTAGTGCTAGAGAGGCATGGACGCCCTGTTCGGGATCGGCCTGGCGATAATGCCAAGTCAACGCGCATCGTTTACGCTCGATGAATGAGCCTGAAAATTATTAGTTAGTGGGGTTTATAAACCATGATTATACGGAGAGAGCTTACCGGGCACGCGATCGGTGTACTTTTGGAAGACTTCGACCACGTCTGTCTGCCAGCCCATGTCCAACTTCTCTGCCAGGTTCTCCCAAGACGTGCTGCCAGGGTGTCTGATAAAGCTTCCATGTTCCGCACTGAAACCCAGTTCTGGAATATGACCTAGATGCTGCTGCAGGAAATCCTGGTCTCTGCCTGAAATAATCCAGACAGCATTGTGGTGGTCTGCTGCAAGGGCCTTCAAGGTTTGAATAACGCGCTCCGAAGGAACAGCAGCCTGGGGATCCCTAACAATTGGGGTAAGTGTACCATCATAGTCGAACATAAATAGACGCTTATTGGCCTGGCGGTACTGCTTCAACATTAGTGTGCGGTCCAACAACGGCGTGACATTCTGGTTCTTAGTTGACGCCAGCGTGCCGACGAGCTTGCGTAGGAATTTTGTGATCCAAACTTGAACGTTCTGAGTCGTAACGTGGCGGTAGAGGCTCGATTGCATCGCCATGCGCTTTTCGGCGGACATGGTGAGAGCGTTATGAATTTGGTGGGCAACATCGGTAAGATCCCAAGGGTTGATATGTATGGCGTCGCGTAGGCTACCTGCAGTACCGCTGAACTCCGATAGGATTAACGGACCATGTGTATCACGCTGGCAAACGACATATTCCAAACTGGTAGTGTTCATGCCGTCTCGGACCGAGGTGATAAGGCCGATGTCTGCTGCTCTCATCAATGCGAAATATTCCTCCGGTGACAAGTATTGCGGATAGTGCTGCACCGGTGAAAATCCCAGGCTTCCATACGTGCCATTAATCCTCATGACCAGCTCGTTGACTCTACTGGCTATCTTATTCTCCGGTTCATCTCCCCCTTCTTCAATTGTGTTTGGGGATGTAACCTGTACTAGAACCACCTTCTCTCTCCAATCAGGATAAAGCTCAAGGAATCTTTCGAATGCCATAAGCTTTTGGGCCACACCGCGGACACTATCTAGTCGATCACGCCCTACGATGATTTGCTTGTCCTTGTAGAGATCCTTTAGAGCCTTGTACATATCCGAAACTTCTTTAGACCAAGCCAACTGCTCTACCTTGGTTACGTCAATACCGATTGGGAAGACGCCGACTTCAACCCGGGACCCGTAAGCATCTACACCAACAGAATCCGAAGGGAAGTCAAGGATACGGGTACAACAGCTCGCAAAGTGGCGCGAGTAGCTGTACGATTGGAAACCGACCAGGTTGGCGCCAAGCATGCCTTCGAGAACCTCCTTTCTCCGCGGTAGGCATCTTAAAAACTCGCTACTAGGGAACGGACAGTGAAGGAAGAATGTGATGTACATGTTCGGTATTCTTTGCCGCAACATGCTAGGAAGTAATAGTAGATAATAGTCATGAATGACGACGATATCCCCGGGTTTATAGGCCTCAATAATCTTATCAGCAAATTTCAAATTGGTACGGAAGTAGTCGGCCCATTCGATCCGTTCCGCGCGGCCATCGTTAGGTTCGTGTTGCTTGTAGTGGAATAAGGGATATAGCGTGTGTTCAGCATACCGCCGCCATCGCCCTTGGTTGTTTAATGTAATACCCTCGTCAGTCGTCTCGTTATCGTCGGCGAGCCACACGGGAATTGCTTTGATGCGCCTATCATGGGATAACTGCTGTTCTAGCTTCAATTGGCTTTCGCGCGTAATCCATAAGCCGTCAACCTCAGGGGGTGTTGGCGGCGTTTCTCCATCTAATGGTATAGGAGCAGAAAGATGGCTCAGACTCGGAATATTAGTAGTCGTATCGGGGATTGCCTCCGATACGGATGACAAGGATTCGGAAGGTGATTCAATCTCGCCCGTCCATGCAACTACAGTATGATTCCAAGGCGCTTCATCGGACGACAGGTAGGAGAAGGAGTCGAAAAGGGCAGATTGGCCGCGACGATGATCCAATTCCTATCTAGCGTTAGTTTTACGATGTTTCTATTTTTTATGCTAGATCAAACTAACCCATTCGCCATTCTTAAGGTATTTAAGAGAGTAAGGTGTTGTAAAAGTAACCGAGATAATGTTACCGCTGAGAGCTAAGTCAGGGGCAGCAGCTCGAATTTCCGAAATAGACTCTCTTCGCCCCTTAGTCGAGATACTCATCCGCCGTAAGACTTCGTGGTCTGAAGTAGCACCTTTTACTAAATTCGTCGGAGAAGATTCGCTTGAATGGGAGTTTGTCGGAGGCGGTTGTGACACACCGCTGCTCTGGTTGGCAGGATCCCGTGTGAAGTAACCTTGGTTCGCGGCCTTGACAGAGTCGCTGCTCGTTTTGGATAGATAAGTCGAGGATTGAATACCCGGAGTTACGGGAACCCTCGTAACAGAATTTCGAAGGTGAGGCGGTAGATCAGGCGATTCTTGTTGAGAACTGCCACCAGTAAGCGACTCGCGGGGGGAGGTGGACATTTGTTCGGCTTCCGTTATAATATTGTTGGTGGCAGCGGTCTCAGTTTCTTGTGCACGTTCTGCCATGATTGTTCAGCTTTGTTTTTCTTAAGGAATTAGATAGTAGAGTAAAGTCGCGATTCCGAAGTTCTAGTAAACAAAGAGATGTAGCGGTGACGCGAGATAAGGGGTAAGGCACAGGGCTATAGCAACAATTGGTAGATTAGAGGGGTCGTTGGTAGCGAGGGATAATGTTGACGGTGGCTCTTATTACTAGACGAAGGACCACACCGACGGGGCAGTCAAGGCTAGGAAGAAGGACGTGGAAAAGAGGATTAGGTATACATTGGCAAGATCAAATAACTAAGAGCAACATTAAAGGTAAAGTAGGGGGAAGTAGTGGAAGAATAAAATCTAGAAGGCCAGAACGGCATAGACTCATAGCGGGGCAATCATCGTCGTCGTGATAATTGGTTTATTCTAGCTTTAGGTATGATAGTGGGGCAATAGAAGCAAAGTGATGATACCTGATAGTGATTTATTGATAGGCGGGAGGTGTGGTAGATGTAACCGGGAGGTTTTGCTCCTAGTCGATGTGGGCTACTTTGACCGTCCTGACGACGAACACAACCCACTCTCAGCGAGCAAGGCCAGCCTCGAAGTGATCTGATCTCGGTCTTTCTTCGTCCCCGGATTCAAACTTGGCGGTTCTAGATACGGGGCTCAAAGTGGGCAGATCAAACATGTAGGTGTGTAGGTTGTGTAGGTGGTGTAGGTACAAAGAAGCATGTGGTTATTATAATAAATGAACCATAGAGAAGACTCAAATAAGGAGGATGGTCGAATAAGAAGCACGTAATACGAACAATTAGATGAGCTAGCCTATTATAAGTTTGCAAAACTCCCCAGACGAGGTGATTGCGTTAATTGCAGATAATTGCAGATAATTGCAGATGTATGTATTTCTATGTGTTCGTTTCGGTAGTGGGGTAAGACTTTGTGAGCCTGTGACGCTGGCACATGCTGAAAGACAGGCTGGGAAGAATTTGTGGAAGACATCATCATGGACAAGGAAGAAATAGAAAAGCATGGAAAAGCATTGGCCAACGGGGGACCCCCGGACTAGTTGGCAAGCTAACTCGGGATTGGTACGTACCTCAAACCAATGACGTATTAGACATGTAACACCTAAGCAAAAAATAGCCTAAATGTGACTTTAAGAAAGGAAGAAGCACCGAGGCTGGATGGAGGGTATTTATAGTTGAAAGTAATTCTATGGGGAAAGAAGAACGAACACCACTAATAGACTAGACCTAACATGTATTTGAGCAGAGAATTCCTAGTGCGCAGTACTAAATCTGTAATCAACACGCTCATAAGCGCTATCGAATCGATCACGATTGGACCTTTTTCAACCCTTACCTAACATGCTCAAAAGACAATCATTTCTAATAGAAAACCCGCAATCGGGTATGAGTAACTCACATATTACTATAATAGGTATAACTTCTCCAGATAAACCTACTCTGCTGGTACCGTTCGTATACCTCGGATGGTGTATGTAATATAATCCAAACACCCTGAAAAGAGTACATATCGTAGTATAATGTTGGATTGCGTGTTCGAGACCGGCCTATGTCTCTACTGCAGTGAAACGGCCCGTCTTTGGGCCTCTTATTAGAGGTGTGACTAGGCCGTTAGGCAATTAACTTAACAACAATCTAGTTGTTGTGTAAGTCAAACCGTAAGACCACGATATCGAGAACCCGATAAACTCCGCGAAAAAGCTCTGAAAACAAACACACTTGTTTAATGCATAGGTAAATAATAACCATGTAGCCTTGACTCAATATACATTGTATCGACTCGGCTATATCAAACATTGAGCGATTTTGATTTGCGGGATTACATGCTGTTATTGCTATATGAGGGCATTCACGGCCCGGTTATCCCCGTGGTGCTGCCGAAAGTGCCTTCAATTGTGCACTCTTACATTTGGTTCTAATTATCTTAGCCAATATATAACTCATTTTTTTAACTTTATTATAGAAGATTTGGTAAGGCCATGCGTTAGACTTTGGCATTGCCGACCAACATATTCATAACTATTCTTACGTATTCCCCTGAAAAAAAAAGGGGTTCGCATCAATAGTTGCTCCAGAGATTTCGTTTATAATAGCGACCCATAATTCTAGTACCGCTCCATGGGGTAGGAGCTTGGATTAGGTGTTGCCGTATTGGTATCATCTACCAAGATTTCCGACGACACTACTAACCATCACCGCTACTTCGCGATCCCACCCGCCACTCTTTTCAGTGTCTCCTTTAGGGGTCTTCCCCTTGGCAGCCACAACGGTGCTAGGAGGCTGACTGCCTCGGATAACACATTCTCTGATAGCCTCTCCTACGCTGTTACGGTTCGACTTCAATGTACGAGCTGAAACGCCTCCGCGGTTTACAATCTCTTGAACCCGCGTTGCCAAGCTACTCGCCATAGTCCGCCAAAAGTAAGATGCAAGCGAACCAGTCTCTAGATATGCTAAGAGAGGCTGTAGAAGATTGTATTTATCTAATGCATGCTTATGCGTCGGTAAGAGTGGATGTGCAGGCGCACTTGTTGAAGCTAGGATGATCTCTAAAGCGATTATGTTTTGACATCGCGCAGAGATTTCCGCCAAAGTCCGGTCAAGAGACGGTAGTGTCGCAAGTGACCTGGCTAGCGATGCAACGGAGCTTTGTAATGCGTTGCGTAAATATACCTCGAGGATTTGTAGGAGCAGCTGAGGAGTCCATTTATCAGGCTTCGTGCCGGTGATGGGCGATATGAGGTACAGAGAAATAACGGCTGATATCGTTCGAGCTTTGATCTCTTCGCTCTGTGCAAAAGTGGCCGTCCCTGAAGCGGATCCAATGCTGAATTCTCTAATAATCTGTTCAGAGATGCTTTTAACAGATCTTTCGATTGGGCCTACGACATCGTCCCGTAAACTCTTGATTGCATTGACTTTATCAAGCCCATAGCCTTCCTCCCCTGGTGCTTTCTTGTCGAGTATTTCCCGCAAGGATAAGATAGTATGTGCGCAACGTACTAGTGCTCTATGATCTTCCTTTTTGCTACTACTAGTTGCTGTAGTAGCAGACGTGGTACTAGATATTTCGGCATGTTGGATTTCAAGCTGCCGACCTAACTGAAGACAACGACCAACAGACCTTCCCAACTTCAAAGTTTCCCATAATCGGGCAGCAACTTGACGCACTTCGTCGGCTTCGGCATGCTTTTGTATAACCTCCTTTTCTAGTTGCTTATAGCTCTCGTTTAAGCTCTTAACCTGATTATCGATTTCGGATATGATCTTTCCACTCGCTTCTGTCTGCTCTTTGGTATGCGTTAAAAGAGGGATCGCGGATCGGGTAGTAAGAAGGTCAATATGAGAGTCGACCTCTTGGGCATCGAAAAGCACTTTAGACAATGGTGTTGAGAGGTCTAGGGGAGTATCGTTGGGGTTATTTGTAGCAAGGACAAGGCTGTTAGCAAAAGAAGAGGGGCTAAAATCCGGGTCGAGAAAGGCGTCGTAGTCAACATACGACGCATCATCATCCTCGTTAGTTGCCATATGGGCAATTGGCGCAATTGGGACACGTTAAACGGCCCAATTGCTGCTCAATTACAAAGTTGATGTTGCGAATATTACCTTAAGTTAGGTACCTTAGGTACGTGTTAGTACCCCGCTAATCGATAACCTTTAGCCAGGAAAGTCAAGCCACAAGAAAGCTCGATGTACAGCCACGGGAGCCACAATTATTACCCCCTTTTATTAATCACCAGTGACATAATTTAATCAAGTGTCTAACCAAGAAAATATTCAAACCGCCAATACGACATTGTAAGTATCTTCGCTATATTCAAGATAGCAGTTATGTTATTTAAATTAAATTCAATATTTAAAATGTCGTTTTACTAGACGTCCGGAATTTCTCAAGTTGAAATCCGATTTCCATGTCCTAAGTTCATTAAATATTCGTTCATCATATCCTATCGTCCACCAACTCTCCCGTCTTATTAAATACCGTAGCTCTTAAATGCACCGTCGTTGTTCTTCTTAGCAGCTCCGCCCGCACCGGTGGCACCGCCAACGGTATTTCCGACAGAGTTTGTCACGCCGCCGACAGTGTTGCCAACACCTTCCGTAGTCTGGCCTACGGCGCTTCCAACTCCCTTAGTAGTCGAGTTCAGGCCCTTGCCGAGTCCTTCCGTCGTGCTGCCGACGGCACCGCCGAGACCTCCGAGTAGACCACCTTGGCCATTAGCTTTCTCACCCCCAGTAAGGACGTTGTCGACTCCACCGACTAGACCGCCGAGGAGTCCACCGTTCTGGTTGTTGTTGGACATTGTGAGTTGTGGAGTAGCTGAGTTTTGTAGGTTGTAACTTGGTAATCAAGTGAAGCAAGCGATCAAATTTTTAGTAGTTGTTAGACCGATGGAGATTCTGAATTGAACATAATAAATATATCTGTTCAAACAGCTCGGAACTCGCTTCAATTTATATTATCAAGAGGGCCGTTTCCATTCCTATATTCTCACGAGCCACACTACACAATATGATGTAATACCTCTAGAAATAATTATGCTTACCTGGGCTGCTGGGAATAAACGCCACATGAACGCATACCTTATGTGGCTTGCGTCAGAGCTTCTGAGTTGGTGTGGGTAGAAACTTGTTCCTTTAGGCTTGTCAAACCCCAGAACCAGGATCTAGATTTCTCACGAGCCATTCGTAATCAGGTAGGCTAACTTGCGGCTCGGATACTGATCTCTCAAGAATGGGTTGATTTGCTGATCCGGATCTGCAGGTCTCTTGTAATGACGCTAATAGCCTTAGCGACCGACAACCAGGATCGGGTTGGGACTGGCGTCATCCGTGGAGAGATCGTCGATGATCGATGGATCGAATGATTTTATCAAGATGAAGACGTCAAACAGATCAACCACATAGAGTACTACGCTTCGGTCAGAAAATATTATTGGTTTAATCATAAATTACCACTTCAAATAGTAAGTAAGTAATCATATAATAGAGATATGCCATTAAGAAACTACTCAAAATAGGTAGTGTTACTATCTCCTTTAATAACTTTGATTGATATTTTCTTGTGTCAGATCGATCGCAATCCAGACTATTCAAGCTCTCTGAACTTTCTTCTTACCTACCTACGTAGTCTTACTAATATTCCTTATGCTTCCTATCAATTTACCAAGACGCTCAATAAATAAGAGGAGCAAGATTGCATATTAGTCGTACAGTAGGAGGTCTCAGAACACGTCTGGTCTGGATTTATTTCTTGTAGGGTTGTTACTTGACAAGTACGTTTTCAAATTCAAAAACAAGTTGTTACTACGAACGATATGAAACTTGAAACGAAACAACTTACGGATTTCAGTCAGTTAGCCGTATACTCTGTGACAGGTCAAACGTGAAGAGTTAGATACTTATATGAATCATATCTGTTGTGGTCATGAAACGTTTCAGCAAAATGGAGAGCCCAAGAAACTCATCATACAACCTAGCAAGACTAGAAATAACTAGACAAAATAGAACATAAAGTTGTCTTTAGAGTACCATTATACTTTGAGAGTACCTTAAATGTAAAACAAAGCACATCTAACTCTATAAGAGTATACTTGTTAATACTATAGTACAAGCTAGAAACGGAAATTTATATGCTTTTACGCAAACGTTCTATGTGGTATTTTCTCAATTATATCAGGGACATAATAGCATTATCAAACTCGGCTGTGCTTTTATTTTTATTTTTAGAAAATACTAATTATTTCTTCAACCAAGTATTAAAATACTCTTGGGAACTTAGAAAACAAAGACAAATTCCTCGTTCTGAAGGTCAGTTAGGTTTTCAAATGCTCTTTCGCCAGGCCTTTCCACTTCCTCATTAGAAGCAGCAGCGATGTCACCTTCCTCGGCGTTCCTAGCACTCTTATCCATATCATCGCGAGTTTGTTGTGCCGCTGCCACCTCTGCAGAATCGAGGCTCGTATCAATGATAACAGCACTCTTACCCATAGCTACCCGTCTCTTAGCATGGTCTGCATTAAGAAACTTGAGGTATGTAGTAGTTATTCCGGTTAGTACGATTATTACGATATAGAGCGCTAGGTTCGAACGCAAGCCCTTAGTATAACCTGGCGCTTCTGTCTGTGAGTATAACATCGGGCCGATCACATTTCCCACAGATTGGCCTATAAGAAGTATGGCATTGGTACATTTCTTTTTAGTATCTCCAGCCGTATTTTGAGATGCCCAAGAGTAAATGAGCGGGGCTTTGAAGTATTTGTTAGCATTTGGCTTGGGGACATCTCACTATGGCACTCACTAATTCCCGGATAAACTGATATGAGGTAGTATCCAGCTAAAAGGGGTGCTCGGTGAGAAGCATCTCTGGGAAGCACCATAAGCATCACGCAACCGGCTATAGGTGGTAGGCAAAGCGCGGCGATAACAGGCCCCTTCATCTTGATTTTCTGAGCTACGACAGCCCCGCCAACGGTCGCAACCAGCTGTACGAACCCAAAGGGGATGTTGAAGAGGATAGTCCCGAATGGGTCAAATCCAAAAGTCTTTATGATCAGCGGTCCGAATGTTGAGATCCCACCGGACGGAATACTGATCGAGAATAATAGCGCAAACCAGAGCCATGACTTAGGGTCCGTGAGAGCCTCTTTGAGATGATCGTTTCTCCACTCGCGTGATACCACTCCCATTTGGTTCATGCGCAACCGCTCAACAGCTATTAGTTTATCTTCGTCACTTAAGAACTTTGCTTCTACTGGTGAGTCCGGCATGAAGGCCAACATGACAAAGCTAAATGCAACGGTGATAATTCCGAAAAATAGGAATATGATCTACGCGTTATTATTAGCCTTGGTAGTAGTAAATGGAGTAACATGTTAAAGATACTCAATTACCTGGTAGGAACGTAGTTGCGATGATATGTGGCCTAGGCCGTAGGTGATTAAACTGCCAAACTTCCTCATACTTAGTCAACTCACCCCTTTAGAAGATGCTGGATCAAACTCACCATATTCGTAAAACCATTCATAGCACTATAAGGTACAACGTTAACAATTTTGAACCCATCTTGTACATTCTCAGGGGTCTTCCTCCAAGTCGCGATACACTTATGAAATATAGATGTACCCAATACAAGTCTGCCAAAAGTGACTTGTATCCCCGGCGAGAATATGCAGCCTATCGGAAAATTTTAGAGTATACTTACTACCAATAACTAGTTCTGACAGTCTGCTCTCGTCTCCTCCACCACATCTGCGTGATAGCAACAAAGCTGGGCGCAACACTCGCCTCAAACACGCCCAGGAAGAAACGCGTGGCTAATAGACCGCCAAAATTATGCGCAGCTGCCATGCATGTGAGAGATATACCCCATAGGAGCACCATGGCGCTCGTGAACTTAGCGATAGGTAAGCGCACGAGTAACCACGCCAGCGGTGGCTGCATGACAAGCTGCGCCAGGTATACGATGCTGCCCAACCAGCTGTACTGGTCGCCCACAAGCCCGGTGTCCTCAATCAGTCCGAATACTGAAGCGTATGCAAGTGTCGTTTTGTCGAGGCCTTGCAGGAAGTAGACTGTCAGCATGATAGGAAGTATGACGGTGTCGATGCGTCGCAAAACACGCGCTGAATCGGCAGGAGTTACGGATATTCTTTGCCCCGCAACATTTTTGGCGAGAAATGAGGCTGCGATGTCTTTGCTGCCATTGCCATCATGCCCTTCTCGATGAGGGCTCGGTGATGGAGCTGCATATTCGGCTTCTGCTGCTGATGCTTTGGTCACGCTCATCTTAGCGGGTATTGCGGTATCGTAAGACGTTTTCTTCCTACCCGCAATTTGACAACAGCTTGTGATATAAGCAAAGCATATGATATAAATTTGTGTTACCGAGAGCCAGGTCCGACAATGAGGAGTAATTTGGAAATACCGGGATGCTCCCTCGTTCTATACCAGAATGGTGGTCTCTACTCCGCACGCCGCCGCGTGTTTGTCAAGGATTAAAGGTCACACGCAGAATTTATCTCACTTTGGTAGACACAGATCGGTCTGGACCAATTGCCATGCTTGTGGACATGACCGCCGGTTTCACGTCCGGTGTATTCGGTCTTGGACGGTAAATAGTTGAGCATCATTGACCCGATAACCGAAGCATGAACTTCGCCGGCGTAGACATTCCTCTAGATACGGAGATGCTTCAAGCTTAAATTTTTTTTCCGTTTCCGGGTTTCTTTTTTACAACAACAAACCCAAAACTATGGGCTTGTTAACTTGTTCGTATACATGATACTATTGTGACCTAAGCCTTTCGCGACGATGCCATAGTGGAAGTCGATGGTAGAAGTCAATTAAGTTTCATCGGAAGTTTGATCAGAAATGCCAAGCATATGGGGTATATTATTCCTCGTATTAACGGCAACAAACAACTTAGTTCTTAAATTATGACGTATAACTATCCATAATGAGATCCTCGGTTAACTCAGAATAAAGAATAAAGACACTTTGAAATGGAGTCTCGAGGGAATATTGTTTAAATTACGGAGTTGTTAGTGTCATAGGGCCATTGAAAGGTCTTTGGTTCGTCTTATGACTTTGAAGACCAAGAGAAAGAAATGGAGCTATCATAAGGTATTGAAATCATTCGCCGCGATTTTGGATGTAAGCTCGACATGTTAAATAAGAGTGTCTTGTAAATTTGTTGTTTAACTCAACGTCTCGCATCTGAGATAAGAGACTGCAGTAATAAAGCCTACTTTTTTGCACAGCTGAGGATAGCGTAAATATTCGTAGTTATTACTCGTCTAAGTCGGAAAATGTGCATGTGCTTGAGAAAAGCAGCCACATTTACATATTACCTGACTGTTGCATGTGTGTTGGCTATGGTGTATGGATACGACAATGTGATATAATAGCATAATACAGTGACAATCGGGACTGAAAAGCATTTTGGTAATTGTTTGAAACTGCCGCGCCTTCGGGTATCTAGCTACCTAATTAGGGGTTATAGGTATTTGTTATACGTAAACAATTATTCTTGGAAGTTATACGATTGTAAAAATATTTGTAAAGACATATACACCTATTAGGTAATTCACTACAACTATAAGTTAGTATCGTAGGAGTTGAATTTTCTCTTTAACATGTTGGAGTTAAGCTATGACATAACAATTTACCAAAAGCTGATAAATGCGATGCAGAATAAAATTACCATGGAGGGTTGAAAAGATGGCTACATAGGCGAGGTTGTACGAGATGCAACATTCGGGGTGTACATTGTCTTGCCTTGGTAAATTACCAAGGTATTTATAGTATTAGAACAGGAAATTAACTATGTTGACGTCGGTAATCTGCATAGGCCAGGGGCTATCGTAAGGTACCTATGTATGTAGGTAGGTAGGTACCTAATGCTACATCAACTAACAGAGCAAATAGTCAAGATTGGGCCTCATTTCCACCGGCTCGGGCTACATTCTTAACGCACTTAGGTGTTTTAGCCGAGATTTACAGACAAACGCGTCTTTACAAATTTTAGATGACTCGATAAGAAATTGACGTTATTTCTAATGATAGTGTATTTATGATATTATATAGATAGATAGATAGATAGGTAGGTAAGTATCTAAAGTACCTGTATTTTAACCTGAGAAAACTTGATAGGTTTGAAGATCCGATCTGCAAGATGTCGCCAAGAGATACCACAGTAGTGTATAAGTGTTTCGCGTGTGGGAATATTTTACGATATCAAACTAACGGTTTACTATTGAAACCAATTTTTTCTGCATAGCAGAAACACGAACTGTCCGAGCTTAAAAGCAACGGCACAGTCACGTACTAAGAGACGAGCGAATTCCGCTCATACATTTGCATTATCACTTCGCGTATAAGTCAAGGCAAGGGCTTTAGGTACCTAAGCGATTAAAAATATTTAGCAGGGTAGGATCGAGGGGTCGTAAGATACCGGAAGAGTAATTTGCTAAAGGGTCAATGATTATGTGCTTTATGTGTTTTATGTGTAAGAACTTACGCGGCTACCTTTGGCTGGGTAGATATCTTGATCATTCCCTAGTCAAATTTAGTACCTAGGTAGGTGATAAGTTAAGAGGTAAATAGTTGATTTTGATAGCTTACAAACATTACAACATCCGAATAGAAAAAGCAATACTTATTTACCAATCTCTCGTATTAACGTATTAACGACAATACCCTTATCGATATATGCAAGCCATATGCAAGGGGAGCCAAGATTTAACTGTTTTTAAACGTAGTACGGATCCGTACGTAGCACGTTGTACCACTATCGGAACCTATTTGGTACGTTAGCTTAGCAGCCCTAAGTGCCGATTGGGCAACGATAGACAAAACTTTGTTCTGGGGTTCCCCATAAGAGAGTCTCCATATTTTGATGAATCGCCGGATTAAGTTTACGGTTCGCAAGGGGCCATCACCTATCACTCGTCACAGCACATCACAATGGTAAAAAGTTTAATCCCCTGTTCCCCCACAAACTTATAATCCCCCATACCGAATACTTACATGTAGGTACATGTACATATTTCCATTAGGTACATGTACCTAAGGTACCTACCTATGTCCTATGCAACTTCGTACTTCTTTACTTTTACCTTCTCCAAATTTCCCAATTACATACATCTCTCATCTCGAGTCAACATGCCGTCTGCATGGCGTGCCGCGACCCGCACAACGGCGGCGCTTAATGTTACCATCCTACCATCTAACATCCGAATTCCTACAGTCTATAAGTCACGCGGCCATACTGTTGATTGCTCACGCTACTCACGCTTTTTGGTCTAGGCCCGAGAGAATATGCACCGGCTGCCCAACAACTTAGAATGCCGTCAGCTTGCAGGGTCACGTAGACTCAGACCTCAGAAAAAGGGAGACATGGGAGACATGGGAGATAAAGAGTTTAGGGAGGTGAGAACAGACCTCGGAGCTAGAGGGCGTAAGGCGGAGTGGAATCCCGTCAGATGATGTCGTGGAATGCTTATTAGTCCGCCCTCTGGTCTCCATACAGTACCTCCTTATCTCAAGTATGCTCTCCTCTTATATCAAGTATATGAAGCCCGCGATATCTAGAACCTAGATGATGCTGCTCTCCTACATTCCCTTTCTAATCCACGCTACACATCGTCAAGTTCTCGCTCGGAGGTTTCCGAGGCCCGTGGAACTTCAATGATCACGATAAAGGTAGCTATTCTAGTGCTATGTCACTTGTGCTGCCTTGTAGTCGCTGTTGATACTGCTGTCGATTTGACATGCAATAAGTATGTCGGCGTAGCTACGCCGAACGGGATCACGCAATGGCTTGGCATGCGGTACGCCGCGCCGCCGGTCGGTAACCTGAGGTTTATGCCTCCGCAGGATCCCCCCTGCAATAAGACAACACAAGTAGCCGATCAGGTACGTGTCTCCTAACTCAAATTTATAGCTATAAATTCAAATACGAGAACCCTTTGCTAAGACCTCACCTTTATAATAGCATGGGAAACTTTGCCTGTCAACAAGCAATTCCCCACCGGACAGTAGCCATGGAGAAGATTGCTTGTTTCTCGATGTGTATGCACCGACCAACGCAACCCGGGACTCCAATTTACCCGTATACTTCTTTATCCAGGGCGGAGGATTCAATGTTCTCAGCAATCCGAATCTTAATGGATCCGGTCTAATCGAAGCTAGCGGGAACTCCATTGTCGTTGTCACCTTTAATTACCGTGTAGGCCCGTATGGATTTATCACTCATGAGGATAAAATTACGCCTAATAATGGGCTACGCGATCAGCGGAAAGCACTTGAATGGGTACAAAACCACATCTCCCAGTTTGGTGGTGATCCCGGACATGTGGTTTTAGGCGGCGACTCGGCGGGCGCCGCTAGCATCAGTCTTCAAATGGTAGCATACGATGGCGAGGAGACCGACTTGTTCCACGCCGCTGCGGCTGAGTCGGTATCCTTCGCCACAGTCCTTACCGTCGACGAAAGCCAGTACCTCTATAATAATTTCTCAGCCCTTGTCGGATGCTCAGGTTCTTATTCTCTCGACTGCATGAGAAATAAGACTGCTACAGAACTCCAAAGCCAAAATACAGGCTTGCCTTATCCAGGTGAGATGTCGAAGCCATTGTATGCCTGGAACCCGGTACTCGACAATGACTTTCTCACGGACTACACATACAGCTCGTTCGCCAACGGCAAGTTTGTCAAGATCCCCGTGATCTACGGCGATGATACCAATGGAGGGACAACATTTACACCAAGGAGCACGTCGACTCTTGCTGAAAGCGAGGCATTTCTGCGTGCCCAGTTTCCTTATCTAACTCAAGATCAACTAGACAAGATCAGCTCTTTATATCCAAATGAGAATGACACCTGCCCAAGCACCGGTTGCTACTGGCGCCAAGTCAGTGACGTTTATGGTGATATGAGATATACGTGTCCGGGACTATACATATCTTCAGCAATGAGGAAATACGGAGTTGACCAGTCATACAACTACCGCTACAACGTCGAGGATCCGGACCAAGTCGCCGAGGGGCTAGGCGTGCCTCATACTATAGAGTTGGCGGCAATCTGGGGTCCGGAGAATGTTGGGGGTGCACCAGCGAGTTATGAGAACGGCGGCATCAATGTTCCGGTCATCCCTGTTATCCAGGCGTATTGGACGAGTTTCATCCGTACATTTGATCCGAATACGTATCGACACCCTGGCGCAGCAGCTTGGAGGAGATGGAACGTGAGACAACAGAACCGTCTCTTATTCCAGACAGGCGGCAATACGACTATGGAAACCGTGGCGCCAGACGCTCAAACCCGTTGTAGATATTTTGCGAGCATCGGTGTCGATATACGACAATAATTGGGGATTAGAGTTACACAGTGCTCTATCTTGGTGTTGGGAAACGCGAGCGTAGTCCCTATCAGGGCTTCTAATATGTTCCTTGGGAGGGTTGAGAATAGGTAGATACAATACCCCATATAATAGAGGCGTAAGATGAATTGGGTCGGCTTAGAGATAGATAGATCTAGGCTAGTGATACCTTTGATAGTTAAGTTATATATTTTGTTAATATTTTGTTAATCAATGGAAGCCGAAGCTCCCCCTTTTGAAATTATTCACGTAAACGATGACAAGATTAAGCTCATTTGTGGCGCCGCGTGGCCTTACATAGAAGGTATTCAACAGAACGCTAACATCATAACTCACAGTTCTAAAACCACAAATTCATAAAGGTAGTAACACCTTCACATTTCAGAGTCTTTAACAGCTATTTTGGCCTTGAGTGTACCGTTCTCCTTTCTCAACTCCATCACTTCTCTTCTCAGCGTGATAACCTTAATACTCATATCTAAGTTCTCATCAAACATGCTCTTAATCGTATCCCGAGACTCTTTATTAGCACCGATGAGAGCATCCACGGATTTCTGCATATCGTCGTATGGCGTCTTATTGGCCTTGGTCTTCCACGCTTCCTTGCAGTACCGGTTAAACTCAACAACAAGTTGAGCATGCTCGGCTTGCAGCCGCTGGTGCTTGCTGGCTAGGCGGTCGCTGCGCTCTTCTGCTGAGTAGGCTCTCATGTAGAGCTGTCTTACGAGGGTACGTACCACAGGGGGGATGTCGACGCCCTGGTAGCGCATCTCGGCCATGATGTCGAGTATGGCTTCGTATCCGTTTTCTGCCCGGGTGCCTAGGCCAGGAGATAGGAATAATTTTGGTTCTTTATCCATAGGAGCTTCTCTGTGTATACGATCAGTATGTCGGAGAGTAATAGAAGGGCCGAGTAGGTAGACTTACGGTTCCACGAAATCAAAAATAGTGAAGACTCCGTACGGGCAGCGCCGGAAGAGACGTGTTGAAATTTGTTAAGCTCTTGGAGCTCGTTATTATGCGGTGAGTTTTGTATTTACAGATCGACGATATGTTTGAGACTGAGTGATGTCAGCGGAACGCTGGATATAGCCCTATACCTAGAAGGGGTGAGGATGCAGATCTGCGGTGAAACATACATGCATTGGATATACGATTGGAGGCAGATGATTTAATTCCGCAAGGGAATAATATTAGATTTATCGAAACGGATGTAAAGCGAGTGCGTAATATACCTAAGGTTAGATATGGTGGATAGGTAGGAGGTAGTGATGTGTTCGCTTATTTCACGCGATGGTTGTTAGGTACGTAGGCTAATACCCCCCCTTCGACCCACCCCCGGATTTTTACAGCTGGTTCTTAGTTGACGCTTGATTTTTCTTCGTGAGTCCTAATGTCTCACATGATTAGTCAGTGACATAACTACCTACACTTCGGAGCCAGTACGACTTCTAAGTGAGTCTCCAACATGTCGGGTGTGATAGTTGGCGAGCTATCTTAGTAGAGATGCGTAGGTACATTACGAGCTAGAGACTTAGTACAGCTATTCTAAGGCCAGGATCCATATTTTTATCACATATCAGCCTATCCAAGCAAACTATTTCAGAGCCTCCAGTTGTTAGTCTGGATTACGAAAGCCCAGACAAGCTAATTCAGACCTAACATCAATATGTTGAGGTTCATAAGACATTTTCGAACCTGAATAATATCATATCAAGTCCATGTGGTTTTCTAACAGGCGTCCTTAATTAGATCATATATATTTTGTATGCCTTTGATTGGTCTCGTCACAATATCCTGATGTAAACAAAATCTCTATATACGCCGCAAAGATTCCGTGGCATATGAAACTATTTACATATCAAATTCTTCCAGGGCTGTCTTCACGAATCACGCTCATTCTTCATATAAGTCATACATCAAGTAGTCCCTTATATCCTATTCAAGTGACCAATAGAGCTGCGCAGTAATTAATAAGACACCTGATTCTGACGACATCAAATCGACGTTTTGTAGTAGAATGACAGCATCTAATTTTGGATAACTAAGTCTAATTATGGATTAAGTCATACTTAGCTCTATACGTACACTCCAAGCATCCTGGAATATATTAATCAAGTGGAGTTGAGAAAGCCACAACGAGTCATTTGTTTATACTGAGAATCCACTAAAACAGAAACACCCAAAGAATGGCTTTCTGCTTCGAGTGACCCCCTAAGCTTATAGACTCTCTAGTTCGAGGGCCTTTGCTAAGGCTTTGATATTCAATCTAGTTGAGAAGTTCGCGAAACTCATTGCCAGTAAGTTTTCGCCTGAATAGTAGTGCTAAGAGGATGCTTTTAACGAGATAAAAAATGGAACTAACCAGCATAATTTCGTGTAAGTGCTATTAATTTATTTATTTACACTCTTTACCCCTATATATTTGTCCATCCACCTCTTACATGCACTTGTGATTACTATACCGTAAAATTGCATATTTTGTTAGGTATACAGAAGTATAAGTATGATTAATTTTGAAATACCTATGTACTTCAACAGTATCTAAACATGTATAAGGTTATTGAATTACTAACCTTAAATAGTATAGCTGTATAGGTAGCTTTGGGTCATTTTAAGAAGTTATGGGGAAACATATATCTATAGCCTTATATAGATAATTGGACAGCTATACGTATTTCTTACCAATCGGGACCCGGGCAGCTAGGCTGTGCTATATAGTCGGGGGATAATCATAGCCAATTATTAGGTTTCATTGCATTTTTTTCAGCTGGACACTTGCAATGATACATAGGTACCTAACCTACCTTACTACCTCCCAGTAAGTCCTCTCCTCTCTGCCCCGGTCAAGCATGACTTCTCAAAAAGTCGAAATCGCGCAACCCTCAAGCCTTGAGTTTCATCTATCCAATTGTTTCGACCTCGAATCTTCATTCATACTCGCACCATTTATCATGGCTCCATTTTCTAAACGTAAAATTTTTCGGAAGATTTTTCGAAGAGAATTACCAAACTTATATGAGGCAGGCAGTGAGGGGGAGAGCTCGCTCAGCTGCCCCTCTACACTGTACAAAAATCAACCGCCTACCATAACTCAAGATAGCCAGTCTCAGCTTGTTACTTTGGCCTCTCAAGATCAAGTTATAAGAAATAATCTTAAGGAAGATGTTTCTGATGCAAGACCGTCGCTGGGTAAACTTACCCTCAATTCTAGTATTCGTACACTAAGAGTATTTATACCTTGATAGGGAATATCGGGCTTCAGCTTTTCAGTACTGGACATTTGAGCCAAGATAAAGTCAAAGTGATCAAATCAAAACTGGAGGATGCCACAACAAGGCTCAACAGCACAATCATCGAACACGAAAGACGTAATAAAAACCAGAAAGTTGAGTTTACTACCGAGGGTATGATAAATGCTATGCAGGAAGCCGGCACTTCACCACAATCCGGGATAGTGTTCGGGGAGTATATTGAAAGAGTTGTGACTAAGCAACGGTTCCTACGAGACGAGACAACACGCGGAAAATTAACACACTACGCAGCGAAGCTATACCCCGTCACTAGAATGGTTCTTGGGATCGTTTCCTTTAGTGCGGATGCTGCATCTTTTTCACCCGTAAAAATCGCCGCCAATGGGTTGCAGCTAGTTCTTTCGGCTGCCATGGACGTGCATGAGCAGGGAGAAGATATTATACAACAACTAGAAGCGTTGAATGACTACGGGCCATTTCTCGAGAATCTCCGTGAACTTGACAACAGTTCCCAACTAGTAGAAAGGGCATGCGAATTCTTAATAGCAACTACCAACTTCCTAAATACGAGCCTAGAGTATTTAGACAAATCAGCACTTCGTAAAGCAATTAGCGAGTCATGGGTTATGAGTAAGGAATCATTTGAAAGTGCTCGCAAAAGGTTAGACGAGCAAGTTGAAAGAGACATGCAAATCGAACTCTTCAAATGGATCAATCAGAACAAAGATGATAGGATTCTATCCTCCATATCAATGGATACATCCTATAGAGAAAAGCAGCAACAATATTCAGTCTGGCGAATGCCTAATATAGGGCAATGGGTATTGGGCAATGAGAACTTCAGGGAATGGGAAAAAGAACAGCCAACTAACAGCGCCAGAGTCTTGTGCTGTACTGGATTGCGTAAGTTAAACCGTTAAACCTTCTATATAGTATCGAACTAATAGCAGTTTAGCTGGGGCTGGGAAGACTTTTATTGCGTTAGTATTTTATGCCCCATCATACACCATAAATTACAGCCACTATAACTGCCTCATAGGTCTCAAATTGTGACACACCTCGAGGAAAGAAGGCTTAGATATACTTTCCAAAACCCCAACGATAAAATCGGCATTGCATATATATACTGCAGTATCGCAGATGAAGGCCAGCAGACCGCAATAGGGTTTATATCAAGTATTGCAAGACAACTGACAGAACTCCCATTTCCTCGACCTAATCCCCTTATGAATAATGCCAAGTCTTTCTACGATGGCTATTCTTACCAAGGGAGAATCCCAGGGCTCTCCGAATACAAGTCACTCATCCGAAGTCTTCTCCACCATTTAGATCATACTTTTATCGTGGTTGATGCCCTGGACGAGTGTATCGAATATGACGAGAATCACATGAGCGTACGCGACACCTTTGTGAAGACGCTACTTTCCTTTAACGTACATCTACTATTCACATCACGGCACGTTGGTGCAGTTGACTATTTAAAGGAGGAAGCAGCACGGTTAGGGGCTTATTTCAAAGAGATAGAAATATCTCCCTTACCAGATGATGTGAAAAGTTATATTGATTGGAGAATATATGATGAGCAGCACGGAAACACTTGTTTACAGAGGTGGATCGAAAATGGCAATATTTCTAGAGATGAAATCATCAACGGAATTCTTGACAAATACTGCGGAATGTAAGTCTTAAATCTGACATATCTGTATTTTTTATTCGAACTGAGCTAACTGCCAAATTATTTTTGCAGATTCAACTTGGTCCGACTACAAATGAACGAAATACAGCAATATTTGTCACCTGGCGATGTTCGCGAGGCTCTGCGTCAGCCCGGAAAGACTGAGGAACAGTTCTATGATGAGGCAATGGACCGCATCAACTCGAGTGACAATATAGGAATACGACGACGCCTCGGATTCCGCACACTCGGTTGGGTTCTGCGTGCAAAGAGACCCCTCCACTTCAAAGAAATACAAGACGCGTTGGCTATGAGTGGCTTTATGGGCGCCAAATCTCCCCGAACTAGATCAAGGGACGAATTTAGTATTCGAGAGCAGGATATGTTGACTGCTTGCCATGGTCTTGTCATTATTGAGTCAAAGACTAGGCTTGTCGCCCTCGCACACGCGACTGTGAAGGAGTACCTTGTTAGCACCGGTTGTGCAAGAATTCCATTCGATATTGATGTGGACTTGGCAGAGATTTGCCTCTCTTATATTTCTGATGATGTTTTTTCTAAGGGAGCTTGTAAGGATGATGATTCTTTCGCAATCCGTGTCGATAAGAATCCGTTTTATTCATATGCAGCACAATATTGGGGGGAGCATGTGCGTGGTAGGATTGAATTGGCTCTTAAAGACCACATCCTCGACTTCCTCGGGGCCGAAGGATTACTCCTCAGCGCCGTTCAAGCAAAAACCATAATGGATAATAACTACAGGTTTAATGGGCGGAGCCAAACCTATGCTAAAAATATCAATGACCTATGGTTTGCCTCACAGCTTGGCTTACGAGATATAGCTACTGCTCTCATCGAAGAAAAAGCCGATGTTAATATTTGTGACGACAAGGGCCGAACGGCATTGGCTATGGCAGTAATGGGGGGACATGAGGAAATAGTCCGGTTACTAATAGATCGGGGAAGCGATATATCAGCCCAAGACAAGGATAAACGAACAGTATTGCACTACGCGATTGCCCCGGATCGCCTAGGGGTGATCGAAATACTTATTACTGAAGCAAACGTCGAAATCAATGCAAGAGATGGAGATGGATCCACGCCTTTACATTATGCGGCAGAGGCAGGCCTAGAAGATGTGGTAGAAAAACTGCTGGATCATAACGCCGATCCAAAACTGAAGAGCAAATGGGGATGGACGCCGCTTGACTCAGCAGCCCCATCAGGTTATCAAGGAATAGCAACTAAGCTCTTAGATCATGGGGCTGATGCTGATTCGACTGATCAGGAAGGATACACTGCTCTGTATTGGACAGCGCCAGGTGAATATAAAGACACAGTGGAGTTACTTTTAAACCGGGGAGCAAAGCCCGATTTAGGCAATCGAAATGGCGTAACTCCACTCCACGCCACTGCTTACAATGGAGTTGAAGAGATCATGAAGCTCCTGCTTGATAAAGCTACTGAAATTAATCCCCAAGACAACTCACAGTGGACGCCACTTCACGCTGCTGCATTGAATGGACGAGATGATATGGTACGACTACTCCTCGAGCGAGGTGCTGAAGCTGGTGTGGTCGACGAAGATGGATGGACCCCTCTAGAGGTAGCATGTTGGATGGACCACGAACCTGTAAAACAAATCTTAATAGAAAAAACCGATGGCGGGGACGAAATAGTTGAACGGGTGAAGCGCGATAAAAAATACAAATCTCTCGAGGTATGGAGAAAACAACAGGCAGAGGAGAAAGGAGGCTACGAACTTGCAGCTACCCGTGCTCTAGACCTTATTTCCCGAGGCCGTATCGACAAAGTCCAGGCTCTTCTTTCAGACGGTTTGGATGTTAACGGGTACCAAAGGGGAAATATGACCCCCCTCTCTGTAGCAGTTGGCTGGCATCAAAAAGAAATCTGCCGGTTGCTTCTCGACAATGGAGCCGACGTCAATAAACCTGGAGGCCGGAACGACAGGACTGCACTCCATATAGCATCTTATTATGGTGACTGTGATATAGTCAGAATGCTTCTGGAAGCGGGAGCGGATATCAACGCAATCGACACGTTAGGGAATACTCCGCTCTCCCTTGCTGTTGATTATAGAGAACGAAATACAGCCGAGATACTAATTGAGAAAGGGGCTGATTTAAACATTGGGACGCACTCAGGCTTTGTGCCTCTCCTTCTTGCTATTTATAGCGGTGATGAAGAACTCGTGCGGATGTTACTCAAAAAGGGGGCTGATACCGAAAGACCGGACAACGACGGGTTTACGCCGTTGCTAACAGCAATCCACCAGAGAAAATACGAGATAACCAAGTTGCTACTAGAAGAAGGAGCAAACGTAAATGCGGCAAGTACGGACGGGACGTTAGCATTTGAATTGGCAATAAACCGTGGCTGTCATGAGATCTGCTGTCTCCTAAGACCTGGCTATGAGTTCGAGGTAGGAGGAGATGACTATAAATCCGGATTTGAGTCTGAAGGTAGCGGCTCAGGGCCGGAAGAAGAGGACGAAGAAGATATAGTGCTAGTTTCTAGAGAATAAGCACTGGGCTGTCTATGCCTAAAGCCAATTCGTTTCATTTTATGTTCCTGGTTGACGTGGTGGCCTTTATTGTTAGGGGATAATACTTTCAGCTTCTACCCCTAGCCCCTACTTCAGCTGCCAAGCCAAAGCATTTTCAATAAGATACCTAGACTTTTTCGATAGGTTTGAACCTCCAGAGTCTTTAAGCTGGTCTACCATATGTTTTCTTATCTATCATGATCGTTTTGCTTCGTTAGAAAGGAGAACCACATCAGCAATGAATACTAGGAAAAGTCACTATTATCATTATCGGACAACTTGTAAATCAAAGCTCGGATCAATTACACGCTAATTTTATATATTAAATAATGACATTGATATGATTACGAAATCCTTTTTGCTAATGTAGTGAAATCCTCGCTATTCCTATTCTGTTTATTTTTAATCTAGATTCTCTATATTACTCCTTAGAAACAAAAACACTATTCGATACCTAAACAAGAACTCCATAACCTTCTTTTGTCTACGACTTTAAACTTGCTATAGTACTGTTACTGAGAGATAAACTTATCTGTTCAGATCCGTCGCTTGCTTAATTCCAGGTAGGTTGCGGTTGGGAGCTTACGTCGGGTGGTGGGAGAATTTTAACTGTAATACACTCACCACAGTTAATATCATCAATTATTCTAATTGTAGTCGGCCCGGTTATAGATTCAGCTTTGAGTTCGGGTTCGGGTTCGAGTTCAAGCTCACAGTCAGAAGCTTCCAAGTCAACACGGTAATTAGGCTTCGTAGTTCTCGGGCGTAATTTATACCGGGGCGACTTGGGTTCCGCCGTGGTCTCTAATAGACCCAACTTCGGCGAATGTACCTTCAGTGGTCTAGCTTTCGGCGAGACCGCCTTTGTTACCTTCCATTTACGGCTATCGTCAAGCCAATTAGACCTCTTCCGAGCCGCCTTGAGCGATTTCAAGATTTCGAATACCTCGGTGTTTAAATATCCATCCTTACGAGCTTCAACCCCTACTTGATATCCAGGACTCGACTCCTTCTCGTAAAGTGAAGTGCCTTGATAGTCTAAAGGACGCCATGCACGTGCTGTGTTGGTAGTAGGAAGCACCATAATGCCATACGATGCTAGGTAAAAATTGCCCCCTGTGTTAGTATCGTCAGGGGCCTTGAGGGTGCAAGCGACAATCCAAGAGTTGCCGTTCACCTCTGTATGTGTATGCCGCGCATAATAAATAGCCCCGTTTTCCGATGGCGAGAGTAGTTCTAAACCGTCTTCACTTGTGTCGAATGTGACGTCTTCACCACCTACTTTAAACGTGAAGGTTTCATCGTTATTCACCATGTCCATCCGAGGGAAGTCGCTATCGTGAATAGTATCATTGTACATAGCAGTAGTCTCAGGGGGGAACCGAGACTTCATCAAGTTCCACACAATTCCAGCCACGCCCTGTGCCGTATTGTTTAGCTCGGTCTCTCCGTTTATTTCCTCATCTGCATTCAACTTGATACAAGACGCAGCCAGTCGAACCTGGGAATCACTTTGTGGGCCAAAAGTATAGCCAACTTGGCAGAGCATCCCTGGGTCCTCGCGCGTGTCATCCTGATGACACTTGACAATTCCGTGGCACACTCTCATCATTACCTTTCGAAGGTCTTCGTCAGGTATGAAGTCACGAAGAACTACAAGAACGGTTTCTTTAGTTTCAATGTCGCGAAATATAACGCTCTCTTCTTGTGGTACGATATACTGAAGGTGAGTGTCAAAGTCCACGGTTTCCCAGCACAATCCTTCGTTATAGCGAGGATCCCCTAGTGGATTTTCCCCCCAATACTCCTGCCATTGGTGCCTTTCCTCAGGAGTTCCCGCAAAAAAAGGACGAGTTGGCGGCTGTGGCGATTCAAGTTTTGGTAGCTCAACTACCTTAACATTGGCAAGGAACTCATCTCTCTGGCTTGTCGACCAGTTCAGACCTAGATCGTCTATAAGCTGTCTATTAGCCATAGCGTCCACTTCTGTTCTTAAGAAATAATATTTCAAGTAGTATTAAGTATTAATACGCTTCGAATTTGCACAAAAATGGAGCCGTAAAGTCTGAGAACTCAAAGTCGATTAGTTGGTAGAGTAGATTATCTTGTAGAATAGGTGAATTCGTCTAATAGCACCCTGATAGAATCAACGTATTTATATGATTAATTGTAGAGGCATGTCCGGGTAAACAAGACCATTGTACTTGACTACAATAGTTCCGCCTTCTTTTTGCACCCATATCTCTTTACCCTTAGTATAACAAAGCCCGAGACAGAGACCGTTGTCAACGAACAATCATATTATTTCTTTAGGACAAGTAATATCCTGTACGATTGTTAGTATATACTGTAGGTTATACTTGTAAAGAATGAAAATGAACACAAACCTCCTAATGCCTTCTCGAAGAGCGTCCTCCGGAAAGGAATATACGAGGCGGAACCCGCCAGGCTTCGGAGCGTGGTACTGCCCTCCTGTTGACATTGCAACGCCTGCCTTCTCAAAACGTTGAGAAAGTAATTTTTCAGCTTCCCATACATCCCCATCAGTCTCCCCTATTGGTAAGAAGGGGGCTAAGTCAAGCCATATAAAAAGACCGGCATTCCTAAGTCCTTGTTAGACTGATGAAGCCATTTTGAATTCTAGACTTGGACTGCAATGTCACATACCCCTTTTTATGAAAACCGACACCTGCCTGATTAAGGAGATCTTCGGCTATCAAACGATTCTGAAGCAACAGATTTTGCGATTTCTCAAGGAATTTCGTCACATACGCTTGATCGTCAAGAAATTTGGCGGCGATGTCCATTGAAAATTGGGAGGGCGAGGAGAAACAACTAGTATCGATATAAGCACAATATGCTAGAGTTCGCGAATGATGATCTCATACCATATAGCTCGAGCTGCTTTAGTGAATTCCTTGTTTCGAGATATAAGACAGCCTAGTCGCATTCCAGCAGCGCCAAAGTCCTAACCGTAACGTCAAAATTCTGTCATATCGAAAGCGAAAAATACATATACTTACTTTTGACATGCCGTAAAGCACATGCACCTGAGCAGGATCAATGATTCCACTAGGGTCGATGGACAGTACAGAAGTAAACTCCTCAGACGGACCGTCATTTCGACGGAATACTGAGAGGGCGTATATTTCATCGCTTATTAGATGAATACCTTTTGATGCACATAAACGCATAAGCCCAACTAATGTCTCATGAGCATAGCATCGTCCTACACGATATATGAGCTATACGTTATCAGCTAGAAACCGAGTTTATCACTTACCTAGGGGATTATGAGGGTTACAGATGAACAGCGCTTTGATGTTAATGCCGCGTGCCTTCGCGGCTTCGAAGCCTGCCTCATAGGCTGCGACGCAATCCGGTGAGAACTGTTCTGTGTCCCCAACATCTACGTACTCTAGGATTGCGCTTCAGAAGCATAGGTATTAGAATCGGAGGTGAGATAGTCGTAGAAATGGTACCTACCCAGTTCTCATAGTCAAGTCCCTAGAGAAGGCTCCATAGACAGGCCCGCCAAGAAGGATAGCCTCCTGGTTATCAGGGTTGCAGGTGAGTAGCGCGCTAGCTTCGTTCAAAGCCGTTACCCCAGCCGCGAAGGTGATTTCCTCCGGATCGATTTCGTGGGCTGGTTTGAAGTGGGCGTTCAAGTGTTTTGCCATGGCGGCTCGCAGCCGTACCGTACCAGTATATCCTTCGCCATATGCGCATAGTTGCGGATCGAATTGGCTCTAAGTACCGAAGTCTTAGAAATATTTAGTTGAAGGCTTAGTAGACATGCAACTTACATGAGTATTGACGAACTCGGTCAAGTCTTCATGCACAAGCCACTAGATGCTGTATGAGTGTTTCCGCTATAAATAATCTACCTGTTACCGACTTACGTTTTCGGCAAACAAGAAGTTCACAGGTCCGGTTGGATTGCTCGAGGCATGGTAGTTGTTTAAGTCGCCATGGGCGAAGTAGAAATTCGCCCAACCTTTTCCTCTTGTAGATAACATTGTGGGGATGTAGGGACAGTATTATAAATGAGGCTTAGATGATAGGTTTTGAATATTGAACAGAAGGTATTTGATATTGGAGCCTTGAGAATACTAGTCGATGGCAAAGTTAAAATATAGGTAGTTTAAAAGGAAGATTCTATGGATGTCCGTTTTGGAGCGAGCACGGAGCGGAGAGCCGAAGCCCGCTTCGGCTTTTGATACCAACGCCCTTCGGGTGGATCCCGTATTTGATTGGTTCTAGATTGTTAATGATTATTAGAGTGAATTACCTATACATTGGAAGTTTTATTTATCTATAATGTTGAGATTTGATATCGACGTGTTAGAATATTATTCTTGGCTATAAATAGAATGAGGCTCAACAGTGTAGCTACCTACATAATCTACCTACCTGGGTAATTATGTACCCTGAAATTATACGAACATCAATGCTACAATAATGAAAGGGGATAGATTGAAATGCAGAACGATACTAGTAGCTACATACTCTTTCTCCTTCTAAGATGTTCAGATTGATTAAAATGAGTGATCGCGCAGATAATCTTGAAGTGGCGATCTCTTATGGCTAAATAGTGGTGTTAGTAAGAGCTATTAGATTGGAACCGGACGAATGTATAATCGAGTCGCCATAAGAATGAACAAACATATAAATAATAATATAAGGAAGTATTTAATATAACTAGTAGTGATACTATAGTTCAACCGGCAATTGGTCACTTAGTTACCTAGGAGGTAGTTTAGATGATCAACCATGAATAAGGGGTATTGAACTGCCCAGCTACTGTGATAATGCGTGGCTTGTGGGTCATGGATAGCAATGTTCTATGTAAGTTGCCCCCTATTAGTTTCTCTGTGGCGATTTTATATGGTGCATCCTAGGCTAGCATTGGTGTTATTTTTTCTCAAGTTCGATTCGGGTTTAATCAAAGCAGCATAAGCTAAGTGCCTGCTGCTTTTACATTCCGGAATTTCGTATGTGGTCTTTTGTTTATATGTCCTAGCAAAAAAAATCCAATATCTTTATTCACAAGTACAATTAACTAATCGATTTATTACTCAATTTATTGCGCTTTACTTAATTAGAAGTATTTTGGTACATAACAAATCACACTCGGTAGCTGCTTGGCTGTTGTACCTATTAGCAAATATCCATGTACATCAGTAATTTAAGAAACCTGATTGGAAGTCTTCTAAGCTCCATGTGGGTATAACTCCCGCACCATCGGACAGAGGAACGGGTTCTAGCGCCACTCAGCCCTAAAAGTTTGCGACGCTAAAAGTTATTCTTCTGCATGCGCCTCTGTACATAGTAATGGCCTAAATGGCCGCTATTGCCCCGAAAGTTTACCCAATAACGTATGCCGTTCCTTGCCGTTCCTGCCGTTTCCCCAGTCTTCTTCTGACCAGCCGTCCAGCCATCCATAGGGCAATTCAGTTTTGAAGCTCGGCGCCGGTGGTCAAGAAAATCGAGAGCAATCCGGTCGGTGAAACCCAATGATGTGATATATGATTCCACCCCGTTTTCTTTCCAGCTGCCAAGTGATAGTTATACTTTCAGTCGACTACCTAACACGACGACATTTCAACATAAACGGCACTCGTAATATCTCGGACCGAGAACCGTTGAAGGTTCGGTAAAGTCGAGATCAGCCGTTGAGATACAAGTCAAGTAAGATCTACACTTGAAACAACATGCACACGTGCCACTTCGCTTCTGATCTGCACTGGAGGGGTTCAGCTAGGTAAGTATTCTCCTAAGCTGGATAAATACAGTTATAACTTTGAAATGATTGGGTTTTACTCCAGTAAATACTTGTATGTGTAAATACTTATATAAGAGGTATCTAACTAGGTACCTTTAAAGTAAGAAGACAGGTTGTCATATCAGTTCATTCATCGCATTTAATAATATCTTGATCTATGTCAGGTCTAACTATACTAAAGTTAAGCATGTTAGTAACAACGTAGAAATAATTCAATTCTCGCGTCGATGGAATTTCCTAACAGCAGTCCGTTGGCTAATCTCCTCAGAAAGGCAGGTCTCTTATCTACTCCAGGTATAATTACGGCATCGTGCATCCCAGCTCACAGACCCTGGAGAGACCTGGCGGAGCTGAACCCTTGGATACTACTGGGGATCCTGCGTATACGTATTCTAAAGAGAGTTGATTGGTTTCTTGGCAGTACTTGGCCCAGAGCCTAGCATGGCTGCACGAATAAGAGAGGAATACTTAATACTTAGCGAGTATACTACGTGATAAGTAGGTAACCTAGGCAAATTTAATTTTCCTTTATTCCTCGCCTGCGTCGTATCTAATCTTGGCTGGACCACCTTTTGAATGACATGCATTAGGTAGTTAGAATGTACATTTTATCAATGACCTATACCTAAACCGGGATCCCGGTGGTCTTGGTTGCAATAATGTTACTAGATACTCGATCGCATCAACGCAACGACACAAACCCGGTAAACTAAACATCATAACATTATATAATTAATTGATTCCCGATTGATAACAACTTAATTGTCCGGCGCTTCGGCGATGAGCCGACCCGGCTGACCATCACGCGAACAGCGGTGTACCCCCCACTGATCCGACAATCAGGCCCCTTGTCGGAGAGGAGTTATAGCGGCTCATTTCCCCACCTTTGCCATAATACCCCTGTAAGCCATGATGACATAGGCCGGGTTAAGGTTACACTACCGTACGGTCATGGGAAATAGGTACCTTAGAATAGGTACCTGGACGCTGTAATGCATCTTCCTCTACAAAACTAATCTCGGTCGATCATCTTCATTCCTTTCCTAAGTTTTTTTCTTTTCTTTTTTTATTTACCTTTACTTACCAGTCTCTCGTCGAGGAATTGGATATCAGGTAGGGCATTTCGTTGCTTCACCCCATACTATATCGTTATATTTCCGACCGCGGAAAAAGGAAGACGCCATCGCGTGCGCACTATAATGATATCGGGGCCACTACACTTCCAGCAATCTTCTTATACCCTGTCCAGCATTCCGCTCTCTCAGCGGAGTTCACTGTCGTGCTCTCAATATGGCGGCAGCACAAGACAAGTCCCAACCGGTGTCTACACCACAGTCACAGAGAGCTATGAGTGATGAGAAGAATGAAGGCTCAGATAGTGACATTCGCGAAACTTTGGTCGAAGTCTCAACTGAGAACCAACTTATTCGCCACCTAGGTAACCGTCAGATCCAATTAATTGCCATCGGTGGCAGTATTGGTACCGCTCTCTTCGTGAGTATAGGAGGTGGCCTTGCCAAGGGTGGACCAGGAAGCCTTCTTATCGGATACACTATCTATGCTATTATGGTTGGTATGGTGAACAACTCTATGGCCGAGATGGTTACCTACATGCCTGTATCTGGATCTTTTATTCGAATGGCTGGCAGATGGGTCGATGAGGCTTTAGGATTCATGGCAGGATGGAATTTCTTCCTCTATGAAGCCTGTCTTATTCCCTTCGAGATATCTGCTATCAACTTAGTGCTCGGATATTGGAGGGACGATATCCCCCCGGTAGCTATATGTATAGCATGCATTGTACTTTATGCGTATGTAACCCTCCTTTAAACTCCTAGCTATTGTAACGTTAGATGACATTAATTAACATGTAATGATAGTGCTATCAACATTTTGGCCGTGCAATATTTCGGGTACGCGCATTGACTCCAATCCAACAAACCCCAGCATATCGTTTAGCATATCGTAGATTTATACCTACTCCACGACCCCGCAACCGCTCAGACCAATTACCTACCGTAATTACCTAGTATCTTTGCTAATCTAGATCGTTTAGTGAGGCCGAATTCTGGCTATCCAGCGGCAAGATCCTGCTTATCTGCATCCTATACACGTTCACTCTAGTCACGATGTGTGGGGGTAACCCCAAACACGATGCTTACGGTTTTCGGTATTGGTCAAATCCGGGATCTTTCGCTGAGTATATTCACGAGGGTGCATTAGGTAGATTTGAAGGTTTGCTTGGCTCTATCTTCTCTGCAGGTTTCACTGTCGTTGGACCTGAGTACCTTGCTATGGTCGCTGGAGAAGCAGAACGCCCGCGGACGTACCTCAAGAATGGATTTAAAACCGTCTACTGGCGATTCGCCGTCTTCTTTATCGGCGGCGCGCTCTGCGTCGGTATCGTCCTCCCTTACAACGACCCTGTGCTGAAGAACGCGGATACGGGAACCGCTAACGGCTCACCCTATGTCATTGCAATGCAGAACCTTGGAGTTGGAATACTTCCCAACATCGTCAACGCTCTCATGATCACCAGTATTTTTAGCGCTGGAAATGCCTACACATACTGCGCGATGCGATCCTTATACGGCCTTGCATGCGACGGCCAGGCGCCTAAAATCTTCAAGAAGACACTTAAGAACGGTATTCCAGTCTACGCCTTTGCGCTCGTCATGGTTTTCCCCTTCTTATCGTTCCTACAACTGTCGAATAATACGGCGCAAGTAGTGACGTGGCTTGCTACTCTTACACAGGGCTCACAGATGATCAATTACATTGTCATGAGCTTGACGTATATCTTTTTCTACAATGCGACTAAAGCACAGGGTATTGATCGCCACACGCTACCGTACTACGGCTATTTCCAGCCATACTGTGGTTACATTGGCTTGGCTTGGATGATTATCATCGAGGCCACTTTTGGTTACTCGGTATTCTTACCTGGACACTGGGATGTCGGCAACTTTTTTGCTTTCTACACAATGGCTATTGTGTCTTTTTGCACATTCTTCGGTTGGAAGATTTTCCGACGTACGAAATTCGTCTCTCCCGCGCAGGCCGATCTCATCTGGGAGAAGCCGGCCATCGATGCTTACGAGGCCTCGCACGTTGAGCCCCCGACCCGATTCCGCGACGAGCTGAAGGCCATGTTCCTTGGGAAGAGGAAGAAGGAGAACTACATGGGTGAAGACCCGAACTAGAAGTTAAGACTTGCGCTTCAAGATCGTGGCTTGGTTTGAGCGACGCCGGAAACGGCTAGTGGATGAAGTCATAGTTTTGGTATACGCTTTGTCGTTCTGAAGCTATTCCATGCAGCTACAAATTTTGAGAAATATTATGCCAAGCTTCCGTGTAAATAAATTGGAGATATGATCAAATTCAATTGCTAAGTTACAGTCCATAAGTGAAACATTCGTAAGAAAGATGAAGTTCATCAACGGACGGCCACGTCTGTTCCATCCAAAATGATATTAGAACTCGAGCCTTTTTATTCGAGATCGATATTTCTATGTGCCGCGTTACTTTAACTGGAGCCATGTTATGGCTAACATTGGGTTAGCATCTCAACTTATTCGCTAATATGGCCTTGTTGGATTAAACCGACATGCGGTGGTTTTGAAGGCGATAAATGGGTTAGCCTAGAACCTATCCAAAGTAAATAAACGATAGTATCTATAATCAATTAAATAGAACCTAAGTATAGTCTGTAAGAGGATCACAGGCTGCTAAGTTTATCAAATACAAACCCCTATTTCTATATTAGAAGGTAACGCCGAGAGCTGGTCATCACGTTTTCACGTACTCGATGTTGAAGGTTCCTCAGTGAGTTTTTGATAAGAACACCTATCTATAATTATAATTATAATTTCAATGCAAGGTATGATCGCTACTTAGAAAGGTTAATAACTCCAATTATGACTTATGCATGAATTTTCAAGTTCCAATTTCATTTTCGCTTCCGGCCGTGTATACCTAATCCAACAGTAAATCGATAAACAGACGCTCAGCTCATGAAGCTGTTGATGATGGTGACGACGGTTGTGTAGAGCATAGCAATAACTCCAACTACCATAAATATGATATCTCCAACCTTAGCTTCCCACGATGTTGCAACGCCTTTATAATGTAAATATGCTGGATAAATGTAGACCAGCGGGACACAAGCAATGGACCCGATCAACGCGACGAACCTGTCAAGGTTGGAAGCACCCACTATCGAAAATGCCCCGCACCCAATAACTATTAACGACCTGAACGCGTTCTTGATCCACTTCGTACGAGCGCTCTTTTTGCCCGAGTGAGAGCCAAATATTCTACCTTCAATGATGCGGATGGCAGGAAATAGCTGGACGGGAGTCCCAACAAGGACCGCGAGTGAGTAGAGGAATTGTACCGCATTGACAAACTTGCTGTCTTGGGGATAGTTATTGATGATTTCAATTTCGGTATTTTCGCCAAACGTAGCATAGCAGAGAGCGCCAACAGCAGTAAAAAGCACTGTTATGAGGAACATAACCATACCAAGAAGCCACTCAAAACGCTCTGGTTTGGTCATGGATGACTGGATTGGAAGAATGAGGCCGATGCCTTCAAATGTGAAAATAGCTGCCCCAATAGTTAAGGTGTACTTCGCCGGGTTGAAGAGAACGACACTTTCATGAATGCCATCGGATGCAAGGTGTGCAATGTCGTAGTAATAGATATAAGTTACACCAAGCAAGATGCAAGCATCTGCAAGAAGTGCAACAGGACCAAGTTTCGCTATGTTCCGTATAAACGCCAGGGGTATGAGAAGAACGAGCTGTATGAGAATTAAAGACGTGGGGGATAACGGACTGTCGCCGTGCAGAACAGCCTTCAGGAAAGAGGTCATGTTTTCGGCTACAAACACTATGCCAGCACAGACAAACCCCAGCTGCGACATAGTAATGGAGAATAATATCAATCCGCGCATAAACTTTCCTGCTACTGCGTGGCCGATCTCTCCATAACCGCCGCCGTACTTTGCCTTGCAGGCGAGAAGTAAGTGGAACGCCAACATGGTAACTGTGGAGACAGCCAGCATAGTCAAAGAAGAGAATAGAATTCCACCATTATTAAAGGCCTTGGGAAGAAACATGATTCCGGTTCCAATAAAAGCCTTTAATAGGGTAAAGAAAGTCTGTTTGGTGCTGGCGGTGGCGGAGCGCGGTGCACGCGAAGCTCTCCGTCGCCCGAGAAGTGGCCTCGTCTCACTTGGCTCTTCCTCTTCTTCTCCTTCTCCTTCTTCCTCGGAGAGTATTGCCTCATCGTCCGAATCCGCAAGATCTTCTCCAGCAAAGCTTCCATATAACTCTAAAAATTCAACGAAATTCCTAGTTACAGGGACCCTGGCAGCCCATATCTCGCGCTGCTGCGTTTGCTGTATAAAAGCTCTGCGGAAGCCTCCCGGGGCCAATTGGTCGCTTACAGTCAGACCGTCGGGCCCGGTTTCCCCTATAATATCTTGGGGATGGTGGAAAGTTGCAGCTCGCTTATGCATCTTGACCCGAGCAGCGGTCTTGAAGAGGTCTCGGTGTATATCACCTCCCTGGAGCTTTAGCGAGGATTCGCCCAATTCTTGATCTGTCGGGTCCGGGCTCGAAGACGATGCACCAACAGAGCTCCCGGTTACTCCATCGAATTCGGCCGAATATCCAGACGGGAGGTGTTCCGAGACGACTTGAGCGTCATGCTTGGATTGGTCTGATATCGGAACGTGGGCCATTGTGGACAACTTAAACGAAAAAAAAGAAGAAAAAAAAAGGCTGGGTTTAGATATTGTCTAAGCGTAAATGTACATGAGAGTCTTGCTATTGGAAGCAAACGGTAAGTATTCTAACCTATATTTTGATATAAATCTTGGTAATATGCATCTTAGACATTGGATCTTTATGATGAAACGATAGAAAGTGAAGCCGATGCATAAAGTGAAAGAATGACAGTGGCGGTTCTAAAGAATGGAAGTTTCCACTTGATGAACTCATAGAAGACGGTGAAACTTAAAATCCAGGCGTCGTATGGATCCAATCAGACCGACAACTAAAATGATGCCAGGTGGCGGCCCACGATATATGTATTCTTATTAGTCTTATTAGTCTTGTTAGTATCTTTTTACAGCGCCGGTTTGCGCCGGACTTCACCACTAGAGCCCGCTACAACTGGTTAGGTTAAGCTATTGCGGGGTTGGTTATATCAACATGACTGGCTAGAAAATTCTCGTAGATGCTGGCTAACTTTGTAGCGCCAAAGAGTTTGCCTTTTTAAACAAAAGCTACAAACGAATCACACATCAATGAGCACATCCAATCATCTTCTAAACGAAGATAGAAAATTTCTCGATTGGTCTAGTGGTAAGGATACCTGCTTGTCATTGAACAAGTTCGCAGGTGGCCGGGGTTCGATTCCCCGATCGAGAGCATCTTTTTGCGATTTATGATTGCGAATACTTACAACGAATTATTTTTTGTAGCCTCAAACCTGCTCGTGTCTCNAAAAAAAAAAAAAAAAAAAAAGAAAAAAGTATTTTAGTTTAGTTCTTATGCAATTAATGATCTATTATTCCTTTTGCTTAACAGTGCATTCCCGTAGTAGCACTAAGCGGTGTTTGTGTGTTGATTTTATCTCTTCCGCATACCCTTTCTCTGTACATTTGGCATTAGTCACTCCTAGTTAACCCCTACTATTTCTTCGTCATTACCTTCGAAATGTTTAGTTAAAGTACAATTGTTTTTACTACTATCTGGTTAAATTTACTTTCTACACCTCGATAGACATTCCTACCTGCCTTAGGAGCCAGATGTTACGATATTTACCTCAGAAAATCAGCTTGATTTCTCCATATTGAAGTTAACAAATTCAAGTCATGTTTGTGCCGTCTCGCCATGGAGCTAGCGTTACATCAAGTAAGGATATGATTACAATCCACTTCAATTTGCCCGTTCGGAAACGTTACTCTTTTACAGCGTTGCCTTGAGCACCTAGGTACCAAATAGTTGAATAATTTGTTGATATTTTTAAGAAAATATCTACATAGGAAGGTGAGCAAAAAATGGTTTTTATGATACGAAGCTACTTCTCCAAGTGATGGTAAAGAGAATAAATTAGTAATGTGCTGCCCAGACGATATATGAGTGCAGTGTAGCTATATATAAAGTTAAGTCCGCCGAATTGTTCAATCTCGGCGGACGAGAAAACATTAGAGCATTAGTATTAATAATGGTTGCCGGTATCCTAAATGAATCCGAAAGGCCAAATTGGCCGAGAATGACGGGATAAAAGCTAGTTGGCGGATACTATGCCTAATGGAGGGATTAGTAAACTTCAATGAGTGGAGTATTTCCGGTCACTAACCCGGATTTACGGAACCGGACGGACGAAATCATCACCATCTTGTTGCCGTAAGATGGATGCCATGTGCAACCACACCGTAGACATGCGCTTACAAACGAATATACCATTTGGGGGGGTTAAAGTAAACTCATGTAGACTATTTAAACATGAACATATGCCATAGTTGGAGGAACATATTTCAAGCCAGCAACACTTACACACTTACACCTATCTACAAGACTAAACTTTCTCAAACCAAACTACTTCAACTAGAATAATAGAAAATGCCTTCCTACGTGATAACCGGTGCATCTCGAGGACTCGGTGTAAGTACCTATGGATATACGGCCTAGTAGAAAAGAAATACTAAATCGTGAAATAGTTCGAGTTCTTACGCCAACTCTCTGAGGATCCAGCAGCAATTGTTATCGGGCTTGTTCGTGATAAAGAAGGGACTGAGAAAAAGGTATCTTCTCAGATCGGACGCCCCAACGTCCATATTCTCCACGGAGATTTGGATGATTATAAATCTCTGAAGGTAAGATAGCTCATTTTAATCAAGCACATGAGATAAACTATTAACATGGTGCATAGAAAGCAGCGGAAGATACCGCAAAGATCACTGGAGGCGCTGTAGACTATCTCATCGCTAATGGTGCTTTCCTTTCTTCGAAATTGGCTCTCCTAAGTCTTAACGACATGTAAGATTTCCTAATTCTTTTTAGGAGAACTCTCAGAGCCACTCACTAACGCGTCTCATTAAACAGGGCCGACGATCCGGAGGGTCTAGAGGAGGATTTTCTCAGGTCTTTCAAGACCAATGTAGTTGGAAATATCCATCTTTTCAACTTCTTTCTGCCCCTGATCCGGAAGGGGGAAGCTAAGAAAGTAATTTCGATCTCTACCGGTATTGCCGACTACGACTTAGTGAGGGAATTGGAGTATGATATAGCCGGGCCATACACTACGAGCAAGGCAGCTCTCAACCTCGCGGTCGTCGAGTACCATGCCCTATTGCACCACGAAGGGATTCTGTTCTTCAGTATCTCGCCTGGTGTTGTTGCGACGGACGGACAAAACGTCGCCACAGATAATAGTGAGTTATACTTCCCCATCAGCCCCTTACTCAAAATTATTTATGCTATCCTTTATCGTATTCGCTTATGTTTACTAATAATTTCTTAATAAAAGAGTCTGAAAAGGAGCTCGCAAACTCCGAAAAGATGTTTGCCAAATTCGCCAAATATGCACCTCACTTCAAGGGCCCAATAACCCCAGAAGAGTCTGTCAAGAAAGTCATGAAGGTTATCTACAATGCAAGCCTTGAGCGTGGAGATGGAGGTTCATTCGTCTCTCATTTAGGTACCAGGCAATGGCTTTAAAGGACAAGGTATATAGGTGATATACAAGTTTAAGCACGGAGAGCAGCCAGCACCTTTAGAAAGGTCGCGGACAGATAGAATGAAGGTAGGGGATATGTTCTTCTCCACACCAATATATAGGTACCTATTGGGTTATCCATATATTAGACCAATGTGTAAATTTCGATAGCCAAAGCCAACGTTTTTGCAACCTTTTACGTAGTAGTGAAAATAACGGTCCCTAGAAACAAATAGAGATGGGACCCTATTGCTTTGTGAAATGTTGATAGCTTATTCTTCACTAGCTTCGATCGGCCAGGGGCATTACCGAAATTAATAGAAAATATATCAGATATGTCAGTGATCTGACTCACGATATGGAACTTCAATTGCTCGAGAGAAGCTAGTCATGATAGAAGCGCGCTATGTAGTTAGAGCCTTCTAATGACCGACTTACTTGGTATAACAGGGACAGACTTGATTTTTTAGATAACTATTTGATGTGACACGTAGTATTGATGTAGTGATCTCACCAACGAAATAGATAATGATAAATGAAAAGAAATCCACGTGGTTAATAATGCTATTTGATTTATCATTTTCTCCTATTATATCGTCTTTGTTCAAGTTTGCCGAGGTCGCCGACACTGGCGTTATAAATAATTGATCGCCCAATATATAATAACTTCCTAAGGGATGCTAGAACTTTTCACTATGTCTCGGAAGGCTAGGTACAGATAGCATGCTTTCTTAAGCCACGTGGTTCAGCCGCACAATGACACAAAGGAAGGGGGTCGAATCATTATCTCATGAAATGAAGATTGTTAGCTTCAGTCTTTGATAAAGAGAGAGTTGTATCACGTGGAAATTACATTTATCAACAATAGCCTCTTCTAAAATTTAACATGTCAAAACAAATTAGATAACATTAATCAAGCGTTGATATTTTGTTGTAGCACAAGAAGCAGAAATCATGGATATATATGTGTGCACGCGAGCTGCGATGGAGTTGAGCAAGATGGTAGGCCAGGGCAATCCAGAATCAAACCTTCCCAACAACTTGTCACCGATATCATAACTGAGCTCGAGACTCTATTTTCTACGTAAACCCATAGCAGCAAGACTTATATCCAACATGTCACCCTCCAATTCCAGAGTATGTCACGTTGGTAAAGGGCAGGCGCGAAGTATGGGCGCAGACCCTGACAGCCAATCTCTCGTCGACGAAGGTCGAAGTGGCTATGACATCACTTGGAAAGAAGACAAACCACAACCAAGACCACGACCACGCCCGGGACCACGCCCAACCCCAACCCCGAAGCCGAAGCCGAAGCCAGAGGAAGGTTCTCAGACCGATGGGATGTGTACTCGAGATGATCGTCGACGTAAAGGTAAGCGAACTATCTTACGCTATTTCTAGGCAGCACATATTCCTAGCATTGCTAACAACTATTCAAGATTAACCTGATTTTTCATATCCTGGCTATGTCTTTGGTTGATAGACTAAGACATAGAGAGGCATTGAGGATAAGATGGGGCATCGGAAAGGGAAGGGGTATATCTAGCTTACTGGCTTCATGTATCTCACTAGGCCCTTGATGGTGCCCTATATGTAGGATAGCATGGAAGATAAATCTCTGAAAGAAAATGGAGGGAAAAAAAAAACCAACAGTAATATTTAATCACTTCTAACCAATTCACATTATAAGCAAATGTGGGAGTAGCTACATTATTAATACTTCATATTACTATTCTAAACCTAATATTTGAATTATGTCTTACGCGCACTGGGAATAGTACTCGTTCTGTAACGTGCAAGTTAGTAAAGCCCATATATATTTGCAATAATGCAGTGGATAAATGTGACATACCTGTTTCTGGCAAGTATACCCGCTAGCGCAAGTACTGCATCCCGTGAAGCCAGAGCCACCGCACTGGGCCCACTGCGCGACAGTACATCCCGAGGGAGAGGTCGGTGTCGTGGGTGCTGTGGTCTTGGTGGACGTTGCTAGTGTTGTGGAAGCAGGTAGCTTCGGTGTTGTTTGAGAGTCACCGCCAGAGCTAGCTGCCGAGCAAGTGAAAGGATCAGGGCCTGACCATGTCTATGTTAGTGAGTGTTGTTGAGCTGCTTAAGGTAGATACATACCAGGGATAACGTATTGGCTGTTCTTATCCATGGAGTAGATGTTGATGAGGATGCCCGGATCATTCTGCTTGTAAATACCGGGGAGGCTATAGGTTGTAGGCGTCTTTGTAGCCGAACCTCCTGAAATATTGATCTGTGCGCATTCCATGTACAGCTGAACACCCTTACTGGATCCAGCGGCGTGAAGGGCAATCATTTCAGCACGGAGGAGGTATTGTCCATCTGGTAGACAGTCTGGGATCTTAATCGGGTGCTTGCCCTCGTTGTTGATAACCTTCGAGGTACCCCAGACTCCGTTGCTGTAACCATCTTCCTGAATCTTGAACCTAGTGAATAGTAAGCATTATACCTAAATTTATATTCCAACTAATAAGCTCTAACTTACCAACCATCGCCGTATCCCTTGTCAGTCGTTGCATCGCCGACTTTCTTGAGGTAGGCGAGGGTAGGTCCCAGATGGCTCGCTTCCATCACATCACCGGGGCCAGATGTCAGCGTGTGCCTCCAGATAGCATTGACTGTGGAGCCAGCTTTGACGTCGATGATCTTGTCAGAGGGCGTAGTCGGGTTAGGACCGCCGTTGCATGCAACATCGTTAGACGTTACGTCGCTAATAGGGCCATCATAAGATGGCGTTCTTATGCCGTGAGATACTGGATTCGTCACACCATTTGCCTCAAGTTGAACGAAGATCGTGTGAGCGCTCGCCAGACTGGCGCTGGCAATAGCAGCCGCTACCAAAGAGTATCTCATTTTGTAAGCTCAAGAATATCGTCCTACTGCTGAGATGAGGGTTCCTGTCGATCTTGAAAACTACGAATGAGAATCTGGGGTTGGAGTCATCTATAAATAATTAAGAGGGTTACTATTATGGTTATTATGGTTATGCTAGAGGTGCTGACCCCGGAGTCCGGACGGATCACACGGTAGCAACTGGCCGCGCGACGGCGAAATGCTATGGTAGGGTATCATCAAAGAGCCAGTATTCTCCTCCAATAGTTAGCGATGCGGAGGCTCCGAGCAGAAACAGAACGGCCAAAATTCCATAATCATCCTAGCGTTTCTAAAAGTTGTGGTGTGCTGGGGTGAAAACTAGATGCCACGAACGATCGGCGGAGGTTGCGCATCCGGATCTATTTTCGGCAGGCCCCCTATTAACAAGCCAGGGTGGTAGCGAAGACCGCCGCGAAATCCCGGCTCATGTGATGCTAGGCGAACTCTAGAAGAGCCCAGCAGCTCGGGAATAAATTGGACGAAGCCGCTCAAGCATGATCCCCAGACCATAAGCTAGTTTGGTCGAGATTCCCGTCCTGTGCTAGACAACGTCACCAGATTCTTGTTTCTTGCCAAGCCCCAACCAAGCCGGGATAGCGGCGCGAGATTCAGCTGTGATGCGAACTTTTCAAGCTTGAGATTCGGAATCGTGTCCCGGATCGGCGGATTATTGATCGTGAAGGATGACATATCTGGTAGCCTCATATTTTCAGCTAAATATCTACCAAAGTAAATGAGTTCAGTCGTAATAATTTCATATAACTGCATCGATTTATTCTTGGCACGTCTAAATTGCGGACAGAGTCGCTCGACCTTCCTCTGTTTAATCCCTGTTTAGTTCATGCGGGGGCTTTTATTTCACGATCTTACAACTCTAGAAGCAACTCATCAATTTCATCAAGTGAATAGGAAAGTTCGTCAATAAGCCCTACTTCAAACCACGAGCTCCAGAACTAATATTGTCTATTGTAGGTACCTATGTTAAGTATATATGATGCTATTTAAGCACTTATTTGGGGATGTTCTTAACTACAATAGCCTCAAGTTCAGCAGGGCTCAACTCCTTGATACCTAGCAGCTCATTGTCAAGCTTCTGGAAGCGGCCTCCATATCCATCGCTCCAAATCGCTACCTTAAGAGTCGAGATAAAGACGTTCGGCGTGAATGCGGTCTTGTTCTCTTCCAAGGCCTTCTGCAGTCCCTCGTCAAGCGACGTCACGTTCTCCTTCCACCCGTCTGCTCCAACGTGTTTCTTGAGGATCTCTTCTATCTGCTTCAGACTAATAACAGCCTCTTGGACATAGACTGGGCGGTTTTTGGTTTGCTCAGGGTTCCTGAGTACGCCTACTACAGCCTTTCCAATCGTTGACAGTGTTGCAGCTGAAGTGGTCTTGTTGCCACCGTCTGGTAATTCGATAGTACGGTTTTTGACGTCTGCGAAAAACCCGACACGGATCGCCCAGTCCAGGAAAGCACCGTTAAGTACTGCAGTCCAAGTCAAGCTACTCTCGGCAGCAGCTTTCTTCAAGGCTTCCTGGACTTCGACCTTGGGTTTGTAGCAAGGTAGCTGTGATGCCTTCTCGTTGAAAGTGTCTGAACCAAACTCAGATGGAATGAAGCGCTTCACTCCCGCCTTAGCTGCGGCCTCAATAAGAAGGACCTGTGAATTCAATGCAGGGGTCGTGATAGTCGCAACAACAGCATCTTGCCCTTGAAGTGCTTCCGTTAGAGAATCGAGCGAGCTGTAGTCAACCTCCTTAACGGTAACATTTGACGGCCAAGTATGAGAGCTTCCCTTGCGAGTTATTACGGTAACTTGGAAACCCGCATTCAAGACTTGTTCAAACACCGGTGCTCCGAGATCTCCGCTGGCCTACATGATGTTAGCAGGGATGAAATGAATATAAAAGATTCCATTGTAGTCGTCCTGCTCACTTACACCTGCAAGGGCGACCTTAGTGATGGTAGTCATATTGATTGATGGATTGAGGAGAAGCTAAGTTAATTGTTTTCTTATCTAGAGCCTGAGTGTTGTTGTTGTGGATGAAGAGGAAGATATTTTTGATTTCATCTTGGATGAGAAGATGGCTTTATATTTACATACGTTCCATCCCATGGACTATCCATGATGGACTATCATGTTTTGTAAGCATTATTTCTAATATGATTAACTAGTATAATAGCGCCATAATGAGTTCTGATGTCGAAGATTGTATTTGAAACGATTCACATATAAGCAACATCGAAGAGCTTCACTGATGTATCATCCCACATTAGCCAGATCTGCCCACCTAGGTGACCCTTTAAATCACCTTCACCCCCACTTGGTAAAGGCTTCATCCCACATCCCACATTTTAATCCCACATTATCATGACTAATATGTGTTGGCCGGTGATATCGGACTACTGTAAGTCAGCTCCGATATCTCCTTCATCGCCATCAAATCTCTCTCCCATTCCACATTCCACATGCTTATTCCAATCCACACATCCACATATGTCTAGGTGGGAGAACTCATAGCATCGCGAGAATATCCCTGCCGACGAGGGGCTCTACGGAATTATTCGATATCTTAGTTTCTCGATCAAGTTAGGTCACTAGTTGACTTGACGTGTATTAGTCCAGTCTTGTTTTGTTGGCCTGTGTGAGGACAGGGGGCGGGTGTACAAGTGGAATGTCTCGATATGTCCTCGTTACCAAAAAGTTGGGAATGCTCGTTTCCTGGGTGTGACAAACGCTTTGCTAGAAAGGAACATCTAAACCGACATAAACTAGGCCACAATCCAGAACATCAGTATAAATGCCCCGTATGTGGGCGGCGCTATGCACGGAGGTATGTACATCATCTTTAGCTTATTGGCTCTCCCCGCCTCAACACAGTAAATCATTTTATGATTTAGGTATATTGCTAATATAGATGTTAGCGATGTGTTTAAGAGACATGTAAAACAACATAACCCAGATGTTTCTCAGACGCCAGACACAAGAAGGTGAGTGACACTTAGGATAGCTCAAGATTATCACTTACATGTTTCGTGATTGATTTTTAGAATATGTTTGCCCTGCGGCGAACGGAGCACCCAATGCGATGGGAATTCCCCTTGTGGAGCTTGTACTTCAAGTTGGATAGAGTGTCGTTGGATTAGTTCCGAAGACCATCATGGGGCTAGTACTGAACCTGCGATCGTGATGCCAGCAAGCGGTTCCAGTCAAACAACATGGCTTCCACCAACTCCAGAAGGTTGGACTTCAGGACCATTCTCGGCAACACCCTCATACTCAGAAACTTCAAATAACTTGAATTTTGTTCGTGAAGAGCATGGCACTCTGGAACCAGCTGGCCTGGTCCATTCTACATCAAATCCTAGCACAGTTAGATTTGAACCAACCCACTCAAATACGTCGAATGTTACCCATATGTCTCTTCAGCAGACGTCGCCTCCAACAACGCAGCCTCAAACGACTTCTCAATCACCTAGATCTGCCGTAGTGGCAGATTCACAGACTTATCTGGATGAGAACTCACCCAATGCAGAGAGGCTTGTCGAACTTTTCTTCCGAGAAATTCATCCGTATTGGGCTATCTTACACGCGCCTACGTTTGAACTGAAGAAGACTCCACCGGTTTTATCGGTATCCATGATTATATTGGCTAGCTGGCTTGAAAAAGGACCAGACCACGAAAAACTTGCTCCTATTGTCTTCGACGAGGTGGCTCGGATTCGAATGGTGTGAAAATTTGACCCTACTCTGGATTCCTCCCTTCTGCGACTAACATCCACCACCTAGGTCCCCCATCCGCCGTTACATTTATTACAAGCCGTTTTACTTTATATTGTTTACGCAACATGCATGTTGGTATGTAAATATGTATACATCTTGCACCATATTTACCTAATATTAATATTCATAGACTACGGATGGTATGGTAGCAAAAGCCCTCAACCTCACGGGCCTATTAGTATCAACCTGTCGGTATCTTGGCGTTTTTAACGGCCAATATTCATGCCACGAGATGAGTGGCCTGGCTAGTAGCTGTCCGTTTGTTGCTTGGCGAATACAAGAACAACTAAACAGGTAGTCTATACTTCATCCTAAACATATTTCAAATACTAACGATACGATTCATACTCAGACTTGCGTTTTCCGTTCTTCGCGTTGACGCATATCTCAGCATGCTCTTGGACCACCCTCCTTCAGTGCGCTATCAAGAGTTATGGATTCCTCTTCCCAAATCCTCTCAGTTATGGGCTGCTTCCAACGAACCAGAGAGACGCGAACTCCAATGGAACGAACCAGCAGGTCGCGAAAAAGCACTCTTTTCATTCTTCATGCGCGATGCCCTTAATCCCAACCGCGGAAAGTTGCCGTATTGTCTTACCGACATCGACTACCACCTGAGCACTTGCGCAACCCAGACAACCATCTGGGAATTCGCACGAGAAGCCCACAGTTCCATGTCAGACGAGCTTGCAGAAGAGATTAATCCTGGCATCTTCGTCGACATGGCACACCCACACCTAACCCTCTGGCGAGACAAGCGCAAGCAAGACTGCTCCCTTCTCGAGCAATACTTTGCGGGCGACCTCTACGGAACCGAGTATCTCCTAGCTCCGCTCACATTCACACTGATGTACATGTCCACGCTGAAAATGTTTGCTCCGATGAACGTCCTGCGTATCAAAGGGCATTACTACAAATCGCGCCCCGGCGCCGCAATCCCAACCCGCAAGCCCCAAGCCCACCTCCTAAGCTGGATATCGACCGGATGTCCCCGTGCCGCGCTCTGGAACGCCGCGCAAGTCTGCCGCATCTTCACCATCGAGTCTGCCCGCACCGAGTGCGACGTCAGAAGCGGAATTACCTGTCCCCTTCTGCGCACGCGTCTGCGGCTTAACCCCCTCCTCATCCCTGGCGTGCTCATGAGCGCCATCGTAGCATGCTCCTACGCGCGTCTAAAGGGGCGCTGCGCGAACTGCCGCAGCGACGCCGACTCCCCGGGAACTTCCTCCTCAAATACTACTACCAACGATGAAGTAATCGACCTATTCGAAGCAAAGGAGCAGGACGAGGCCTTCCAAGCGTGGAAGAACCACGGGACGCATGTCCCGTACTGGGGTGGGATCTGCGGTAGCGAGCGCGTGCGAGTCTGTAAGTGTCAGCTCTCGAGTCTCGCGGCCTGGTTCCGCAGTGCGTTCGCGGATGATGAGGCCGCGGAAATGGAGTTTGTGCTTTTTCTCGCGGAGCTGAGCGGCGAGGCAAAGTAAGCTTACTTTCGATAACCATAAGGATGCTACAAGATGGATAGGAATGAACGGGGTAGGGAGTTGCTAATAATTCAGAGGCGTGACGAGAATAACCAGAGGAACAGGGTTTGAACTATAATATCTTACCGTGATAAGAAACAAACAAATGCCGACCTGTAACTAAATACCCGGTGTTGTATTGGAGATGATAGGTAGCTTCCCGTTACCCTTTTGCAAGCCCGTTCAGGTTTAAAAATTATCACAATAAATTTGCGACATAAACGTTTATATGCCACTTGTATATCAAATCAATAATTCGCAATTCACCACTTTAAAGAGAACATGCTTATGAAATACATGCTGATTTCGAGGAGGGCGTCCTTTAAGAACGCATAGAACTAATATAACACTTCGCAAAGGCAACTCGCATTCGAATACCCTCTCTGAGAGCTGAACAAAAGCGCCCTCGCCAGCCTTTTTCTCCCCCTTAACGCCAGTGATAAGCCAGATACGATACCCGATCACCTAGTCCAAAGGTACCTTAGGTTCCCCCCCGTCCATAGGCGTCCTTACTAGGACTAACCAGAACCAGACCTGAAATATCGAAGCAGCTCAGTGGAAACTCCACCGTCGACAAGTTCGTAATTAATGAGCCTCCTTCTCCATAGCCTCCAATTCCTTAACGACAGAAGCCTTCGTAGCGATCTTCTTCATCTGAGTGTCCTCTAGCTTCTCGCCCACAGCATGTCGCATTTCGAGGTCCTCGATTGCGCGGATCTTTTTCTGTAAGCTGCGCAGTTTCTTGGATGCGGGATTCTGGCTGCCGGGCGAGAGCAAACCGTCACCAGTGTGCGGTAGGGATGTTTGGATCTGCGGCGCAGTCGGTGGTGCCTGTCCGTTTTGTTGCGTGTTGCTACGATTACGTCCCTGGTTGTTACCACCCTGAAAGTTATGTCGCGAGCGACTCCGATCATGTCTCCGTTGGTTATACTGTTGGCCGCGGCGCTCAGGACTGCGTCCCTCATTTCCAGAACCGGGACCTTGGTCCCTAGCTGGAGGCGCCAAACCACCATTCTCCCTCCTTTCTCCGTCCCTGTTCTCGGGGTCTTTGGCCTTCTTGTTGTTTCTCTTTTTCTTGTTCTTCAGGGCAGCCTTTGACAAATTGTCGTCACCATTAGTACCATCAGCTGGCACTGCACCAGGAACGGTGCGTGCACCAGATTCAAGGAATTCTGCACCAGGAACTTGGCGACGCGACCTCCCAAATCCGTTCGGACCCACGTTCTGAGCACCGTTGCTCATCACATGGGCGGCACCTCCCTCGTCCTCTCTTCTAAAGTGAAGCGGCGTTGACATGCCTCGAGCACCGGGAGGGCGGTAAGCGCCAACAGGCTTCGACGGAGTCTTCACTGTGCCCAGGTATGCGATAGCCGAAGAATGGGGGGTGGGAACCGGGTGTAAGGGGTCGCCCTGGGGTAGATTCTCCGGTAGAACTGGTCTCCAAGTCACGTTATAGAGCTCTACCATATCTTCATGGTACATGATGCCCCCACCGACATGCCAGATCTTAACACCATTATCAACACGGAGGCGTGGGGACGTTGTGGCTGTCATAATATATCGGCTGTCAGGGCTCCATTGGCACACACTAGGATTGCTACTCTCGATGGTGCAAACCTTACGATAATCTTTCTCCAGATCGTAAACGTCAATTTGACCAGTCAGGTTGCCGAATCCACCAACCAGGGTAAATCGACCAGTTGGCGAAAAGATGATTGTGTTCCGGGGAGCAATAGAAAATGAGTGAGTGGCGACCGCCCTATGATTGAAGATTGTGGTCTTCGCGGGCATAAAACCATAAATCACACCAAATTCTTTACCATTTGGAGACCACGACACATCGTGAATCGGCCCTTCCTTATCCAAGGTTACACGGGCATCAAGGGAGCCATTAGCGGAAAGGAGATAGAGATTGGTTTCTCCATAATAACTCTTGTTCGATTTATCAACATCTGTTTGTGCCAGCACAATCAGGCTCGTTCCCAAGCTATTCCACTTGAGCTGAACCTTATCGCCCTTGAAGAAAGTCTTCTGCGAAATCGAGTTCGTGAACTGAGGAACGTTGTAAACTTTAACAGCAGCAGGTTGTCCCTATATCGTATTGTCAGCTTCAAGTCAAGTGAGAAATTAAAAAGGACAAACAAACCTTTCGCTCAGGGATGAAAACCGCAACATTGTAGCTTTGACCAGGAGCAATAGCAAAATCGACTACGCCTTCGACTCGAAGCTTATCCCATACTTTGCTCAGATCATTGCTTTCATAGAACTGCACTTCGTTGGTGACGAGACGGGCGCAGAACTTTTCATCAAAAGTATATTGGAGATTCCAGCCGGTCTGGGACTTTTGAACAAACCGTCCTATGGGTTGCTTCTCGACATCGTCGGGGAGGTCTTCGACAGTTCGCCAGATCTTCAAGTTCTTTGTCGCATCACCAGCCTCGTCCTTGGTAGGGCGTTCCCAAGTACTGAAGAAAGAACCGTGGGGAGAAAAAGCGACGTCGAAGACGTTAAGCATAGATATGCTAGTTAAAGCATGGCCAACAGATGCATCGACAATGCAGACACATTCGCTGGACACCCAGGCTAGATATCGGCCACAGGGCGAATAGACACAGCACCGCAAGTTCCCTTCGGGTTTAACGAATCCGGGGAGAGGCTCGTAGACAGGCGCAGCGTCGGTAACGCCGATAGCCTTCTGGGTTCGGTAAGCAAACTGCAATGGATTCGCCATGACTAGTCAAAGTCACAGAAAAAAGAGGTGAATTGCAGGGGTTTTCAAGTATTGTTCTTGTCGTTAGTATGAATATTCTCTTGCCCAAGGACTCGAGATATCAGGCGGGCGTGGGAGGGAACCGAGTAGATTTATCAAAAAGCTTTTCTCAGTTGACCTAATAGTGGACTCGATGGTGACAGGCTACCCTAAATACCAGTTAAAGATATTAAACAGGTTAATATCTCGGTGGACTCGTATCAAGTATATAATTTGTCTGGTGGGTATGATGAAAGCCTGCAAGAAAGTCGTAATGAGCCAGCAGAGAAAGATGTTGCTGCGCCGCGATAAAGCTTATGGCCTTCGATTGGTGATGCAGTTAAACTTGTCGGAGGACCAGATTTGACACCTCGGATAGGGCACGCAGGGGCGAAGAAGTAATAAAAACGGCAAGAAGAATAGAAGGGAACTTGACAGGTCACCCAGAGGCAGGAGATTGACGAAAGGCAGTGGGTGGACTTGACCGTGACGGAACGGAGCTTGAGTGGGCTGGAGAAGAAAGAAAGGGACGAGGTGAAAGACGAAAAAAATAAAAATACAAGCGAGTCATGACTGCTGCTGACAAGGAAATTTCTGCCATGTACCGGACTTACTTCAGCCACAGTTTAACTTTAAATAGTTAGCGGCATTGAGGTCCACTTAGATTCTTTTCCCACTTCCAGCCCACTTCCAGCCCCATGATCGACGGGCTAGACCTAATACCTCCTACCCCCGTAACCCAATCGGTTGGCAGCTGCCTTTTTGTATTACCCAAACTTCTAATTTGAGACCAGGAAGAATACCTACATGTAGGTATGTACTTCTTGAACTTAAACTAACTTGTACTATATTTACTAAGTACATGTACTAGCTGTCTAAAATTAAACCTCTAGCCCATACCTACCTAACCTATGCAACCGTGTAGACGATTGTGGCGCAATATCCTTAACATACCAACTAACACGCAGCTCCTTAGGTAAGTCCATTAGGTATAGTACTTATACAATGTGTCAACAACTATGGCACATCTTATCTTATGAGGTAGGTATACTATGTGTAAGTACCTAACCTACCTAGGTTGGTAGTTACATAGTATGTTTGCTTTGTTCATTAAATCAGATGACAGAAGAAGACGACTAATTGAAAGTCATGGGGCAACTACAAAATTGCCTTCATCTTATCCCAAACTTATACTTGCTTCCTTAGCACAAATTCATCCTAAACGTGTAACCTACTTCCTGTAATTTTACGTTAAGTGTGTATTTCAAGTTAGCTGCCTGTTAGTCTAGCATCTTACAAAGTCAAACTGGGCTCTTCCTACGATAAACAGTCATATATATCATTTAGCCGCGCTAGGTCATCCCATTTCATAGCCTCCTTTATTTTGAGATACTGGGCTCGGGGGCAAAGTTCTTGAGTGTCTTGGGAAAAGAGGTCAGGAGTAAAATCGAAAACGAATATTTGTTATTATTCCATAGTAGGAAACACAAGTTCCTCACATACGCCATTAAATACGACACAAATATAGACTATAGACTATAGACTTCATACAACATCTCTAATCCAACAGTTCCGTCCACACCAGATACAGATTAGGCAACTTTGATTTTTCGTACGGCCTAACCTTCTTACCATCTTCCTCGATCTCGAAAATCCACGTAGGAAACGTCACTAGAGTAGAACTCCTGAACGGCTTCGGAGGGTTAGACCATACATGGTGCATTTGAGGCGCTCCACAGTTGATTTGTATTGCCCGATATCCCCTAGATTTCATTTCGAGCATTATGAATCTTGCTAACGCTTTCATGAGCCCTTGGCCATAATATCCGTGTCTTGTTCCGCTACCGACCCGTTCGATAACCTGCCCGGCCGCCGTGGGCTCCCATGATCCCTTGGGTCGTGGGTCGTGTACTTCATAATATTTACCCATGGGAACATTCATAGGCGTGGCCTTCGTTGCAGCCTCCCACCCCTTTGGGTCACCAGGGACGAACTTGTCGAACGATAATCCAAAGCCAACAATAGGAAAATCTAACGCATCAAGTAACCTTTGCCGTCCATTAACCTCTAGATCGGGATCGTCGACATCGAAGTCGTTCCAATAACAAGCACCACCCTTAGCAGCTGATTCGGGCCTCTTAAATACGAACTCCTTGTCCCAAATGCAGAAAGACAGGCCATTCTTTGCCGCCATTTCAGGCATCTCATAGAAAGGTTTGCAAGCATGATAAGCCTTTAATGCTTCTCTTGCCTGGCGTCCTTCGTATATTGCGCTCCAGATGGGCGAGTCGAAGTAGTGGGTAAAGAAACTCAAGGCCGAGACTGACTCGGCGAGATCAGGCGTCACTAGTCGGATTTCATATCTTGAGGGCAGTTCAATCCCGTGGCTATTCCGTATCGGAGCACCCGGTCCCATAGTCGCCTACTACTTGGACTTGTACGCCGTCGAAGTTATTCCTCCCCTTTAAAACTAACGATGTAGGTGACGCCCAAGTATCAAGTTCACCTAGAAGGTTAAATAGTATGAAAGGATGTCTCGCGTCAGCATTGACTGTATAATATCTTATGTCACTTAGATCTTTGTTCCGGGAATACACGAAAAGATATATATCCCATCATGACGTGAGCGCCAGATGCGCGAGATAGTATGGCATATCCTAATGTAGCAAGGAATTCGCTGCACACGGTCAAGGGGGCGTGTGGCCAATTGAATGTGTCTAATTATCTAGCTGTGTCGCATTGTTTACCGCACTTGTGAACATATTAGGAAGCTGACTTCACTTAGGATGACTTGGCAAATTTTATTACGATTTTAACATGCTTCCTATCATCGCAAATGCTGTTAGCTACGATACACCATGTGCACCTGACCACAAAATGTCGAATATAGATTGTCTTTAGACTACACACCGCTGTATATAAGCCCACTTCATAAGATATTGTGGCCAACGCAAAAATGACGCGAATCGATCATTGGCTCACAGCTGGTCTTACTACTTAAGGTATTGCATTTGGCCATGGAAATGAGTAATGAATATTTATACAAGTTTTATTTCGTATCGCTAATACAGAAATTATGTTTTAGCATATGCTAATATGAAGCTCCGATATGCGGCCTGAAAGCTGTGGAAGGGGTTTACCACCCTGCGACTCCAGCATCAAGCAATAGGGTGTCGATAACATCCTCTCCCGAGAGCAAAGTTGCACTCACAGCCCCAGTAGGTGATTCAATTGCGATGGACCCGGACCAGTAACCTATATCCTTCAATGGGCTTTCACCCTTCTCGAGCTGTACATCTGCCCGTATAATCTTGGGCGCAAGTGTGAGTGGCTGCGCAATCGGAGTCGAGACTCTTACTGATACTTGCGATGGATCGAAATCGGCTTGGTCTGTCCTCGCAGCAATGGTAATGGAAACTATGCCATCCGCAATACGAGTCAAGCTAGGGACGATAAACGCTTTATCTTGAATGGGGAAGACTTGAGTCTCGAAGCCTTTTGCCGCTATAGCAAACGATGATGCTTCTAATAACTTGGCGCTAGATATCGAGAAGGGTAGGTACTGCGTTGTAGCGTTCGTTTTGTTATCAGTTAATTTGAACACAGAAATTCCTAAGTTGTCCTCGGGGACCAGTGTCTCCGTATAGTTATTCGAGAAAGTTATCGAGACCGGGTCCTTCGGAATCTCTCCAGAGTACAGCATCTAACTTCTTCTTAGCCACGTGTCACTGTAGGGTTTATATCTTACATTCAGTCACATACCCTGATTTTTCCCGAGAGGACTAGCTGTTTATCGCTAGTGACATCCCAAGTCACATTTATCGGCTTGATGAGTGCTGGCGCGATTTCTGATTGGAGTTGTACTCCTGACGGGACGGTGTTGAGCATACGGCTTAGTAAATCGACGCAAGTGTCTTGAAACCCATCCCCTTGGGCGTAAAGCTCTAACATGGTCTTGTTGCCATCGCTCTCGTATAGACGGAGGTCCGACCTACTGCTCTCATTGAAACTTGTGACGAGCGCACCACCCCTGGCTCCTGTGTTGTCGATGTATTCATGGACCACTGCTGGATCGAACACAGCCCGTGTATCGTCAAAGTTTGATGCGCCATTGGTATTATTAGGAGTGATGGCAGACTGCTCAACTACTTCTGGGAACCCTCCGGCATGCACCTACGTATCATTATGATTAATACAGATTATATTAATGCGAAAAAATTACTCAATGAGAGTATGAAACCCGAAATATATTTTTCTCAGTGCTCCTTTAATATGGAGTGGCAGGCTTGGGAGGATGTGACTTACGGATCCTATTGTGTGACCACATGCCGTCAAAGCGATAGCGTCGTGCTGGTTAAAGCCGGTTTGCTCGAACTGTGCCAGTGTTTCTTCCAGACTTGTTGACGCCTCTGGCACGCCGGTCTTGGGATCAGCCACGGTCGCGTCTACTCTACCGGGTTTATACGGTATGTATTTCCCTCCGCATAGATGTACCGACATGACCGTCCCGATGGCAAGCAGATCAGCCACTTAACATAGTTTTCTCTCAGCACCGCAAATTCAAAGTCTATTAGTACCGCACCGGGATTTCGTAGTTGGCTTACTAGGAATAAACTCGTTAACGAAGGGCCGCCAGAACGTAAAGCTGTCGTTGAACGCGGTACCGGAGTTCTCGCCGCGAGCCGTCTCGAATCCGATGCTAGCATCTAACCCGCCTGTCCCGGCAGCAACATCGGCCGTGGCGAAATCATGGAACGCAACGCGCAACCACTGCGCAGACGTCGTCCTGCGAGAGTTTATGGCAGGCTGGCCTACTTCTGTGACATAGTTATCGCAGGGCGTGATGGCCGACGAGAAATTAGAAGCATATGCGCCCCAATTGTCCACGAGGATGTGTTCGAGGGCTGATACAGCAACGTTCGGGTAGTAGAACATGGCCACAATTGGCATAGGGACTGTGCCCAGGAATACGATGAGACCCGAGGATACACGCATCTTGTCAACTCAACACAACTTGGTTCGATGGTTGACTCAAATTCAACAGCAAGAGACCAGCATGCCTACCTACCTATATATAAGTCCAGAAGGTGACTAACGCAACCAAGCCGCGTATAAGTCAATATCAGATGAGAGTCGTGGGCAAGGTACGAAACGCCAAGATAGCTTCATTAAATAGGAGACGGTAGAGAGGCCGGGATGCCGCATCATATACCGGGTTTTATAGACCACTTGGCACAACATAGTAATCAGCTCGTCGGCCGAACCCAGCGACTCCACCTCGGGGAATACGGTAAGCCACTCGCCTCGAATCCATATCGTACGGCCTGGAAGTCATATTGGGTCAGATTATCATTAGATATGTTCTTACTGGACGTTGCGCGGTTGTAATGGTCAGCGCCCCGTGCCATTGCAGCGTGCTAGGACCGGGAGCGATGTGACTCTGCGAGTGCGTAAAACGCGCGGGAGCCAATGCTGATCAGGGTCTCACGTTGCCGCCGCTTTGCCGGTACCCTGGTCCCGCGCATGACTGTCGGTGGAACTCTATAAAATCGGCAGAAGCGCCGAGCTGCCCTCCTTATTTAGAGACTGGTAAACTTTTAGTGTATTAAAGCTTGTTTATACCCCAACTTTTGGTGCGTGACGACGTTTGGGATTTCTGACCATAGGTACTTTATAAGCACGGTATAACGCATATGTACCTGTTTGACGATAGATAGCCTACTGTCACATTCAGAGACGGAGTTAAAATAGAACGATACCTAAGAGTTCTACTATTGCGCGTTTAGATTCAAATAGCTGTTCTCGTGGGAAGCTTATCATAGAGTCGCAAGGAATGAGGATGAAGCAGAGGAGTTGTCTGCAAGGATCCACGGATCTACATACGGGGAATAGCTTACATAGATTAGTGGGTAAGTTGAAGATTGGGGATGGTCGTCTGGGGCTACCTTGTAAACTCGCCTTCTCTTGCTGACAGCGTATTAGTGTGGTGATTTCTTCGCATAAATAAAATTTGCTCCAGATAAATGCATGAATCAAGTTCTACGAACTGCCAGGTGCTCTCATGAATCATTTATATTACGCAGTTACTAATTTAACTGTCGTTCTCGTTCTCCACCCGGACCATGTCACGACTCCACGATGTCTATTGAACATGATAGGGGATGAAGCTGATGAAGTAATAGACGTTGTTTCCAGCGGTAGCCTATCGTAGTCTTTCTCGAGACGTAGTTCCTCTTCATTATTTATGTTTCTGCTATGTTGAGTACTGCCCACTTCCTCGTCGTCATCTCTAACCCGTAAGCTTTAGTATTGTTTAGTGAGTTTAGCACTAGATGTTACATAATAAGGAGGGAAGACACCTTTATTGAGCTGAAGGATGTAACATCGGGTTTTAGATCATTGAGGTGGACACATGGCTAGATGCAAAGTACAATAGTTGTAATGCAACAATGGATTGTGAGGCTAGTCGATATAACCCTGCGGACATCTCTAACGCGCATAGGGTATTTTTTTCTTTGTTAACTAGGTACCTACGACTGAACTTCCGTGTTCTTTTTCAAGAGCCTGTATTAATCATACATCTGACTTGAATGATTTATTAAATTTATTAAAGTCTTCGCTGTAGGGTTTTCCACGGAACCATTGTCCATGTTTGCGTCTACGCACGATTTTCGATAACACACCGAGAATTGATCGAACTGAACATCTCCTTCGGCATAAGCTACACGCATTGTTAGCTTTATTCGACGCCATAAAATCTAAAGAGGGTTTCTATCTAGTATATTCTTTTTGTGCTTAATAATAGGTATTGGCCAGATGCCGGTTTAAATGACGAAGAAAGTTAAAAAAGGAAAAAAAAAAGGAGGTGTGATCGTCTAGGGAATCGAACCCTAGGGTCTAGCAGTACTTCTAAGAATAGTATAAGGATATAGTGTCAAGTAGTTCTTAGGAGGGGCGGGAAGTATTTGCTAGGCCGTTCCAACGCGACCTTTTGGCATTTGTTAAAAGCCCTATGCGCATAATTGATATATAAGTCTTCATTTTAGAATTTGAGTGGAACAATATCGGGTGGCTTGTAATAAAATTCTGGCCTTGTGGTTTGACAGAGCTTATTCTGTTTGAATTACGTACGATAGAGTTGTCAATTAGTCCTAAGCTAAACCGTTACTACAAGTCTACTATCTCTATTGTATCTGGCAGTTGGAGTTATCCCCCTCCCCCTTTTAATAATTGCCAAAGATTGAGCTTCTTCGGGCGCTACGTCACAATGTTACCGGTCGAATTGGATGCGTGATGGGCATCTTGGAATAGACAGTTTGGCATAGGCTAGAGGTGGTCGAGTATGTCTGAGTCCCTAGAAGATTATGGAGAAAATGTGGTAGTCTAATGGCACTTCAGTGCGCGTAGAAGGAACAAGGCTTTATCAAGATAGGTTACGTGGAAGCTTAGGATACGCCCAGTTACATTATGTCTAAAACCGACAACATGTAGCACCAATTAATTACTACCTATTATCAGGAATAGCATCCTCATCCGCAGTTCCCATGGCCTTATCTGATCCTGTAAATGTTACATGCTACTTCCTTTCCGGGTCTCTGGGTCGAAATTCGACCATGATATCCTCGTCTGGGACGGGGAAGCCTGCTTGGACCGGCGAATTTTCCTAGGTAGACTCAATCCACTTACCAGCAACAGGCACTCTGTTCGGTTTCTTGCGTCTAGGGGTCGGCTTCCGCGCAAAACGCAAATGATCGAACCCTCTAGCAACTTCGTCCATCTAGAGACATCGGTATGCTGTGCTAGAGCCGGAATCATGAGCATGCTACCCTTCTTGAGAAGAAAGCGTTTATCCAAGAGCACGTCCTCGAGAAGAACACGTGGGCCGGGGTTCACGGCACGGTCGCGTAGCATTTCTTGAAATATACTTAGAAATACGGGACAAGATTCGCGAATGCCAGCCAAGTCAACAGTGTTGATGATACCCTTTTCTTCATCATTCTCCTTACGCACTAAGGTATAAACTTCGCTGCGGATATCAGCCAATACTTTCTGTGAAAAGATGTGGTAGAAGACCCATAAAGCACAGGGGGTCGAATTTCCTAATACAACAAAAGTGTTCCCGAGTTCCCCGCGCGCTACGTCTTCAAGACTGAGACCGAATAGTTGCTGATAATGCTCAAAGCGCTTGCGCACGAGCCCAGAGGTTTTTTTGTGTCCTCTCTTGCGTATATAGGTAGTTAATCATGGCATTGGCTGCAAGCTCGCATGCACGGCCTCGAATATTCTATGGTAGTTGTCAGTAGGTTTCTAGGGATAATGGAGGCCAATAGAGCTAAGGGATAGTAATCGTACTTACTTCCAAGCTTCGACAACAACAAGGTCTCGGTACGGATTCTGTGGCCCCCAGACTGCTTCCGTCGTGGATTCGACTATGATTCGACGTGACTACTGCCACAGACCGACTTGCACAGTTCCTTGTGCTCGCAGCTTTTCCATATCGGCTGAAAACCCCTCCATCGATCTTCTGTTTATCGCTTCAAGATCCTCTCCGGGTTCCATCACAGGCGTAATAAACTTATGCTGAAGCCATCCTCACTTGTTAGGTTCTGATGCATTATTTTGACAGCTTCCTTACTCATACCAACAAGATGACCTACATCGGCTACGATAATAGCAAAACTAATAGTGCGCCATTGTCTCTGAAGTGCGGGGATAAGTTGGGTGGCATTCATGATATACATTCGCGAAAAGGGCATGCGTAGGGTATAGATTAGAAGCTTTTACGTGTCTCTGTTTGAAGTTCTAGACCAGTACCCAGAATAAGAAGCATCAGATACTTAGGTATAGATTGATATAGATTTCTCAAGAACAGTTGACAAACCTCAATCAAATACAGAAGCGTGACTTCTCTCTTAACATCCCAATCAAAGGGCTGAAGAAGGGAACTCCAACCTTGATGACTGGTGGTTCCCTGACATCCCGAGTCAAGTAAAGGAGAACGCGAAGAAAAATGTAGGTAGCTACCATACCACCGAGTATGATAGTCACGGCGGGCGCCATAGTGTCTGAAGATCTGATGATGCTTTTCGTTACCTTTGTTGTTTGATCTACGGAATACCTAGGTACCTAGATACCTATCTATGTGAAGATTCTTGGCATTCCCTAAGAACGAATCATAATTAGTGCCATCCCTTCGGTACTGAGAAAATGTGGGTGGTTTACATGGCGTTGTACCCCTCCAGGATGGGAAGCTCCTACAAAGTCTAGCTCTAATCATTATGGATATAAAAGTATTAATCAACCTCCCCGATACTGATCATCATGGATTCTAACTTGATTCGAATTGTTCTACCAACATGGCATATAGAACAGCTTTCTATATAACTACCTAAAGCATTGTCTTCCAGGGATGGAGAAAGCCTGATTGATCAACCTCAGCCCGTTCAACCTGAGCCTGTGCAGTCTCCAAATTATGATGTCTCTTATATATTATATAAGTCTTTCGGGTTGCATGATCGGTATTATTGACTTTATCCGGCTCGTTTGTCAAACGCACCTCACATGAGGTTCCTGTATGTCGCTGTCACGTATTTCCTATCTACCGGTTAATATGACGAGGTCATCCTTATTATCTTTCTTGCGTCTCGCAATTATCCGTTAATAGGCTACTATATGCCGAAGTACAGATTATTGCGTGCTGAGCGCCCACAAGTGCACGTTCGTTGCGGCGCTTGGAAAATAAGACTCCCGATTATCTTCCACGAGCCGGATTCTTGTCCGTTTGTACCCATAATACTGCCCGCGGCCCTGTCCTACCCAGGTATAGAACTTGATTCGTATGATTGAATAAACCATACTTTCTGAGCGCTACACAAGACCGCTATGAAGGGGGCATCACTCCTATCCTCTCTGGCTGCGGCTAGCCTCGCTCTCGGGCAGTCCGCGCCCGCAAGTATCCCGACTATCCTTGGTATCCGTGGAGCTAACTCGGCGGGCTGCTTCTCGGCGACGAGTATGAGTCTCTCGCTAAAAGCCGACAGCTTGAAATTCGACTTCGCGGATATGAGGGCTAGCGTTACCCCAGCTACCCCATACGACTCAGAGGCTGCGATATGTGTAATGTCTATCGAACTAGGTGCTTTCCCGCAAGGATGGCGCTTCGCCTTCTCGGACGTCTCGTATACAGGACATGCAAAACTCGCGGGGGGTGCACGGGTTCGGAGTTTTGCGGCCAACTCGTACTTCCAGTGGGAACATCTCAAGAACAATGGGGCGATTGATCAACCTACTATTAAAAACGCCTCCGGCTCTTATTTGGTAAGTTTTAATCTTGATATGTACCTATCCAATTTAACCTCGAGTGTACTTCTAATGCGATGCCTTGTCCCAATTACTAGTTGGACGTCCCGGAGAAGATCGTAGACTTTGGTGCTACAGGCGCTTACGATAAAGACTTCAAAGTCGACATCCAGAACGACAAGCTGGTTTGGTCGCCCTGCTTTACCGGCCAGGAATACACATTCGACGATAATATGCAGGTCCAATTCCAGTTTCAAGCCTACCTAACTAAGGAAGGCTATTCGAGAACCGGAAGCGGCGTTTTTGGTCGTCCTATTGGCTCTGCTCTAACGGCGGACTTCAAAGTTATTTGGGAGCAGTGCGATCCGGCGCAGAGGAACTCTTGGGGTCAATTTAGAATGGGCGACTACGAGTCTTGCGAGCGTATCGGTCCAGCCGATAGTTCGGATGGACAGCCCACTGTAAGGTGGTGATGCGCTACGGGTGCTTACCCCTTTTCGTCTTGGTCACGATCGTGCGATGCGAGAGTATGTTTATAAAGACAATCACGGTGCATCTTTACAGATGGATATAACATGAGACTAATAGACCGATAATGAAGCGATGAAACGCACGCACTCACAATAGCGATATGAGAGATTTAGGTGAATATGCTCGAAGTAGATGCGCTTTAGCTAACTGACCGCACATATCCTAGTTCTATATGTGAAATGCATATGTACCTAGGAGGCAGCTATTTGATTTGCAAAGGAAACATTATATGACAATTGCCCATTCAGGGAGAATTTCTTGCTCCCGCGGTACTGATGCTCGATTGCGATCGTTGATGTGTTCATTCAGCGGAAGATCCTGATACTGGCTTCGTATACCCATATCTACTCCCCTCTTTTGAATATACCTCGCGAAGCCTATCGTCTCTCTTTTCCACTCTTCCTTAGATATTTTTCCGGCGACGTAGTCCGCATAGATCATTGCGTCAAAGGCTGCCTGCGAAGTAGAGGCGACCGTATGGGGTCGGAATCCAGCAAGCGCGTCGCCTATTAGCACGACTTTGCCATCCAAGTACTCGTTCTGAGGGGTCAGAACGTCGGTGACGGCTTGCACGAACGGCTTCTTAGTTCCACGGACTATCTCTGCGAATTGTGGCGGGAGCCTCTCAAGCGCGAGCTCTCTTTGCTTCTCCCAGGCGTCTGGGTTAATCGCACCCGGAGGGATAGTGATTTGTCTCCGTCTTCCATCTTTATCTGTCATAATCTCTTCAAACTCTGTTGAGTCTTCGGGGAAGTTCGTGTAGTAGACGAAGTTGATGAGACGTTGGTCTGGCTCGATCGTCCCATCTTTTCCTGGAATCAGGTACGCCAAGATCTGGATTCCGGGGGAATGAAAGAAAGTAAACCGGTGGCTGAAGGCTTCTCTAGCAGACTCGCTAGCTTCGGTCTCAATCACTGTCCCACGAAGGGCACAATAACCAGCATATTTCCTCTCGACGTCCGGTTCAAGGATTTTACGTATCGTTGAGCTAGGTCCATCAGCTCCTATAAGGATATCACCAAATATGCTTCCCTCTTCTCCCTCACTTGTTTTCCAGTGCACTCGAATACCGTCACCCTCCTTATTGAAGCTCACAACTTGTCGATCATGTAGATGTGTCGCTTTCCCATGCTCCGGAGCAGGTTCCGGCACTTTGCAATATGGACTCTCGATGCCGTCGTAGTTAGCGCGCATGAGATAGTACGTCAAATCCCAAGAGGTCATATATTGCACCGTTTCCTCCTTGTGTACTATATTTCCGTCCTTATCAAGGTACTGTCTCCTGTCCGAGCGAACAGCAAACGGTCGCTCGCATCGATTGTATCGGTTAAAAAGCGCAAGAGTGTCTCCACCTGCAACTATTCCCGCGCCTTGGTCCTGGAGCAACGGAGCGGGATTGCGCTCTAGGATCGTGGTGTCGTGACCTAGCGCTTTCAATGCAAGGCCAGTTGCGAGACCACCCAATGATCCTCCAACCTAACAGATTCAATTAGGGAAATTTCGTATCTAGTTTGGCGGTCGCACTCACAATCACAAAGTGTAGCTTTTTTGCTCCCTGGCCCTCCGCCAGCTGCTCAGTTGAGGGGATAGCCATAGTCAAGTTCGTACCAATAATCGATTAAAGATGAAGTTATTGATAAAGTCTTATGTTAAAATATCCAGCGACTTCTATCAATTAAAGTAATCCTGTTGGCCGATGAACGTATGTCTTCTGAATTACCCGGAGGACATCCAATATGGAATGTGCCGATCTTGACGTCGCATCGAACTAGTCGTATTGAACGGCAGATGTCTTATTGATTACACCTCACCATTCCCGTATGCATTGGATTTGATAAGATACAGTAAGACTGCATCATCATTTCATGAGAAGCCGAAAAACTCCAAGACATATTACTAAGCTGTAAACATATAAATGAGAATAGTCAGAAATATATGCATTTAGACTACAGGTAAGCTATTAATTCAAATCAAATATGTTTACTATGTACTTACATCTACAATATAGTCCTAGACACCATTTAAGCTTCTCCTAGTCAGCTTAATTTATTATACAGCATCAAAACTTTGAAAGGTCAGAAACAGCATTACCCCTTGAGGGCATTTATATCCTATCAGAATTAACTTCCACAATCAGTCCATGTGTAGTTACTATGCTATGAAGACGTCCGTGTAATTAACCGGATACATGTGATGATGTTAGGGTTTAGGAGATTTTTAAAAATATTGATCACGTTTAGTTATAGTATGGGTCGTATAATAGTTACTTCAGCTAAGAAGCTTTCGGGGCTTCGTCGACGTTAACGTTATTACAAATCTCTCCAAAAACTTCTACCATATGGTCTAAGCGTTCTCTACTTTCTTTTATCCTTGCTGCCATATCCCTCCCTAGGGGGAGAATCATTTCTTTCTCATGGCCTTCACCTATGCCCTTACCCATGACTACATCATATATTGCTTGAGTTGCTTTGACATGATCGCCAGGGACAGCGAATTTTCCCGTGTTCAAGGCAGTAAAGAATTTGTCTGTTGTTGTTCCTTTATAGTCGGGGTCAATAGATTTACATACCGCCCTAGTTTTAGTAACCATAGGAGTATTGAACGCTCCCAGATAGAGTAGTAGGACGCGGACGTTGAAGTCTTGCATTTCCTTATGCAGTGTCTTTGTTATACCTTTAGCTTGTTAGCCTAAATAGTATCCAACCACGATAGGAGAATAATTACCATCCAGAGCTGACTTGGAGGCGCCATAAACACCTAGAGACTGCGAGGCTTCCATTCCGGAGCCGCTGCTGAAGTTTACAATCACGCCCGAGCGTCTCTTGCGCATATGAGGCGCTGCCGCACGCATTAATCGATATGGCCCGAAGAAATTTGTCTCCATAACCTGATGAACCTCTTCTTCAGTGAAACATTCCGCAGGACCTGTCATACCGATACCTGCGGAATTGACTAAGACGTCGATCGCTAGTCCCCTCGCTTCGATGTCTTCAATTACATGTCCGCAGTCCTGCTCATCTTGGTTCAGTCTAAGCCATTCACCCCCCTTCTTCGTGAATTCTTCTACCAGCTCTGGTGTGCGACTCGGGTTCCGGGATGTCGCGATAACGTTATGACCATAAGCTTGGGCAAGTTGCGCCAGAGCCAGGCCAAACCCCGACGAGCAGCCAGTGATTAACCATGTCAATTTTCTCTCCGACATTTCTACCGTCACGCGTAATTTATGTATTAGGTTGTAGAACAACCAATGCGTTGTTGAAGGACCCTAGGATAGTATGCAATTAAGATAGGAACGGCATACGAACTGTCCTGTATATATAGGTAGTTACCTAGATAACGGGTTTTGGCGGACATAAAAGACTATCTCCATAATCTCGGCCCAGTAATATCTCTACTACCTAGATCACTAACCAAAGCCAAACTATCATGCGGATCGGGAGGGGACATCACCCGATCCCGCAGTCTATTTATATAAGCCTACTCATTCAGCTTTTACCAGAATATGGCTAGACGTCACTAATTCTAATAATCACCAGGTTAGCATGATGAATATATCCAGTACGTATTTAGAGGCGTAGCATCTCAAAAATACAGATTTCACAATCTAGAAGGTAAAACTTCATCCTGAGGTATAACTTGGACTACCATCTACGAAGGAGAATTACAGGAAACCACTAGTAGATATAAGAATATTTATATAAATGCTACATCGATACTTGCTGTGATACAATTTGTGTAAGTCATTCTTCGGTCTTAAGTCCTACGCCAGTAGTATACACTATCAAAATAGGCGGCTTATAAAAATATTTCCTCCTAGACTGACGTTGATTATACTATGTGTTTGGGGTAGGGACGGATCCGTACTTTCAACCAACCAGATACGAGGCTCCATAGATGCCGGATAGATAATCGTCCCGGTCCGAAGACTCATATAGAGGTAGGTACCCTGGGTCCGTGGATATATACACAGTATGCAGGCGAGTTTGTCAGTTCAATCAACCCTTGTAATTTACATGTGACATCTATGAGGTAGATAGCCGATTGCATGACTGAAAAGGTATGGGAAGGGAATAACTTCAAAGAAAATCGAAATTTACTGAATCAGGAATATCTACTCGTGTTATTAGTCGACGCGCACCCAGTCAGCCTATAATTTGGAATCATCGGTCAAATTATTCAGTACATTGTACGAAGCTTTCTTTATCATCGCCATATCCTCCTAGTAGTGTTTCCATTTTCTACGTATATTTTCAAGATTCTTCAAATGTGTTAGTACCTGATGTTAGGGGTGGCTACAAAGGTAGATTTACTATACAAAGGGCACGTAGCGCCTTCGTAATAAGGCAAAAAGATAAGCATCAATAATTCAACATTATTTATCTCAACATCTACTTTGTTTATAACCTCAATCAAGGGTATGGTATCTAATGATACCTACCTTGGTAAAGGTAAAGTATGGAAATATCTTACCTGTACACAAACACTATAATCACAACCTTCCAATTTGGATTCTATTGTGGTATATTTAAATGAGTCGAAACACACCACTTGCATAGCGATACATCAACATTTCTCTCATATTTATTTTCTCTCAATCTAAATACTATCTCCTTTTTAAATATTCGCTTCTTCGTCACCATTTATCCGACTAGGAAATAAACGAAGCCAAATAAAAAACTAGAGGGAGTAGCTGATTATTTCTCTCCTAGCCATGTCGACTCCTAGGATATATAACCAAACTTTATCAATACGCACAGTACCATTCTACTATACCGGTATACACCCGTCTCATAATGCAGACTCTTCGCAGAAGCTTCCGGATGAGATTTTTTATCTTATTGCAAGAGACTTTGCCGAACTACGGGTAATCTCTCGACTAAGTCAGATGTGCCGCCAGCTGGCGGGACTACTTAAGGGGCTTATCTATCGGCGTAATGTATTAGATGTAAAGGCTGCTCAAGAAGCTGCTACTGCCAAAAATCGACATTCAAGCCATGACAGAGATCAGATCTTCGAAAGTATCAAGGAGCTCCAGATGCATGTAAGAAGACCGCGTATCAGTTGTTCTCAATTTTCGGCCCTGCACTGGGCTGCACGTCGTGGGGCCGTTGAAATTGTAAGAACTACTATTAGAACATCATCAAGATTATTTCCCGAGTATGTTAATGTGAAAGACTGGAGGGACTTAACGCCGCTGGCTTACGCCGCAGCTGGTGGACATGTCGAAATTATGCAAGAACTTATAGATGCAGGATGTCTCGTGAACGCAGGGATCCGGTTCGAATTTGTAGTTGGTCACTCCCCCGAAGAGACTTTTAATGACTATGTACTTACCCCTCTAATTTTCGCAATTTTTGCGCAGCAAGAAGCTGCTGCTACAATTCTAGCCCGACTCACCTTTTATCAAGACGTCCTTTACACTCGGCCGGGCCTTGCTAGTGTTTTTCCACTCCCTCTGGCGGCACTTGCACGCATGCCTCGTGTTGTTGAGATATTATTATCTCATGGATATAACCCATGGGAAACCAGGCATTCTCTTGCGGGTTTGTCAGCTGTACACCAAGCTGTTTCGGAAGAGGACAATACGGAGACGATAGATATTTTGCTTGGCCATGACGTCTCTATGAATTATACAGGTCTTTGGCGGAATAATACACCGCTAGAGACTGCTATACGACATCAGTGCTTCCGCAACGCATTACATCTCATTAAACACTATCTACCTTCAGGAGAATATGGTAGATGGGCAGAGGAGGCATTGAATATGACGGCTGGCTACGATGATGGGTTTGCTGTCACGGAAGCTTTGGCAGAACTCGTTAACGCAGAGGGCGAATTTTATGTGATCGAGGATGCTTTCTTGATATCATCTAAGGACATGTCCAAATCCTCTAGAACCAATAAGTTCCTTGGTCAATTATTAGCTACAGGGCTTGATAGAAATCACCTTGGGGGCGGAGGAGGATACCTTCATTGGGCTTGCCAGCAAGACCCGGTCAACGTTAAAGTTATTAAGCTTATGCTTGAAAATGAGGACTATCCACTTGACATTAATGAGAAGGATGATGATACTTATACGCCTCTTGATCATTTAGTCGAATGGGGATATGATGATATTGCCACTCTTTTCCGAGAGCGGTATTTTGCGAAAGCAGGTGACGAATTTTAAGGATCAATAAATATATGGGCGTAGTTATAATTACCTAGGTACCTAGGTACGTTTTATTTTAGGGAAGTAGATGACATGAAAGAAATATTGACTTTGTGTTCTCTTAGTAGTTGCCTATACATTATTTAAAATCATCTTAGAAATGGATATGCTACCATGTTATATACCTTAGGTATCTATCTTAGACCTTATTTAGGCCCCATATGGAGACCCCGCAGTTAGTCTTCTAGCACACATCATTCAGGCTGTTGTTGCTCCTAGACTTAAATCGTAGTTTAACAAGAGGTAATTACCTACCTAAGGTATACTCTGTGTGATTGGGGGCGAGCACAATCAATCAACATCGTTTACTTACTAAGAGATTCCATAATTCAAAATGCCCCTTAAGACCGTCTTCATCACCGGATGCGGTCCGGGTGGCATCGGTTCGGCCCTTGCGATAGAGTTCCATCTGAGGGGCCACCGCGTCATCGCCTCATCAGAGGATCTACCCACACATCTCCAGGATATCGGCATCGAGACGACGGTCCTGGATGTCACATCGCAAGACTCGATTGAGAGAGCTGTGGCGCACGTGTCTAAGCTCACAGACGGCAAGCTAGACATCCTGATCAATAATGCCGGCGTCTTGCACATTATGCCCTTCGCACACACTAACGTCACCGCTGCACGCCGCGTTCTCGATGTCAACGTGTTGGGCGTATTTGCCGTGACGCAGGCATTTCTTCCGTTCCTCATAAGTGCTGCTGTAGCTACTAGGAAGAATAGCGACAGTAGTGGGAAAGAAACTGCGCTAGTAGCGAATATCGGCAGTGTTAACGCTCAACTTAAGCCAGCATTCTTTGGTATTTATAACGCGTCGAAGGCAGCCCTTGAGGTTCTAGGTGCTACTATCCGCCCGGAACTGGCGCCGCTAGGGATCCGCGTTGTGACTGTAAAGACTGGTGGCGTCGGGACTGGACTCTTCGCCAATGCACCCCCGACAAAATTACCAGAGGACAGTCCATATCAGCCGCTACGGGAGTATATTGAAAGTCGAAAAAGTAGGTGATGCTCATGTCTTAAATCGAAGCTTTCCGAATTAGAGTATCTTTAATTACTAAAAGAAATAATTGCTAAATTCGTATTGAAGTGCTGGAGCGGATACAATATATAGATCCTGCAACGTATGCGAAAAGGGTAGTTGATGAGCTGCTCAAACGCACTGTAAAGCCTGTCATTTGGCACGGCCCCATGTCGACAATTGCCTGGATATTGAGTTGGTTTGGCTGGGAAGGGATGACAGTAAGCTAGTCGGTCCTCTTTTCTTTAATTCAACTCACTGATTTGACGTTGTAGGATAGTATTTACATCAAAGAGAACATGTTATATAAGTGCGCTATAAATGCATAGTAATAAACGGTGTTAGTCTCATCGTCACAAGTTCTTGATTTAAAAGGGATTGGCGAACTCACTTGGAGATATATATCGTTGAGGGAGGATAGACTAATAATGACTAGATGAGTCTACACCTCATCCCAAAGCTATCCCAGAACCTCAGCCCAAAGTCTAACCCGATTTGGCAAAAGCTAAGACCTTGGATCCAAAGTTTTGATTGGTTACAATTGACAGGGTCCCCGCTTTGGGGTGAGCTTTACATCAGGTGACTTTGGGGTGAGCTTTCGTGTCTTATTAAAATATAAGCCTAAATGCCCTGTAATTACAGCGCATTACAATCATTAAGTCCCTTATATTATAGCGCTTGACATTTAATCAATTAAACGCATACCTTTACCTATTCCTTATTTTTTATTTGATTTATTTTAATTAATTAAAAATCAATTAAAAATTAATACGTAATCAATTAATAATTAATTGTTAATTAATTATTAATTAATTAAATAAAATTATTTATATTTTATTAAATATTATAATAATATATAAAAGTATATATTTGTATAAATATAATGTTAATAAAATGGTAGTCGAGTTTTGGGTGCGCTAGTACTATTGGGGTGAAAACAGGTTTACACTTGCTTGATTGGGTTAGACTTTGGGCTGAGGTTCTGGGATAGCTTTGGGTTGAGGTGCGCCCTCTGACTAGATTAATAGAAAAAAAAAACTTCTACCATCAACATACTTCAGAGAAGGGCAAAAGAAAAGGGTTTGGCCGGGGATTGAACCCGGGACCTCTCGCATGCTATTGCAAAGGGTGTACCCTAAGCGAGAATCATACCACTAGACCACCAAACCATGCTGGATCGTGTAGATCACAGACAACAGACTGTGCTGAATGTGAACTTTGGGTCGCTAAATAGCCGCTATGTTCAAAATCTTTTGGGCCCGGTTCGAAGGAGCCGGGGCATGGAGCGGGCGCAGCGGCGACGCTAAGTGGCTCTAGATGGAAACCAAATATCCAATAATAGGCTAGGATCGGTAACGCGGTGATGATACTGAAGATATGTAACAGGGTAGATATCTCTGCAAGATCGGATCCTCAAACAGTCCGGCTCGTACTCGGTTGGAAACGTATAGAATGATAAGATTCTTTTTCATCCAATGTACGACGATGTATATGTCATATAGAGTTATCTCGTGGCTCGAGGCATTTTCCGTTAAAATCGTCGATCTGTTGAGCAACCAACGCCAACAACCAACATTACCTAGGAATCCTGCATCCTACAACCGGGGAGTTATGGAGGGGATGGGGATCGGTGACTACTTTAGCTAAAGAGAAGATAATAAGAAATACTTATCGTTCATTTTTATTGAATTATTGTCGTACACCGGCTCATCGAAAAAGGTCAGCAAACCATCTTGTCTCACTTATAAACGGAATCATACCTAAAGTGTGGCTTGCACTTGACATTTGTGTACGACTTGTGGCTGATCACGCAACCTTTCGCGGCGCCTCTTTTTTTCATCTAATACATCCATCTGACTTATCGCAATCGGGCGAAACCCTTCTTAATCTAACTATTAATACTCCAGGTTAAGGATCTAGATTTATATGTTCTATATATCTCGCGAAGGTTTACTCTGCTGCATTTTTTATGATTATTATTTTTTGCTAATTTCAACTTCGTTAAATCCTTGGAAATATTCTAGGTCAGATACTTAAGCAAAAGTAGACCGCAGCGGGGGAAGAAAATATTATCTTGGTGAAATCCTAGGTCGACCCCGGCGATTCCCAGATAAAAATGAGTTGGCCATACCAAATATTCGCGCTAGATGATGCTCAGAAGCATGCTCGGCGCCAATCGCTTGACCGTCATGCAGCTTATGCCCAGCTCTCGGCGCTGATTCCCATAGGCCTCATCTTTCTCTACCGGCTGGGAGTATTTCTGTTGAGACGGGCGTCACCTTATCAACCCGTAGCTTACTCAGCCGTTCCGAGTTCTCCGGGACTCAAGCGCGAGAGACAGAGTCCTGTCGGATATTGGAGTATTACGACGAGACGTATCGTATGGTGGCTTGGCGACGATGTTGTCATCCTAGGGCTGAACTTAGGACAAAGAGACCAGATGGTTTTCGGCTCCTTATGGTCTATGTGGCTTGTTTTCTTGTGTTTCGATGGCACTGGAAATGGTAGGTCTACCTATTATTCGACGTATTTTTCAGCACAAGCACATCCTTCGGATAATATGCCGTGTCCCAGTTTACCCCAAACCCAAGTAGTCGGGTCGATCTAATTACTACCTTATTATCTAAGAAGTACCGAAGCTGATCTAATATAGATTATCTTCATCTTACAAAGCGGTTTGGGATAGTTGCTCTATCTCAACTTCCGCTGCAATATTTACTAATATTGAAGAATATCAATCCTGTCGCCTTCGCGTTCGGGTCTTCTCATGAGCAACTCAATCGGTGGCATCGCGTCCTCGGTTGGATCATATATTCCCTGCTCCTTGTCCATGCAGGTTTATACCTAAACTTCTATATTCAAGAAGGCATTCTCTCTGAAAGAATCGTCCGTCTTGTTCCAGCTCTTGGGCTTGGCTCAATCATTGGCATGAGCTTGCTGGGCGCCACGGCCCTTAAAACCATTCGTACTTATTCGTACCGTGTCTTTTTCATTACGCACCTTGCGGTAGCGATGGCACTACCACCGGCCATCTTCTTTCATTCCCATCACGGGGGTCGGCAATATTTAGTCGAGGCATTACTTGTTTTCTTCATCGATCTCGTCAAGCGCAAGATTGATACCGTCACCATGCCATCGACTCTAGAGCTTATTCCTGATACGAACTTAATCAAGATAGTAGCCAGCCTTCCCTCCTCAAAACTTGATCGTTTCCGCAAGTACGCCGGAATGCATGTGTATTTGACTATTCCTTTTAGTTCCCGCCGCAGCTCACACCTTCTATTTGAGTTTGCCTATAACCCATTCACTATCGCGTCGGTAGATGAAAAATTAGGAGAACTGACTTTAGTTGCGCGACGCCAAAGAGGGCCTATGACTGGAGCCTTGGCCCAATTTGCAGAAGATGAGTTAACTGACACTAAAGTATCGCTATGCATGGAAGGCCCTTACGGGTGCGCGACTTGGTTTCCAAACTTGGCTGGCCCGGAGTTCGATCGTATCCTTTTAGTTGCTGGCGGCATTGGTTCTACATTCATCCTACCTATATCCAGGTATGCCCAGCTTTCACTTAGTTTGATTAATAAGGTATTCATACTAATACTGACATCAATGTAGTAAGTTATTAGTACCTTCTTAGCGTTGGTTTCTACATCAAACCAGATTCTAGAATAGTACCTAGCGTCGAAACAGGGGGGTACCGGACCTAGATACTTGTAGAATGGATTTATCAGTAACTATATTTATTCAGGATACTAACATTTATAGGATATATTATAAATGAAAATCCAACAGCTCGGGTCCAAGTTGTCTGGGCAGTCCGCGGGGTCGCTGATGCGTCTTGGCCTTTGGAGAAGGCGGCAAATTCCCTCGATGAAAATATACAGTTATTCTTAACTGAGGGCGTTCCGCGCGAACTTACTTTACGCGAAGCAGTCGAGTTAGATAGCAATTCATATCTTAATCCCAGGCAGGTTCATAAACGACCCGACCTACGACAGATAGTTGACGACTTTTTCCGTCAAGGGCTTGAAGAGAGGGTAGCCGTGTTAGTTTGCGGCCCGGAGGGAATGGCTCGCGAGTTGAGATCACACGTCGGAGTTTGGGTTAAGAAAGGTCGGAACGTTTGGTGGCATAATGAGGGTTTTACATGGTAGCTGTTTTAAAAGATGGGGGAATACGATGAGACTTTAGGTAGTCTTGGATGGTATTCTTGGCACCTTGGCGGAAGCGATTCAACACCTTTATTTCTTGGTTTACTAGCCCAGCAGCCCAGCAGCCCAGTGATCACCGATTCATGCATGTCTCCAAGGTGTATTCCAGAAGCGCCGGTTAAGTTAACCCTCCAAGCAACGTTTCTTACACATGTAATCATCACATGCGTTCCTCAACCTTGTAGGAAATCCATGTCTTCTTTCTACTTGGGACTAAAATGGCTTGGCGGCTTCCTCTTATGGGAGCATTTAAGTTCACCCAAGGACATGGGTGCTTAATTCTCGTCCGAGGAATCCTGCAACGGAGGACTAGGGTGTAAATAATCGTTGTCTCCGGATGACATACTTTTTTTTTTTTTTAATCCAAGGAAGTACATACTGTCTCTAAAGGTGAGAGAAAATGGAAAGTTCCGGCCACGCCTATTTCATTTAGATGAGCGGTATAGAAATAGATTACCTCATTGTAGAATTCTCGAAGCTTATAAGAAAGCTCTATTTTCTTGGCATCTTTGCTGGCGCCTTAACCTCAGCTGGTTAACCTATCATCAGACAACTTTTAAATGGTCATATAATATTGGTGGCGTGATTAACTAAGTAATTGATATTCCATGTCTCACTCATAATTACGTATTTGAGGCCATTCGAACTTATACACAAATCTTCTCCATCGTTCAAGCACTTTGTCCGCAGCTAAGATGTCCCACTGCTCACTCCAGAGGCCCACTGAATCGTATTGATAAACTACCTAGGTCCTTTGGAATCCTAGCTACCCTAGAAGATATTATCTTATCAAGAGTTTGAGATCTAATCCGAGGTCCCCAAATAAGTGATTTGATTCGTCCAACTCGTCGGATTTTCTAAGGTCCTTCGAACTAATCTAATAACCTAGACCGGCACATTGACACCATCGTCTCCACTGATCGCCTAGAACATGGCGTAGATTTGGCGTATACCGTCAGCAGTTCAGGTACCCGCCTGTACCTTGCATTCAAAAACTTCAATTAGCTTCCTCTATCAGCTTGTCAACGGGCCGAACCCACTATTAGAGTCGTGAAATTTAACTATATGGAATCTCCGGCAAGTCCCGTATCGTAATGCGCCGAGGACATTGTGTCAAAAGACCCCCTCGAAATAAACATCGTAGCCGCAGACCCAGTCCAGAATAGGAAAGAAACGATCAGATAATCCTGATAGAACCCCAAGCTCATAGACTTATACCCTAATGCAGGCAAGGAGGCCGCTTGAACTAACTTTGTGAGGTAAGACGAATCATGCCCTCGTCCGGCTTCCACTTCATGAAAGTAGCTAGTTGGTCGTGCTTGGCGATGATTACAAAGTCATCACCGTGCTGATGGCGGTGCTGACTCTCTCCTTCCGATATGATCAAGACAGGGGACCAGGTCCTGTGATGAACGTTAGTTATAAGATGGAAGGATCTTCGCTACCCAGAACGACCTGGACACCATCTACTTCATATCCAGAGGTCTTTTCACATTCTCCTTGCCTCAAGCCGCTCATTTAGTCTTAGCATTTCAATATGCGTTCAGCACTCCTTTCTCTCTCCGTGCTCGGAGGAGCCTTGGCGGCACGTCCGTTTCTAAACGAACCCGATACGGGGTAAGTCCTGCCGAGCCATACCCTTTTTACGAACTTAGAAAAGTGCTTACACGGGAGAAGTTTCGATGAGTACTTTGCCAATCTACCGGCCGGAGAGCTACCGCCTCTGGAGAAACTCGTCGGACTGCCGGATTTCGATGCGGCGGCGAGAAGGCATCTTACCGTTCAGAACTACACCTATTATCGCAATGGTGCTGGCGGCGAGTGGTCGTACCGAAACAACCTCGAGGTTTTCAACCGATATAAGCTCCGTCCGAGAACTATGGTAGATGTTACGAATATCGAGTCAACACTCCCGTACGCTAGTCTGCAATCCTTAGCTTATTCGACGCGGTTTACTGATGATGGAGATATAGTACCACGATTCTCGGTCACAACTTTTCCGCGCCCTTCTTCATCAGCCCCGCTGCTCGAGGAGGCTACGGCAACACCGATGGTGAGAAGGGACTCGTCGAGGGAGCCGCCGCGGGAGATATTCTCTACATGGTATGATTCGGATTTGCTTCGTCCAACATATAGCACTTGTAAATTCGCATATGCTAACGTTGATGATCTTGTGAAGCCTGCCCAGCTAGCTAGCTTAACTATCGAAGAGATTGCTACGTTCAAGGAAAACGACCAGGTTACCTTTCAGCAGGTTTACCTTGACTCAAACGACACCGCAACAAAGGACGTCTTCGCTCGAGCTGAGAAAACCGGAAGCAAGGCCATTGTTTTTACGATCGACTCGGCCGCGGACGGAAATCGCCATCGTGCGGCACGCTACGGCGTCGGCTCTGCGTAAGAACATCAGCTCCAAGCACCATGTTCCCGGTATAATAAACTAACACTTCACATAGTGACTCTGCTTATACTTTGATAACCGTAAGTCTACTAAGGCGAAGTTTCGGGGGCATAGTTTAGCTTGTACTGGATCCGAAGCGCTAACATGGAACCTCATCTTCTTAGTGGGACTTCTACGACCATATTCGCACTTTAACGGACCTGCCGATTGTCTTGAAGGGCATACAGACGGTGGAAGACGCGCAAAAGGCCGTCGAGCACCAGGTTCCAGCCAGTATGTAACATCAGAACTCCCTTTTTCCAATTCATTCTAGAAACCTGTCCCTTGTTGAAAACTGCTAACCCGCATCATCAGTCTACCTATCCAACCACGGAGGTCGCCAGATTGACGGCGCGCGCTCGCCTCTGGAAGTAGCTATCGAGATCCGCGATAAAGCCCCCGAGGTGTTCTCGCAATTGGAAGTATACGCGGACGGTGGTGTGCGCTACGGCGCTGATGTAGTCAAGCTGCTTGCTCTTGGTGTTCGCGCCGTCGGGCTCGGCCGCCCGTTCATGTATGCCAATGTCTACGGCACTGACGGAGTTAAGCGCGCCATCGATATCCTCAAGCATGAGATTGCTATTGATGCTGCGAACGCGGGGGTTGCGGATTTGAAGAAGATCGATCCCAGCATCGTAAGTTTTTCTTCTCATAACTATTCTACTATTGAAATGAACGATGGGGACTGACATGGTATAGGTTGATTGGACGCCTAACTGGACTTCGTAATAGGAAGGGTACGGATAGCATAAAATAGAATAGATTGGTCTAATATGATACTTAATTGCCATATGCATATACATTCATACGTAGCAGGCTAGTTGACTGGTAACTCTGCTACCTGGACAGAAGTGGTTTGGATAAAATGTATAAGATTTGAGTTGTGATTCATAGCTTTTAGAGCCTCTCTACAGGTCTTTCCTATAATCAGCACCGGTTGACATCTTCATCATCCTACACTCCTCCATCTCATTCGGCTCTCGCCACCATTTTCCGGCCTTTTGCTTCGGGAACCCCCTTTTCTCCCATTCGACAAGATGTTTAGGGCCAATTTGGTGCCAGGGTACGTCGAGATCCTTCGAAACGTGGTCTTGCAAATATTCGACGACCATCGTGGATTCAGCATCCGGCGGCTTGCCATCTACGAAGAATATCTTAAACATTTCGCGCTCCTCGCGCTCCATTTTATTTATGACTTTCTCCATCCTGTCTACTACTCCCGACTTAGTGTATGCTGGTGGGTGCATCCAGGAGTCCACCTTCTCCCAGTCCAACTGGAAGCCGGCAACATCATATGTGGGCGAACCCTTGCGACCCTTTTTATGACATACATATAAGTCATGAGATGGTTCGCTAGGGTCTAGGAGGCTTTTTTGCTCGTCAAGACTGTGCTCTCGTGCAGCTTTTGTCTGGCCCTTAGGCCTCCCTGGCTTAGGAACATAGAACCGCTCTTTGAAGCCCTCCGGCATGTCGAAACTTTCCCATCGCGGTCGTCTTACGCGTCCGGGCGTGGAGCGCGGATCGCGCAGCTGACTATGATCATAGTCGAACTCCAAGTCTGGCGTTGTTAGGCGCGGTTTATGTTTCTCGTCGGGAATCTCTTCTGGTTCCTCGGTGTCGGATACGTCAGCCTGCTTTCCTCGCTTAGGTCTACTTGATGACTGCGAGTCAGTGGACTTTCTCTTGCTCCCCCTCGTTGCAGTAAGCTTTGGGGTCTTGGCTGTGCCTTTGCTCGAGGGTTCGTCACTTTGGTTTGCTGAGTTCGCGCGTGCTGACGCGCTGCGCAAATGAGGCGGCATTGTGGAATAATATTGAACGAAGAGGCTTACTGACAAGTTAGCTTAAAACCCCGTTCCTACTTTTATTTGCGTTCTCCAGCTATATGATGTCAATGGCACGGTTGTTATATTGTTCATTGCGCAAGATCTCAGGTCGTTATGAAGATCCTTATATCATTATTATCGAACATTTGCATCATAGCATGAACTCCTAAAAGCTTCACTCCTCTTTTTATAGCGCCTCTTAGAATATATAAAACAGGATCCTATATTATTCTAATACATCGTTATATAGGTGATATGGATGCAAGGCTAGTGATGTATATTCCTCTGGAGGCTAGTTACTATGTAGTGCTGTGGTTGTAAATGATTTCCACATCTATAATATGTACTTTCTATCTAAATCCATATTTAGTATTTCTATAATTAATTCCCTATGCTAACAAAAGCATTTTTACGCTCTTCGATATTAACTCCCGACAAGAGTATAGAATAGACTTGAATTGAAATTAACTATTACAGAATATACCGTAGGTAGCGATAGAATCTTTAAAAGCCATCTATTAGGAAAGGGGGTGTCAATCTAACTCAATTCTAAAAATCATCCACCAGTCATTTCGATAGAGTTCGGATGGATAGAATAATTATACGTCTTTTCTCCGTACTCGGACGATAAAGACAGCTCAGTGCTAACTCACCCCTTTAGACTCAATCAACACCTCACAGTGTGATTCTGTACCAACTCAGTATTCCTTACTTGCATCCCAAAAAAAAAATCACCAGTTACTAACTGTATCAACCACAACTAATCAGATAGTAAAATAGTCACGGCCGCATTTCCTTTAATATATAACAACTGTTCCTGCACTCCTTCCTACATGCAAAACAACAGAATGCATCAACTAATCCCTTCAATTCCTGAAGCTACATCCATACCCCTTTTAAAAGTTGGAGCAAGTCCATCAACCTGGAAATAGCTACGATAACCAACCACTATCACGATCAAGATGTGTAACTTGTGGAAAAAATATCAAGCAAAATGCGGCCATGAAGTTTGGATGGACATCTTTGACTCCTGCGCGGACGAGGAAAAGGACCACACCTGCCGGAGGCTCGTCGTCCACCATAGCAGCTGCTGTCCCCCAGATAAGTTGACCTTCGACCCTAACTTCTGTGCCGGCTGCCAGGCATCTTCAGAGTGGATCATAACCATGACCCAACGTTACCTAAATGTCAAGAAATTAGATCTCCCCGACAGAAATATCGCAGACTTCGATGCTATGCACTTCGAACTGATGGAATGGCCCGGCGTTCCATACATCACCAAAAACGCCATCCACCGGAGAGTGATGAGGAACTGGGTCCACAACGGCATAGTCAGTAATATCGCGACGGAGATGGTTAGGGCCGGCGCCTGCACGGCACGGGAAGCCGATAGCGAATATAGAGAGTTTTGGGCGAGGCCATGAGTGTCGATACCAACGCCAAGATATGCACTCTATATGTACCGAGATATGGGGTTGCTACAATTCTAAAGCGCCATCGGTCTCGGTGGTTTTGGGGTTGATATCATGTTGAATAATAGCTTCGAAGGCTAAAGCGGGAGTTTAGGTGGTTTATTTGGTTGTTATCACAGAGTGGAATTATTAGTAAGAGCCTGATGTTTGAGATATATGGGTTGTAGTAAGTGCTCATCGGTATCCAGCGACAGCTATCAATATCCTTTCTAGCGTATGGATTTATAAAAAGTTTAGTAGTAATAGTATTTATTCACAATACTTGTAACTGAAAAATAATGGCCGATGACGGCGACGACGCTTTACTCGATTCAAGGGTCACCAACCCGGTGAGTGTAGCAATGAGAGCCTCTATTCGTTGACCTCGATTCCGCAATCCATTAGAATTGCTAAGGTAAATATTATAGAATTGTAATGGAAACATTCGAAATTAATATCCTATCTCGAATTACCTATAATTCGTTCAGATAAGTTCGAAATAAAGTGCACATGATGTCTTAAAAAATGGAAGCGCACGACAACCCCTCCAAATATAGTAAGGAAGCACTATGTAATACTCTTTATAAATACCTTACATATGTCCAGCACGAATGGGGAAAATATAGGGTCAATGAGCTTCATTGGTTGGTGGTTAACCTGGACATATGCGATGGGTGATATTTTCTCCAAATGGCGCAATCGATGTCTATAAGCCCATTCCAAGTCTTGTTGACCGAACATAAAGAGGCAAGTCGCAGCCGAGTCCAACTCCACTAGCAGTTGAGAGACAAATTCAACAATTATGGCCACTGTTACGTACGTTACCCCCGCGGCGGTGAAACCCCCTGGGCAGCCCGATATTTCGTACGCACCCGATTTCAAGAAATATGAAGCGCGAAGAGACAACCGCGTTAAGTCTGGCGGCTTACCAAGGGAAATTCCGAAGGGACTGCCCCGGCAGCTAACCGGAAAGCTGGTCTGGGAGGGCAACTCACTTGCAAAAGAGTACGATTGGACATATGTCCTTGAACAAAGCCAGCTCGACGAAATAGATCTTGCTGTGAAGCATTTCAAGTGTAGGTGGTGGTCCAGGTTATCATAAGATCCATACTGATAGTATTCAATAGCTCTCAACTTACCCCTTGGTTATGTGAGCCAGGAGACCTTCCCATTGCCAAACCTACATTCTGAGCTACGGAAATTGTCCGATGAGCTCCATAACGGACATGGCTTTTTCGTGATTCGCGGTGTTCCCGTTGATAAGTACAGTCGCGAAGAGAACATAATTATCTACGCGGGTTTATCGGCGCATATTGCCCCTAAACGAGGCCGCCAGGATAGCAAGTTCGATGGCAAGCCTGCGGTTGTTACGCTCTCTCATATCAAGGATTTGAGTGGTCCCGGGCGCAATGAGATAATCGGTAGCCCGGCTTTCACTACTGACAAGCAGGTATTCCACACTGACTCGGGTGACATCGTTTCCTTATTCGCTCTCGAAACAGCTGCCGAAGGTGGTGCAAGTAAACTCGCGAGCACATGGCGAGTGTATAATGAGATCGCTCGTACCCGTCCTGATCTTATTCACACATTGACGGAGAATTGGAACCCGGAAAAGTATGTTTCTTTGAACGAAACTAATAGTTGTATTCAAAGGTACCTAAGCTAACGTATAGGAAACTTCAAGCTTTGGTAATCACGAGCAACCGTTTACGTCAAGACCTATTATGCATTATCAGCCAGCTACCGAATCAGCGCCAGAACGCGTGATTCTCCAATATGCTCGACGTTCGTTCGTCGGATTCGGTGCTTTGCCTCGAAGTCCGGCTATCCCTCCAATCACCGAAGCTCAGGCGGAAGCATTAGACACACTACACTTCCTTGGCGAGAAATTCTGCGTCGACACGTATTTCCAAAAGGGAGATATTCAATATGTCAACAACCTAGCTGTATTTCACGCCCGAGACGGGTTTAGGAATGAAGGCGATAAGCAGTAAGTCGATCCTATTCACCAGATAGATACCTTTAACACGGTTAACCGAACATGTTCAAAGGCGACATCTGCTACGGTTCTGGTTACGCGACCCGGAGAATGCATGGGAGACGCCGGAGGTGTTGAAGGAGAGATGGGCTTTGCTATATGATGACAGAGCGCCGGAGTCTGAGGTTCTACCGCTTGAGCCGTATATTCGAACTGCAGGTAACAAGAGTGGTCGAGTAGGCTGATGATCTTGGCGAACCCGAATTCCAAATCAATATATATAAGCCAGCAAGAGTAAATACCTATGCCTACCTCATAGCCAATGATATATCGAAGGAGCGGATTCCATCGGCTTTTCTTCAATCCCCGAGTATTAAGTTGAAGACTATACAAAGTGATACTTAAGTTCTGTTCTGAGCACAATCCTGTAGTACCATGGCTACAAAAACTACTATCCAAAAAGGTCATAACGGCATGTCTCGTATCACTTGGCATACATATTGTGTGGCTTGCGATGGCACACCCCAACGAAAGTCTGTTTTGGGGTTATTGAAATATCTTGGTGATATTAGAACGCTTCGATATCAATGCGGCGGACAAGACTCGGTGCAAAAATATACGCACCCACGTTTTCTCGAGACTATAACCATCTAGCGCCCGTTAAAAATAAGATAGCATACGATTTATATGCTTAGGATTACGCAACGTTTTATTCGCCTCTTAATACATTCATTCGTTATGGGATTGTTCTGTGACATCGTGCCCCCAATCCAGCATGGTTGTCATGATCGGCCAGTATTGCGTGATTCTCGGCTCCTCTCACCTAGGAAGGTCACCACATTATTTTATCCAAACAGTCTCCAAGAAGTCTGTGAGGACCGTCTGAATATAGCTTTATCTATCATTTTGATCGCGTTACATGGTTCGGCAGATCGGGCTAATGCCCCAAATATGTTCTAGACGTTCGTGCAGTGTGCTCCAAGGACCGATTGTATCATCGAGCCTAGCGATCTCGTACGAAAAAGGATCGCCTCGGCGCATTCTCATTAAAAGCTTACGACCTGCTGTCGCGATAAGTACATCTCGTCACGGTCCTACTTCCCACGCTTCACAACAATAATACTCCGGATCGCTTGAACGCTGCCTTTCCATCCCAATTTATCACCATTGGGACCAAGTGGATGAGCTATTGAGGCAATGGGGCTTCCGAAATTTTGGGCGCGGTCGGACACGACTGAGGTGCCGGCGGTTGATGGCCATCCATCCAGTTCCGATATCTCGGTGATTCACGACGGCAATCTCGCGTATACTCTAGAGAAGGCAGGAAATGGGTCGAAACCATCTTATCAGGAGGCAGCCGGCGCTCCCGTCGAATCCAAGTCGCCACTGGGATACCATGTTGGTTGGATAACCGTTATCTTCCTCAATATCAATCAAATGATTGGTACTGGTATTTTCTCGACGCGTAAGATACTACTACCACTATTCAAGTTCTTAAAATGAGAGGAAGTAGAATTGACATCTAACTCCCTCGTAGCTGGAACTATCCTTAACAGTACTGGTTCTGTCGGACTTGCTCTTATCTACTGGACGATTGGCATATTATTAGCTGTCGCGGGCTTCAGTGTCTACCTTGAGCTCGCAAGTTACTTTCCAAACAGGTCAGGATCTGAGGTTGTCTACCTGGAGCAAGAATATCCAAGGCCGAAGCATTTCTTCCCCGTTACCTTCGCGGTCTACTCCGTAATCCTGAGCTTCAGTAGTAGTAATGCTATCGGTGCGTATCTATCCACGACAACTCGAGACTTGGCAGCTATTAACATTTACTAGTCTTGGCTCGATATGTATATCAGATTGCGGGTTCTACACCGACGGACTGGCAACTAAAAGGTGTTGCGATTGCTGCGTACACTATAGCAAGCTTATGTAGGTTATCCTTGTCTGAACAACTTGTTACTCAAGTCTAATAAGTATGCATAGGCGTTATTCTCCATAACAAATACTCTCTATGGCTAATGAATATTCTCGGGGTTGTCAAAATCATCACTCTCATCTTGTATGTATAAGTTTTCATAGAGAGGGTATCCATCAGTTAACACGATCTCCTCGATAGCATCAGTATAACCGGCCTCGTGGTCTTAGGCGGAAACGTCCCTCATATTCCCGATCCCGGCGCCAATTTCCGAAATGCGTTCGAAGGCACAACAACTAACGGAAACGATCTCGCCGTCGCTTTGGTTAACATTGTCTTTTCGTACACGGGCTTTGCGAATGCCTTCAATGTGGTCAATGAAATCAAGAATCCTATTCCGACATTAAAAAGGAACGGTACCATCTCGATCTTGATCGTTGGCATACTGTATATGCTCTGCAACATCGCATACTTCTCGGCCGGTATGAAACCCCTCCGCGAATCACTTGCGGATATCAGGTAGATGCTAACTAATAACATCTATAGTATCGAAGGACGAATTTGCCAAGTCTAAAGAGATTGCCGCAGCCGTTTTCTTCGTGTCAGTCTTTGGCAGGGGCCGCGCGAACCAGGCTCTAAGCGCTCTAGTTTTACTGAGTGCCTTCGCAAATCTGCTTGCTGTATTGATCGGCCAGTCCCGAGTGATCCGTGAAATTGGCCGGTAAGAATTTTTCCTTTTCGTATGCCTTTTCTTACAGATACTGATAACGAGGCTCTATAATAGACAAGGCGTGCTCCCATTTACCAATTTCTGGGTGTCCACCAAGCCCTTCGGCACTCCCTTCGGCCCATACTTCCTAAAGTGGGTAATGACATTTATCATGATTGTTGCTCCCCCTGCTGGCGACGCTTTCCAATTCAGTAAGTTTTATTGAATGTTTTCAATTCTCGTAGCCCCTTTTCCGAGTTGCATGGTACTAACAGCAGAAAAGTTGTGAGTCTGGGAACTTACCCGGATGGGATATTCCACCTTGCTCTTGCAGTCGGTGTATACTTGATTCGTTATAGGCAAAAGCGCCTAGGGAGAAAAGCACCCGATTTCAGGACTTGGGACGTGGTTTTGATTTTCTACATCTTACTCCAAGTCTACATTCTCGCAACTCCGTGGATCCCTCCGAAAGGTGGTCCCTACGCCGGTGAGGTTTCGTTCTGGTATGCGACATACTGTGTCGTTGGCATTGCTATTATCGTTGCTTGCGCCATATACTATGTCGTCTGGATCTATGCGCTACCAAGATGGGGAGGGTATAAGATACGACCAGAAATAATGAACGTCGAAGACCAAGGCGCCACGACTCATCGATTAGTTAAAGTACCTCTGAAGGACGTAGAAAAATGGGATCAGGAGCACGACGAAGCCGGAAATTTGAGACGGAGACATGTAGTTGCTTCGACAACATCTTCACAAAGGGACGACGGCATTACGGAGGTGCCGAAGACTGTGTAAACTATTAATAGGTAGACTTTAGATGCCTCCGTTGCGCCGTTAACTTCTATCTGAAGACTGAAAGAATAACACGAGTTTTACAATATAAAAAGGGTTAATCAATCCCCATGAATACATATGCCTGACTTAAGTGAAGTGATCTCTATTAGTGACACATTTATGCGTCGCTATAAGGTGGCAGTTGTACATTGGTCTCTTGCCAGGGTACGAGCTTGAGCTTTTATATAAGGTATGTAGGTAGGTACGTAAACCGAGTACTCAGGTAGGTAAGCCTCCAACCGGGAACTCTCCAATAGGTGGAAGGATTTACGATGCATCGCATCCACCCCCCCTAGAGTTGTATTCTTATAATATGGAGAATATTATGGGGCTACATGCCCAAAACAGCCGCAAAACTAAGGTATCATGATCCCTGACTGTTAATAATAAACTTCAAAGTGCTATTTTCTAGTACTAGTGCCAAAACCTGGGTGGTATAAAATGGTTATATTGGTACTGAGACAACAGCAATTCGTAATAACTATATGTACCCCAGAATCACTTAAGTTTCATCGCTGATAAGTCATTGTTCGTGCTAGGTAATACCCAGGCTGTAGTGTTGAAGATACAGCGGCACTTCTCTCTTGAAAAATTACTAAACCATCGCTCATCGTAGCTCGCTTATATATACATATAACAGAACGGTCCATCGTGGACACTCATCAACTCCCTCATTGTGATCGGACCACCACCGGCATATCCAAGGTCAATTATGTCGTCGAGAGTTGTGTCTGGCGATGGTGGGCTGTTCAAGAAAGTGCCTGTCCCTGAGACGGCATCCCGGCGATTCTTGTAATCCAAAGCTTGCCAAGTCCACCATACTAGATCGATCATTCCATGGTGAAGGTAAAAGACTGGTTCTCCGGGGGAGACGAAGACGTCGTCAGCTGGGTTGCCACCTATAGTGTAGTGGCCACCGCCGTGCACACCGATGGAGCCGGAACCAGGAACACCTTGCATGACCATTTGAAAGTCCCCGACGTTCTTGTTGTTGAGGATAAGATTGACAACAGAGGTAGCATTTGCGTATGCAGAATTAACACCGGCGGAGATATCTCGCGTCAAGCATCGTGGGTTGTATTCCAATCCGGTTCCGGTCAAGACTGAGCCGTTATTTAGGGGAAGACTTACGGGGCCCAAGTTTACTTTCATTCGCTTAAACGGACCGGATGTAACACATCCTCCTCCCGTACCGGCAGGTAGGTATACTGGGGCAAAGTCGCCGAGAGTCAGGATTATGGGACCTTTCTTGGCGATATATTCGCCATTCCCAGACATGCTATACGCGCTGCCATCGAAAATCGGCGACGCGGCCGGATTGTTCGCGTATAAAGCCCAGTTCCAGTACCTATGTAGGTATTTATATGTTAGTGTCAACTTCTTTTAGCTATCGGCCATAGTTACTTACGGTTGGGAGCCTTTATAGCCACATTCATTTTTGAGGGCTTGTTCATAGTTGTACAGAAACCAGCGATGCCAAGCAAGGAAGGTCCCCTTAAATATCGCCAATAGTTAGATAAATCATCTAACTAGTTCCCGTTGGCGAAGTGGAGTACTTACAGTGTAGTGGATATATGGCGTCTGGAGGATATGAGTAGCTACAAAATCGTCGTACCGTGATTTAGCGCCAGGGGCTACACTAGCAGGAGTTTTCGCCGGCAATGATTGTAAACACTTGAAGCGGGTAGTTAGTGTAAAAATTTCTCCATCAAATCGGTTGTTTTTGACGTTTTAACCCGTAAGGTTATTCAAACTGGAGAAAAGGATTCATAGTACATACGAGTACGGCATCAGTATAAGCCTTGCGCTCATTTTTACTTAACGAGCCCCTGGAAACATATTTAGCCCTGAAGGTTTAGAGTAATTCGATGTTTCACGTACCATGGGCGACGCACTGTGAGATTATCACGAGTGCATGCTTCTCCCCTCTTCTTGGCCCCAGTAGCTCTGTCATCCAAGATATTCTCCTGCGTTGATCCAGCCTGTTCGATTAAATTTTCTAGCTCCGTGAGTGACTCGGAGTTTTTGTCGGTAGTTAAGGCTGCTGTAGCTCTCACGAGCAGTAAAGCGTAGGTCAAGCAACGAATAAGCATAATGAGCGGATGGAGCTACTTGAGTCCAGAGGAGGAACGAGAGATCGGACTGGACAGTCTGTAGTCAATGCGTATATCACACGGATAGTTATACGATCTACTCACAAGCTATCACAATAGATGTAGAGGGTAATATTGGATCGTGGGCAAGATCTGCGAATTTATAATGATTTCTTATCCCCTCTTCTCCGTAGATTCATTGGAAGATATCCCAAATTATTCGGACAAGATTAATGGCTTACCCTTAAGAGGCTGACCTAATGCAGTCGAGCTAAGCATATTGAAATCTTCATTTATCTTAGTCTAGATCACCGCAGAATATCTTATTTCCTTCGCTATACCGAACTATGTTACTATCCCCTGGTGAAGACGGAAATATATCTGACGAAACCGGACCTACCCGACCTAAAAGCCAATCGGGTTGACAGCCAACCCCAGAATCCCTGACTCTTTAAAGCCCAGTACCATGGAAATAGTCCGGTCCATATACAGCCCTACTAGTGCTCACCGGACCTCACTTACCTTTAACGGACTAGGCGAGAGGTGCATCAAAGATCGATAAGATCAACACCAATTCCTTAATGACCTTAGTCTTTTCACTAGTATCCTTAATAGAGTTTCGACTTGACTTGTGATGATGTCAAAACAGGTTCTTATTGAACAAATATACATCCAAGATATTGAGACGTAGTGTTGATGATGATACTGATTCCTTTATCCCCTTGGCTGGCATAAGACAGCAACTCCATAAATTCCAGTATTAATACATACGGATTGGCTAGAAAAGAAAGAAACGCTTATACGGTACTAAATCGACCAATAATATTTATAGGTTGCGGTTTTAAAGACTAATTATAAGGCCTTTTCCTATTATGTTAATAAATGACGTTAAGCCTTATGTACTAATACTGAAAGTTATGGAGTTGCTGTCTTATGCCAGCCAAGGGGATAGCTTCATAAATGATTGACCTAAGCTAAACTGCAACCTCTAGAGTCTAGACTATACATCAATCCAGTGTGTATTACCTTCTTTCAACTGAAACATTTTATCCTCGACGGAAGATAGGATATCACGCCATGATAAAATAAGGGGCCAGGCAAGTTACAGGGCAGAATGTACATACTACAATTCTACTGACCTATTCCGGGTTGCAGCTCGTCAACCTGCGTAAACAGGTATGTAAACCTTGAGTCGCTATTCAAGCATGGCATTCAATGTAGCGTCGCTTGTCTTTAGTTTCTTTCCATGCACGCCATTGTTTGATTGCCCCATTCTTTAAGGGGCCGGCGCCGTGGTGTAGTCCAATCCGAATTCCCCGGCTTTGCACTGCCCAATACCCATCAATTAAAAAGGATTCCTATAGACTATTCATCATGCTCTCATCAAGTCCCTGTAAAGAGGCCTGAGCGAAATTTAAGCTCCTTCTTACAACAAGAGTAAGTTAGCACTTTGGCGACTTTGGACTCAGCTGAATAGAAGAAAAAGGCTAAAGTGAACAAATGCTAGCAATATCATATATATATACATTAAACAGCAGCTAGAAGTATACTAACACTAAATTCTATGAATTTTGACCTATTATCTTTCCGCTGAAAAATCGATGCCCAACTTCGATAATGTCGGCCGCTATACTCCCCTTACCCGGCGCGGACCAGCCCGACGAAAATCGAGGGCCTGAAATTGCTGGTGCCGTGGTATCGACGACTATAGCTGCGCTGGTCGTTGTTTGCGCAAGGATATACGTCCGCTTACGGATGATTCGAAGTATTGGAATAGATGTATGCAGCTAAATCTTGGTCCTTTAAGAGTATTTTTCTATACTGACTGAGATTAGGACTATGTTATGCTTGTGGCTATGGTACAGAAAGACTTCATGCTATTTGATACACGAAGCTAACTCGCTTTTAGTTGCTCTCCCTCATTGGAATGGGAATCATTATCGCCCAGGTTCACTACGGAGCTGGTCGCCATGCTGCATATCTCGATCAGGAAGTAAATAGATTTGGCCTCAAGTTAAACTTCGTCTCGCAACCAATATACCTATGGGCCATCCCAATGGTGAAGGTATCAGTGGGGATCTTTTTACTCCGCATCAGCCCTTCCGCCTACTACAGGCGAATTTTGCAGGGCGCCATGACGTTTCTCATGACGTACACTTTCGTTTGTTTTATGACGTTGATTTTACAATGCAAACACCTTGCGGTACTTTGGGACTCTCGAATCCAGACGACGTGCTGGCCAAAGTCGACTCTCCTAGGACTAAGTTACGCCAATTCAAGTCAGTTTTCAATCCCTTTCCTATCCCCTCAATATGGCTAGAGCTGATACATTAGGTACCATTGGATAAAGCCGTCAACATTGTTACAGATTTATTTTTTGCGCTCTTACCAATTCCAATTCTTTGGAATGTGAAGATTAATGCTCGTACCAAAGCTTCACTTATATGTGTCCTTGGTCTCGGTGTCTTGTAAAGCCCCCTTTTACCACTCTTTTCGGGTCTCCAATCTAATTTATTCGCAGCGCATGTGCAGCAGCCATCGTCAAAGCCGCCTTTCTTTCAAGCTATGGAAAATCTGGTGACTTCTTGTGGGACTCGGCCAACTTAAGTATATGGGTCGTGTAAGCATTTGAAAACCCCAATTCTTGAAAGGAGCTACACTAACGCCTGTTCTATCGCAGGGTCGAAACAAACACAGGGATCATCGCCGCGTGTCTACCATGTATAAAGCCGATGTTCAAAACCATATTCGAAAGTTCTCTTCGCTACAGATCGTCTCGCAAGAAAGACGAATACAATCTCCACGATTATGCTCATAGCACAGGCCCTAAGGGATCCAAATATTTACACACCCAGACAAGGACAGAGATAGACGCCCGGCGCGTAGCTGTTCCTAACGGCTTGGCAGACAATATAAGCGAGGAGAGCATCTTGACGCAGAAGACCAGCGGAATTACCAAGACAACCATTGTAACGATCGATCGGGACATCGAAGAAAATGGTGAGGCATCAGGATGGCATAAGGACTACCCTGAGCGGGTGGTTGAAGACAGGTTGTGACTAAGTTAGTCAAACAATATGAGGACATATTAATATTCGTATATATAATACATTGATTCTATAAGTTCGATTTAATCCCATTGAGTCAAGTTCCCTTTCATTAGAGAGATATGATCGTCACTCATACTCATATATGAAAGACTCGGATTTTATGTCAGTAGCCTCAGGCGGTAAACCATCAGAGTAACATTTTAACAAATCCGCGTCTATACTTGAGATTAGACGAGGATATTTATAAAAAGAAAACAAAAAACCCCCCCCCCCCCCCCCAAAAAACCTTTAAACCCCGCCTCTCTCCAAAAATCATGAACCACTCAAACCACTTACTCAATCAGATCTAGATGAAATAGATGGTAAAATAGATGGTAGCGAGATTAAAATTATGGGGTAGATTTTAACCCCCTGTTTGAATCTCTACATGGGTGATGCATATATCAATTATACCATTTACTCCACCCTAAAATAACATGGCAGTATTTGTGCATAAGAAAAAAAAATTAATTGACAAAAATTGGCGGTACTGGGAATCGAACCCAGGTCTACACGGTATCAGTATATCTGCACATCCACAACGTGTTGTACTATCCACTATACTATACCACCCATGTGGTCAGTGCTCAGTGTTTGAAATTTGGTCTTATAAACCCACTAGTTACTGTCTAGCTAAGAAATTGACTATACGTTCGTGTGCACGTAAATTACAAACTATTCACATATGATACATACGAAATTTTTCCATTCAGAATTCGTTACAAAACCCACGAGATATTTTTAAAGGACAGATTTAGAAGTGCTTTCTCCCACCCAAATTTCCTATAGTTAGTTGTAACAATGTGAGGTAGGTCTATTAACACAAAGCCGTAATGTAGAGTCACTATCTTATATCACAAGGTAAGAATAAAAGAGAATTAGTTCTCAAGCATAGGTCTTTATAACTTCAAAGCGATTAAATAAGTAGCTTTCTTTCTTAAGCAATTCTCAAGATGACAATTGTTAAGAAACTTGCTGATTGTCTTAGTAATTGCTAAGATCACCACCTATGCTTGTTTGCATCTGTTACAGGTGCTACAGGAGTCAAAGTATTATTCGGCGGCCCGCTAGATAACATCATGACTCAGTACTTGAGTCAGGAATGTCGTTCCTTTATAGGTAGGTAGGGACCTATATAAAAAGACCTTACAGAAAGCTACAAAGATCTAATATTGAACGCTGAACATCATCTTCAATATATGATACCTTTTGGTTTCAGCCTCGTGATAGCATTTCCTTTGGGCTTTTCTACTGATGCTTCTTCTAGTTTCTCTAAAAATCATTGTATCGCTTACCATAATTCACGCTATCTTCTTATTCTTAGCCAACGTTGACGACTAAAGAACGATCTACATAACAAATCAAAAAGAAAGGAAATGCAATCACACAGAATATATACATAAGAATTAATTTACTAAGAAATATTATTTAATTCATTATTAAAATGAATAACAGGTATTTTTATTGATAAGCCTAGGTTATTCACAATTCAAAGACTACCTCCTAAGTAAGTCTTTAGCCTTAGGCTTCAGCGTTATTATAAAGTACCTAATCTAGGAAGTACAACTACCTAAATATGGATCTAAGAATATCCGTAGAAATACGACAAGTCATATATTGAAGGTGCAACGATGGTGCGTGCGTTGTAACCAAATATGCAGATGCAGCAACGCCGCAAACGTCTTGCTTCTCCCCTCACCTTAGCGACCAAACGAAAATAAGTCTTCTCTATGTACTTGCCTTCTTTTCGATTCCGTTCTCAACATACTAATCTTGAATAATTATCAGTTCACCTCCGAGTAAGCTGGTTTTTCTTTTTCTTTTTTAAATCAGGCAATTCCTTACATTTTTACCTCTGGTGAAAAGTCTTTGATACCTCAGGTAGCTCTCAAGTTAGTTCGTACTAATGACAGCCCCCGCCTGGCCTTCCAGGTCTTTTCAGGTGTCTCTCAAGTGTCCATTACAATTCGATGATATTACTTGTAATGACTACTTGTCTCTTCTGACAATCCTGATCCTACACTTGCAAAAGCCCCTTCATACTTACTGAGCTCCTGCTGCTGCTAGGTACGAAGCAACAAGATGTCGTGGACATGCGGAACATGCTGGAAAGAATTTACAACCGAACGAGGTCGACAACAGCATATGGATGCATTAGATCATTCGATTCCCAATCATGAATGTGATAGGTGTTCGCGTGTCTTCAATTCCCGCAGCGCCGTCGTTAATCACATGAACGCAAAGAATCATTGGTATTACGAATGCAGTATCTGCGTTGAGACATGGCCGACTGAAGAACAACAAAAAGAGCACGAGATAGAAGAACACTTCTACTGTAATGATTGTGACCGGGAGTTTAGAAATTACAACGATATCAAGATGGTAAGTTGGACAATCCATTATCTGACACCTAGTTTCAACACATGCCATTCGAAGTCGATGAACTGATGACAAACACCTGGCAGCATCTTAACTCGCGCGCCCATCGCGACATAAACATCAATTGTCCTTTTTGCCACAAGGCCTACACATGTGCCACTGGCCTTGCGCATCACATAGAAGAAGGAGCCTGTCCGAGAGCCCCAAGTCTAAATCGAGACGAAGTATACAAGCTTGTCAAAGCCAAAGATCCAGGCGGCCTTATCTCCAAGAAGCTGCTCGGGTGGAAAGGTTCTCCCAAGTACGAGGCCACATACGATGCATGGAATGGATATGCCTTCGAGTGTTACCTATGCCATCGCCAATTCGGTTCACTTAGTTCCCTAAACCAGCACCTTAGCTCACCTACACGTAAGTATTTCCCATACTAATCTACCTCGGGTTGGTCCATAGATTTTACAATCCTTACTAACACCTTACCGATGTTGTAGATCAGCAAAATCTCTATCACTGCCCTAAGCGGCTCAGCTGTGGCCGTGAGTTCGTCACACTAGCCGCTCTTATGAACCATCTTGAGAGCGAAAGTTGCGGATACACCAAGTTTGAGAACGTGCAGAGGGCCAGCCAGAAAATTATGAATCCAGACCGACTCCTCAGTTTCGACTAAGAGTATGGGTGGTGTCAAAGTAGCGATAATATCTATCATTCGACTTTGAGCGGTAGAAATAGTTTTTTGTACCTTAAGAAGAGATATTATTATTAATAGTTAAGACTGAGGCCCTTTTTCAATTTCTTAGGGGTTTTGGCTATTATGCCATGTATTACGGCTATACGATATGATCATCTTGACTGCCCCCTTTTTGTTGCATATGGACTGTACAACAAACAGGCCGATGATGTTAATAGAATAGGGGTTTTTTATCTGCCAGCGAAAGAAGCCAAGTCTCCTATTGCCGTTGATCTTAGTAGGTTGAATTAGAGAATAAAGAATAAAATTGACCCTGAAATTGTGCCTAGGGGGGACCCAACTATAAGTCCCTAACCTGAACTCGGTAGGTGAAAATAAGCATGATTTGATACACAACTACCCCAAGTAGTATGTCCTGATAAGCGCAAGACTTATAGCAGGTTATTCCGAGGAAATCGTATATACCTCTTGAAATGTTTACATTATCCTGAAGAGTCCTCTGATGGCAGTTAACAATATGCTCTCATAGTTCAACTGACCCGTTACATATTGAACCCAGATGGATAATTAAGTGATAGCAAAGAAGCCTCGATTAAACCAAAATATAATTAACGCCAGAGCTGAAAGTTTCTGGGCTACGAGTATGCAAACTCTTACCCCTTACATTAATCGTGCGTGTTCGGGCACGGGACCTCATATACATTTCGTAAAAGCAAGTCCTAGGCTGGATCGCTTCTCTGCATGCCCTAACACATATGTGAAATATCAAATTGATATCTCGTTTGTTACTATCACATCGCAATTTTGACAAACAATACCTACTACTTGAACTCGATCGAGTCCGACAATAGGGCCGACCCAAGTACTATGTTTTGTATGCCCACCCGACGCCATTGCAACCTGTCGAATGCACGATCGCCTCACGGAGTGAGAAACTGGGTGGCCCAGGGGTCACTGGGTTATCAAAAAGGAGATATGAGATTGAGTTGCCTTGGCACATCACGCACTGGGCCAATCGGTAATAGATGCCATTTGTCTGAACTTTCGTGGGTATGCCTCATCGTCCCAATACCACTAAATTTGTATGCCCGCCTCGATTGCCTGCCGATGCGACGCAACCTCCGCAAATGATGCCATCACCGAGCAATGACCACCTACCTAAAGTAGTAAGTATAGCATGTAACTGGATCTAGACCGTTTGAAACCCATCTTGTACACTAGCGTATTAGTTTTTTCTTTTCTAGTGTACCTAATAAGATATGCCGGTATCTATATGGGTTAGTCAATGTTCGTGATGCTTCGTGTTTGTTACATACATCTTATGATTTCATGTTTGGAGAAGGGATCCAGATAGCTGAAACATTTATTTTATTGCTGGTATTGTGTGCAGCAACTACCTGTCATTTTTCTTATACGTTAGATTACATACCTAAGGTATGTTAGATCTCAATAGCCAGCTACATACACCGCAATCTTCAAATGACATTCCCATAGCTAAATACTGAATATGGCGGGGTGCAGAGACGATCCGAATCAATGATTGGTGACAAGAGTTCGGGCTTGCTCTGGACCTTGGATTCTGAACACGCTATGGTCGCTCTAAAGGTCTAATCCCTGAACGCACGTGGGCGGTAATAGAATTCTATCCTCATTTTAACATTCAATAGCTCCTAAACTAGGCTCTTTTCATAAGAACATGGCGGTGTTATTTCTATCGAAACTATTGCCGAGCTTATTGTTATTCAGTGCCGTGTTGATCCGCTAGAAATTCTCCGACCTATCCTGTCGTCCCCTGGTAGCGGTGCTTGGCGAACTGGTGACTACAATCTACATATCTCTTGTGCGTACAAAATACGTACGAGACAACTGCGCCACGACCCAACATGGAGGTTAACCCTTCCACGTTTCGTTGCCGTAACCATCGTGGCGGGTTCTGCAAGACTTAGGCTGCAGGTACCTGATCCGACTTGTAGCATTTGTTTTTTAGGGTTGTAAGAGGGGGAGCTGTGTCCGGATAGAAACAGGCCACCCGTGGGTTAACACGTTTGAAAATGCCGTCCAATGTAGCCGGCTAGGCTTAGGCTGCTGCATCGTGAAGCCACCTGATTTTAGGGCAGTCAGTCTAGCCAGGAGAATACATGCTTCAGGTCGTCTAGTTACCCAGGATAATGACATGTTTTAGTTATACATAAAATATTGGCTGATACGAGAGCAAGTGGTTCAATCATTGTTGGGTATAGTCTACCCGCAAACCTGAGACTGGTTTAGTGGAAGTCTTTCGCCACCTATCAACGATGGCGCCCTATCTCGAATTATCATTCCCAATTGGTGTTGGGATCCCACGAAAGGGCACTACTGTAGCACTTTGCGTCTTGACCTGCATATCGTGGCGTGTGCCCCCAAGGACTAGGACGACTAGGACGACTAGGATTAGCGGGGATGGCGGGCGGAAAAGGAAGCCGTACCTATCAAAGCTGATAGGAAACCATCATCACAAACCTCGGCGGCTCTAGACATGACGTCTGACGAGCAAGGAAGAGGCTCCTCCAACACAAACTTCTTATGTGATATATGAGGAACATATTATTTTTCTTTTTATTCGACGGCCTGTCCCGTAGTATGTAAGTGATACCCGAACCCGATTGACTGCACGCCTATTTAATATGACGAACATGACGAATTGGATCGCCAGGAGTTGCTGTTTCGAATCATTCGCGCTACGTACATACTGACTTACAACTATATGCGGATTGTGATCCAATATGCCGGGAGGGGAAGAAATAAATCTTACTTTTTCCAAGATACTGGAACAATCATCTGATTGATACATGATACATCCATGTACCTAGGTTAAATGTTTCGTACCTAACCATACGTCAGCTTGAGATTGTCAATCGCGAGTGAAGCTAAATGAGGTAGTTATGTGATATGGAAACTTTTTAATACCTTCAAGCTAGTTGATGCCCGAGGTTAACTTGTGATAAGTCTCCAAGTCATTCCATCACAGTCTTCACAACCTTCAAACTAGTTTTGCAATGATAATTTATTGCAAGCGAATGCTACATTGCCCTTCTCTCTCCACATCTCCATGTTTCGTTCTAATCTCCATCAACCTACTACAACTATCTTAGGTACCTAACCCACTCACATATCCTAGAAGATATAGATTCTCACGGACCTTGTAGATTTGCTAGATCTTTGAAGGTTAATATTGATCCTTGATATCGATCTTAAAAAAATCGGTTTAATATGTATTATTATATCTCTTGGTGAGCGGAGACTTGAGGTTGTGTTTCGTAGATCAACTGTCCGATCTTTTTATTCCGTTTCCCCGTTGTTCGCGAGAAGGCCGTCGTTCCTAGTCTTTCGGGGATTATATGTAAAGTGTTATATATGGATGATCAGCAAAACCCGAGGCTCGAGCGTAAAGCGATTACTGAATGAAGGGGGTAACTTAGATGAAATTAGCGAATTGAACGGCGTTTCCGTCATGTCAGGCTGTGCAACTAATGCAACTAAACCCCTAAAAACCCTAAGACCCCTTTTATTACCCCACTAAGGAGGTTAACCCCCACTATCACCGCTGTTACCACCATGGTGGTTTCCCATTTCATTACTGTATCATAGTACGTACCCACCCTAACCCAGGATCAATTTACGGGTACTACGGTGCCTAATTACATGTGCCCAAGGTACAAACCAGGATACAAAACCCATCTGGAGCTATTACAGCAAGTTGTGCCTGCCCCAGCCATCTGGGTGGTATTACCGTATCAGTGTATCAGTGTATCAATGTATCACCGCTGTCGATTCTCTCTTTTTGCCTAGCTTAAACTTAGTTTCATGCCTCTTTTTTTCTTCTTCGTCTCTAGACTTACATTTAATCTTCAATCTTCATCTTCAATCTTGTCCCCACCTCCTCTTTTTGGATATTCGCTACGAATTTAGTTCCATTCCACCAACTATATCTTTTACTTTGTATACAACCTAAACCACTTAGGTATTATTTTTTATTTAACTGATTCGGTTGGGTTTCGCGTCCGAGCACATGTTTCGACAATTCCAATCGCATCACACATCACATCCTACATACTACAATTTCGATTCATATTTCCCCTCACGTTTACCCTACGCGCATTAGTTCGATTTAACTCAAACCTGATTCACTTCGCTTTGACATATACAGGAACCGCTCTTTCTAATTCTCAATCATATTATTGTATTCAATATCACACCTAGCTCCGACATCCACCGTTGAGAACTTTGTTTATAAAGAACCCGTAACTTAATATCCCTTCATTGCTTACCCGGCGGACTGGCTCAGTCCCTGAGAGAGACAGCTATAAATCCTATTTTATAGGATAATTTAAACGGCGGTTAGACCCAAACGGGGAGAACCCGTTGGGTGTTAGTGGAGCAACGCCAAGTAGAAACTGTCGTACCCTGCAGCTTGCAGCTTGCAGTTGCCCTTCAGAGGTAGCGGTAGAAAGCGAAGGGGAAAGAACAAGAAAAATATAGGCTGTGATTTCATCTTTTACTACATTACCTCCACCACGCATACCGCTATTGCCTTTTCTCGAACCTTACAGTCCTTACCGCCTTTAGCAAAGGAACAATCCTTCGATAACGAACTCTATATACTCGCCCATTTACCCGTTGTGACGATCGGTCTGTTTTAACCCAGCTATCTACTAGCTATACACAGCTATCCACGTAAAAGAGACATAGAATCCAACAAAAAAAAAGAGAACGATAGTAGAGAGAAAGGAAGAAACAGACGCAGAAATGCACCACAGTCAACAACAGAACCAATCACAATCACCTATATCGCAACCACCGGTGCCCATATCGATCACAATATGCGGTGACGGAGGTTGCGGTAAGTCGTCGATAACTCTTCGACTAGTTCGGTCCCAATGGACGTCCGAGTACGATCCAACCATCGAAGATAGCTACAGCATCACCCGGCGTATTGATGGCACCACCTACCACCTATCGCTGACCGACACGGCGGGACAAGAGGAATATCGGGGCATGTGGGCGTCGTCCAATCTAAGTGCTGATGCCTTCCTTCTTGTTTACGATATCACGTCTCTCGACAGCCTCGATGCCTTAAACTATTTCAACGACCTCATAGACATGGAGGCAGAAACACGCCTTGATAATGCAGCACGGGCACGGCGGGCCGGCCTGGGAGCGGGCGGGGGTGCGAGAAGAGGTAGTATAGGGTTGGGAGGAGCCGGTAGCGGTGCAAGGACAATACCACCGGTTAAGATTGTAGCTGGTAATAAGTGTGATTTACAAGAGTCGCGGCAGGTGCCAGCGGCTCAGGGGCTCGAATGGGCGCGGAAACGCGGTTGTGGTTTCATGGAGACGAGTGCTCGGCTCGAGGTCAATATCGAAGAGACATTCGCTCTCATCGTCCGCCGAGTTGTCGAAAGCCGTCGCCTTGCTGAAATGGGTGTCCTCGATAATACCGATATGGACCGCCGTGGCGTCACAAAACCTCTAACACCTCTCGGCGATAACGATGATCGCGACATGGATAACGAAAAAACTGGGCGCTCAGGCTTGACAAGGGGCCCACGATTTGGTGACGGTCAGAGAGTGGGCTTTGGAAGTAGGAGGGATAGATTCTGGAGAAGCTTACGGTGTTGGTAGGGCGGGTTCTGCCCTCTTATTGTTTAGATCAGTTGGACAACTCCCGCATACGGCGAGGGGAGTTAAAAAGGGGCATACGGCTAAGGTGCTATTTTTGAGCTTTCAACATAAAGTGCCGAGCGAGCGAGCGAGCAAAAAATGCATTGCTATTCCGAGTTGAAGGAAGTTGGTGCTACAGAAGTACGGTTGGAATACCTAACGAGTTCATGAAACTGTTTTGTTTCGACGCGGATAAATTACTAATACCGAACTCGCGTTTATTCGAGTCGGTTTGTCGATTTTGACGTTGGCTTAGACAGTATATTGGCTAGGGAAAGAAAGAACCGAAAAGGAGTTCTCCCCTGAGACAACATGTGTATCCCGGGGCTACATAGGCGTTTACATGGTGGCAAGCGAGAGGTGTGGTTATGCATCGGCGTCTTCATTTTCTTTTATCTCTAGCTATCGTCTCAGGAGTCTCGCGATTGTTGGGTTCCCCCCCTTCTTGGGCTCGGGCTGCATATTCGGTGGATGGGACGGATTGCAAAAAAATATAGGCACTTCGTGTGGCATAATAATATTGACCTGCTGTTCTACATTTCCACGTATTTGCGTCTAGATGATCTGTTGTGTGAATCCCTGGATATCAAGTAGGACTCTAATTCTATATCGCCGCTTATACTTACATATTCATAGTTATAAGTATCATTGAGAGGAACTTCAAGCAGTGGTTATTTTACACTCATTTACCATTATTATGCGTCAGTCCCATATTTTCCGGCCAAAACCCACCACCAAATTTACACAAGTCCTACGAAGCAAAAAAAGGGGGAAGAATTATAATAAACGATTCATAACAATAAAATTGATTTAAATTTAACATACGTTTTTTTAGTTCTTTATTAGGTAACCTTTAGTTGTTAATTTTTATAACTGTATAACATAGGCAAGGTTTGGTGGGGAAATAGGAGACTGAGCCATAAGACTTGTAAATTGTTTAATTGAGCTATCTATTGTCTACCTATGATCTATCAAAGTATCTCTTTTCTCACTGGCCACAAAAGCTACTTATCCGACTTTCCTTCACAACAAAACCGAGGTATATCCCACTATCCAAATACCGAATCAACTCATCAATCTGTCCGTTCTAATGTATATCCACCCCCCACAGGCCCCCCTCCCAGTCTCTCCTGTCTCCCCCTATTATTCAATTATCCACTTCTCAATTCGTACGTTTATTTCATTCAATCATTCAACCGTATCAAGGACAAGTAAGAAACGAAGTGAAGAGAAGAGAAACCCCGACCTGGACTCATGATATTCCCACAGCCTGTCCTATCACCATCACCATCATCACGGTCCATAACCCAATTGCTACCTCACCTAGAGTCTTCTTCACCGCCTCGGATGTACTCATAGCCATCCCACTCGGCATAGGCGAGTGCCAGATCTGTGTTGTCGTCATCGTCGGAACTGCGGGCGCGACCACGGCACCGGCGCCGGCGCCGATGGCTTGGCTTGCGGCTCCGCCGACGTTGTAGTTGACGCCGCCGGTGTTGATGCTCGTAGTAGCGGTAGAGGTGCTATTAAAACCCCAGCCCACGGCGCCAAAACTAGCATTAGGAGCGGTGCTTTGCTGCTGTGGTGGTGGTGGGGGTAGGGGGGAAGAGTAAGAGGAGAATGTGGGGGGTGAGAAGGGGAAAGTGGAAAGGATGGATTCGGTGAAAGCAGGAGTGGTCCAAAGGGGAGGGGAGGAATAAGTGTTTATGTGAACTGACTCGAGTACAGTGGCTACCTGTGTCGTCGTATTCCTTGTTGTGATAAAGGTCTCCGGAGCCGTTTTGGCCACGTGGGTTATCTCCGCTATCGTGATGTGTTCTATAGGGGTTGGTATACTTGTGCTTAGGATAGGACGCGTAGTGGTATACTGAACTCGGCCTTGGGTCTGGGAATGCACCACTTTCGGGGTCGGGGTTGTAAATGTAGGAGGAAGGATGTCACCTGGGCAGAAGGTCGTCACCACTGTTACATAGCTGGTATCAACCCGGCGGCCAGCCGTGTATACGACATGGCGAACTAGTGTGGTCGTAAAAGTCTCTGTAGCCGTAGTTATCTCGATGTGCTTCTCCTGCGGCTGATCCTCATCTTCGTCGCAGTCGTCGTCTCCAGCGGCAGGTGGATCAAGCACCGGGGCTGCACTCGCTTGCTTCTTGACAGTAGCAGTAGTAGCAGTCGCAGTACTTGTCATGAATGCAGTGGAGAAAGCGGTTGAGAAAGAGAATACAGTACAGTCACACTCCGGGTCATAACTAGCTAAGGTAGCAGTAGGCGACGGGAGCTTCTGTGCCGGCTCTGCCGTCTCGCAGGATCCGGGGATATTAGCCGCTGCATCGGGGCCCGCTGGAACAGGGACCAAGTTCGAGCTTTCACCACACGAGACGTAATTAGCCATATATAACGCGTTGTTGCTTTGATCAAACGTTACTTTGAATAAATTAGCTTTTGGATCTTTCATCAAGCCAGTCTGCCTGCCTGCTTGCTTGCTCGTGTGATGGAACGTGAAAAAGGGGGTAAACTTACCATATGCTCCCCTTAGAAATGTATCTCCTAGGATCCATACGCCAACATTGCTAGTGTACCATGCGCCCAGAAAGCATTCGTTACCGCCGTACCAGATGAAGTCGCTGTAACTAACACTGATCTTAACTTTGTCGTTGCCATCCCCACGGAGCTCAAAGTCTACACGGCCCTCCGTAGTATTTCGTAGTTCGCATGGCACCTTGTATCCACCATTTCCATCTGGCTCTGCGCCAGGGAAACCGGCAGCTATAGCTGAGACTACGGACTCTGGGAGTAGAGAGAGGGTAGTCCCTGAGTCAACAACAACTTGTAATGGTAGGTTCGAGTCATTTATTGCTTTGATATTTTGGGAGACGGTTTTGACGGAGCCGGAGCTGGAAGCGGGAACGTGGAGAGAGATTGAGTTGAGCGTTGCGACGTAGTGCCTAGAAATTGCCGATAATAAGTATACTAGCTGACGCTATATTAGGGTAGATATGTAAAATACGCAAAAGCATTGGATTAGAGGATAAATAGAGGAACATACGCATCGTTAGGATCGGTTGGGACTTTCACTAGGTTTCCTGCGTATTTATTGGTGTCGACACCACCAAAGACTATTTCTCCCGTGATGGCAGCTTGCTAAGCGTTAGTGGTTATATTTCATATACAAGGTATTGACAGAGATTGTATCACACAATCACAAGTCGTGGAATCTACTCACCAGTTGGTCCAGGTTGGCCACCCAGATCCAAGCTGAATAACTTGCTATCCGTATACCCTTGTACGGCCAACGAGTCGACGATAGATTCATAGTCGATAACGCCGTGCCCCTTACCATGACCCAAGCCAAGGATACCAAACCAAACATCACTAGATGCATTTGAAACTCCAAATTGTTGATCCGGGAGTTTTGCCCCTAAGTTTTCATTATCAACAAAAGTCATTCGAACAACCAACTATTGTATACTGCTCTTTCTTCCACATCCTCGAGCTTAACTATCCAGGTTTTCAACTTACCAGAGATAAATACATCATCCTGATGATAAGTGCCCGATGCACTACCCAGCCCATACTGGATCGTGAAGGTCTTATTTAGATTCTTCGACGTATGTGATAGCGTAGGATCGTAATGCCCAAATTCATCGCAGAACTGCTGCACATTGGTCGCGCTACAGTTCGGATTAACCCACAGTTCAAACGACCCCGTATCCAGCAGCACATTGACGGTCTGTGGGTTATCGCTGGTACCAATTGTTACTGTTTGTCTGTCAGAAACTCATCTTATAGCTTTTTTTGATAATGTCATGAAAGAAGGTAAGATGAGAACTCATACACTCGGCAAAATACGCTGCACCATAGACACCTAGGACATCCGATCCGAAATATCGTCTAGCCAAACTAGGCGTCCCGACACCCTTGTGTTCGACCTTCCTCAGGGGTAGCGAAAGCACCTCGTGAGTACTCTTCGGGAGGCTCGTCGCATTTAGAGGCCCATTATATGTTCCATTAAACGACTTGAAAGTAACCGCCCGTCCTACGCCGATTAGCGTAGCAGCAGCTATGAAGAAAAGCGGATGAGAAAACGACATGCTACCTCAGAAGTAGTCAATCAGTTGGTTTCGCAACACCGTAGTTGGAAACAAGTATATAGAACAGAAAGAAAGAGCAGTATTAAAACTCTTGAAGAAACGCATCATGAAGTATATTAAACCAATAATCGTGGAATTTGAATGCGATAACTAGGAGACGGCCGCCGCTAACTAATTGGCGGTAAATTAACCTGAAGAATGGAGGGGCCATTCCCTAGAGACATTTTTTTAATGCGATCCCGCGGGTTCGCATGGCAGAAATACGAATTCCTTAAGACATGTATGTCGATATAGCAACCAGGAGTTCTAGAAGAAGGGCGGTCCATTGGTTCCATGCCAGGAGATGGCTTGGTTCCCTTATCCCCTAGATCGCCGCTGGCATGAGATCTTAAACATCGAGGATTATGTCCCTTCATCGATCGAACAGCGCAGCCAAACTGCGAAATTGTGTCCAGGCCAACGGAGCTGCGCGACAGATATAATGTTGGAGACTATAATTCTAATTAAAGATATACCTCAGTCTGGCTGAAGGGGTGGATAGATAATGTTAATCTTGTAATAAGTCGTAAAATACCTAGCTACCTACCTAACTAGGTAAAATTCAACGACTAGGCGAACATAACATGCACAACGGAAACGCACCGAAAAAGACCAAAATCTACCTGTATCATCACATCACCCACCTAGGATGCTGCTGTTCTAGACGCCAAACCCCAGACTCCCTTCCATCCATCATGCGCCAATGCCGTCCACCAAATATGTATCTACACTCTCCAGTAAGAGTGCGCCCGTGATAGTGTATATAGTATAATGTATGTCTGTTTGTCTATGCCTCGTCGTCGTCATCGTCGTCGTCGTCATCCTCGCTCTTCTGACTAACCCAATCGCGCCAGCGCTTGTACTCGGAGTATAGGAGAGACTTCTTCTTGCCTTGGTAGCGCACGACCTTGAGGTCAACGGTTTGCCACTTTTCCTTGCGGCCCGCCCAACCAGCCTTACGCATCAGGCTGACTAGAGTTTCCTCTTTAGTCCATCCTTGCTCGGCAGCAACATCCGGCAGGTAAGTTGCGCCGTAACGGCGGCCTCGTTCCGAAAAGCTTATGCGCAGTCCGTGCGTACCGATCTCCCAGTCCATCGAGTCCTCGCAATCCTCAAAATCGGTTAGTAGCGTAACGGCGACCTCGAGAGAGGGTAATTCCCGCTTGCTGATAGGATCGAAGCGCATATCGTTGATGGCCGAGGTTATGGCGTAGGATGATAGCCCCTCATCAAGCTCCTGCGCTTCAAACGTCCCGATGCAGCCTCGTAAGGAAGTATTGCCCGTGCGAGAGGACACGGTGTTCCAGGTGACGAATAGCGGGGATTCGGTAATAATGGTTTCATCAGCAGAGGTTGTAGTTGTATCGGTAGCAAGAGACATAGTCGAGCCTGAAGAAGGTGAGGATGAGCTGCTTGTTTCGGAGGACTCGGAACCGACTACTCGTTTAAGAGCGGGGATGCGCTTCTCGAGGCTTTCGTGTTTGTTTGCATCTTCGACGCCGGCTTCCGTATCCTTGCTGTACTCGACCCACGCGTTTACAATCTCGTTAAGGCCCATAGACTTGCGACCCTCAAGGTACGCAGCAAGCGTCTCGAAGCAATAGAGACAATGCGGAACTGTAGCCATGGCTGGTTGTTGCTTGCTAATCGTTAACTTTTCCGAGGGGCGTCGTAGGAAGGAAGTCAGGAAGGGCGTTGAGGAATTACGAGAACCGAGAATAGAGGGAAAAGAGCTCGTAAGAGTTGACAGAGGAGAGAATCGGAAGCGGGCAAGTGGACCAGCAACTAAAGAATTAGTAGTTGCAGTTATTAGGTTGAGATAAGGAATCGACCATCTTGAATTGATAGACACCCCGCTTTCCCTTGGTTGGGTGGGCATTTCGAATGCGCCTGACATTATATGCATAGGTACCTCTATGCATATGATGCACAATCCTTTCATAACCTCTTACCATTCCACACTAGGTACCTTATAGGTCCATACTAAAAATAGTATGATAAATGATCAGCCTTAGGTATTTCCTCCCTTAGCTTGAAAGAGGATTGATTGATTTAGTAGTATTCCAATTTCTTCACATTATAGTAACGGTAATCGTTTGCCGATGATGTTATGTCTAGCTAATGTTAATTTTCGTAATGAATGGTTATTCCTAATCCAATTTAACTAAACCCTTTCCCAATCAGCTACTGACTTAGGGTTTATTTTGGGTTAGGTAACTAGTTGTCTTGGCCACACAGTTAGATCTGTTTCGATAGATACCAGAAACAATAGCAGCTCAACTCTGAATAAAGAGGTACATATAATAGTCGTTAATGGCAATTTTGCGATTTGGAAAAAAATGACGTCCAAGAGCGACGAGTAAGTCGCTCAGATAATCCTGGAATATCTGTAACCCTCAGTTTAATGTTACTAGCATTAGGTTAGTAATGCCTTGATATTCTTCTATGTGGCATTCTCCGATAGACTTAGTTTAGATGAGGATAACTTAAAATGTAAGAATATAGATAGTTCAACCACCAGCGATAACATCACCTTTCCACGGCAACCCCTGGAGGTCTTCATAATAGCTCTTATCCATACCAGCCTGTTGTCGGGCCTCAGCATTGAACGGACCTCTCACGGCTCCTCTAAAGTGTTGCTGTACGTTGCTTCGGAAGACTTGAACGGGATCGGTGCCCTCTTGTTGGCAAATCCAAGTGAGCCATCTATGCCCCGTAGTGACATGCGTAATCTCGTCGTTGTGAATAACGTTTAATGCATCAACGCTTTCGTCATCTCTAGCATTTTGGAACTTTTCGATCGTCTTGGGATTAACATCGAGGCCGCGAGCTTCGTGGACGAGTGCGATGACGCTTATCCTTGCGCGCAGGTCGTGCGATGTTCTTACGGCAGATTCCCATAAACCGTGGTGGACCGGCAAAGCACCGAAATGGCTCCCCATCTCCTCTAACCTTGCTCGTAGTAAAGAGAAATGTTTCGCCTCATCATTCGCAACCTTAAGCCAGTCATAGAAAAACGTTCGCGGTAGTGGACGTGGGTGGCCGTTCTCATCCTGCGTTGTTGTTTGAAACGAAGCAAACCGGACCATGATATCGATAGCGAGATCGATGGCCCACTGCTCAATGTTTGCCAGAGCGTGGAGCATCATGATCCTGTTTTTAAGGTTCCCTCCCTTGCCAGCTCTGGGCATCTGCCCCGGTTTCACTTGGGTTAAGTTTTGTCTTGGCGGTTCCTGGGGAGGAATCACAGTACCAGCCCCGATCTCCATGAGCGAAGAAGATTGTTCACGTGTTGCAAATAAGGAGAAGAGATGTGTTGTGAGTTCGATCTTGTGCTCGGGATTGGAGGTATTTAGAATATGATTGCACCAATCGCATAGGCTCGCATCCTCACCAAGATACGTTGCAGGACCTGAAGGATCAGTTCTGGGGCCATGCTTGAATTTCACTTTCTCGCTGACGGGCTCGATCTTGTCGAGTTGTAGATTTTCGGTTCCTGAAATTTGTATGCTCACTCTTTCATCTTGTATAGTGACCGGGAACGTGCAAGCTTTGATGCCATAACTAGACTCACCAGTCTCTACGTTGAAGTCATACGCATGCCACGGGCAAGAGGCAATGTAGGACGAGTCTTCGATGTCTATGTGAGCATCTGCCATTGGCCCACCGGCGTGAGGACATTCTGCCTCCATTGCATAGTAATTCCATGAATCTGAACTTTCCACAGCTGGTAGCGTTACATCCGGCCGATCAATTCTTGGCAGGCGAAAGAGAACAAGGCGCTTGCCATTAGAAAGTGTTATCGAATGTCTAGTGTGTTGTAAATCTTGTAGACGACCTAGATCAACAACCGACATCGTGTGGAAGTTTGGGCCACAAGGCGCGCTCCAAATTTCGGTGAGTAAAACTTGAAATAGGTTGCCAGCGCCAACTTGGCGATTTTGACAATGAGAATATTAGGGATGTTGAAACTTTTGATCTGACACCTAAGAGCTTGAACATAGCTCTTGGCTGACTGCCAAATTCTTGTCATTATGGGATTTAAGAAAATGAACAAAAATTGGGACTTTGGAGGGCTTCAATATGACTTGTGGCTTGTATAACGTGGCTCGTAAGGTTCTCTGTGGCTAAACATCTTCTACAGAAATGAATATGGAGTTCCGGTTACATACAAATTAGGTACAGGGGTATAAAAATACGAGGGTACATATGGGAACTACCCGAAAATCAGGGGAGGGGTTAAAAGAAGATAGCGGTCTGGACTTTGATGATCACGTCTCACCTTTTTTTTTTCTTTCGCATAGACATTCTAAAATCCGATAACTAACCCAAATACATACATCCTAACTCGATGACGAATATTCAACCTTCTTTTCGTCCCTGTTTTTTTTTTTTTATCCAGGAGTTACCCCCAAATTTTAAAAGCATGGCCTAGTCCTCCTCCAGGTTTATCTTGGAACACGGAAAGCTGGAGTGCCGTCCCTGATCAGCTCTTCGATGCCAAGATTGTTTGACTGTTTACACCCACAGCGTTGCATTGTAGCAGCACCGATACTACCCTAAATACAGCGCGGCTCAAAATAAGCATTTCAAGTTGTTACAGCATCGTCTCATACCCTTGTCTATCAATGGCCTCCGCGCGTCTCGCCCAGTTCTTATTATCTTTAGCTAGAGTTTAGCTTCTTAGTATCCGCCTAACAACCTTCTTTTCTAAAGATCTTGACAGAATCTTGACAGAATGTAGATCTATACCCCAGCGGGGCAGCCAGTGTTCCTGTCATCTGGGACTGCGAGGGTCTATTGTTTGTTTCTTCGATACATAATTACAGTCCGTGTTCTGGGCCATGTCGAGGCGCAGTCTCTCACCCTAAACGTCCCTGAGAGTCATTACCCGATCAAGTACTGCTGACGGGAAATGGGCTATCCGTACGTCTCAAGTGTTGAAGATCAGTATTGGAAAAGTTGGAAAAGTGAAATCGAAGGCGCTTGTCTTCCGTAGACATCTTAACTTCGTCCTAGCGTAATCATACAAAAGGGCGTCTAGCTCACGTCCTGTTTTGTGTTTCTGTCTTCTTTCCTCATCCTCTGCGAGTTATAATTCACTCTAGTTGATCAAAGTTTCGTTTCGCTTTAGCAGCATATTCACACAAGCTCGTCGCCGGCCGACCTATACCATTCCTTCAATCTTCTGAAAAAATACTTCAAAACCAGTCAACATGAAGGTCTCAGTTATTATCTTCGGTCTTTTCACCACCGTCGCCATGGCGGAGCTCAGTAAGCTGACAGGAATCAATGTAGTGGATAACGTGTATATGCTAACCACCATTACAGCCAAAGTTCCCCGGTCGCAAAAGGCTGTCGTTGCACGACAGGCTGGTGAAAAAGTCCAGACCGCAGCCATGGTCGACGCTAACGGAAACGTTGTCGCTTTCAACGCTGCCGGCGTCACCAAGGACGCTGCCGCCGCATAAACACGATTTAAATACGGCGCAAGTAGCATGGGTGAAGAACATCGAGTCATTATATGTTCGACGTGTATATTCGGAATCCATGTCAGCAGTTCAAGAAACACACAACTTAATGAAACATGGTTATCGGCGTCAAGGAAATAGCAACCACACCGAGGAGGCACGTGAATGAATAATGGAATTAGAATGGGGAGAGGGCTCGATATCACGAGCCGAGCTTGAACTTATACCTAGAGTATTTGTGAATATCTTGTTAATATTTATCACCCAAACCTGGAACTGTCCCATATTTTGCGCAGTGCTGAATTAGCTCTAAGTACCCGCAACGTGTTGTGTGCTAGAATCTTTCGTAACCACGAATGTAATATCTTATACTGTCTTCAACAAGATAGCCTTTTAATGGGATATCTGTGGTAGTAGGAATAATTTGAGTCTGTCAAATCGGCAAAAGACTGCCTATTCGGAACTTTGGATGACCTTTATAGACTACCTAGGGTATATCCTGGGTGTTCTAGGGTATCGAACTTGACAACGAAGAGTGGCTAACACGTTGGTGCCGCTAAACCGTGTAATGCTTTTCTTCTCGCTTTAATGACCTGATTTCTTAATCAGGTGATTCTAAGTATGGAGATGCTATTCAGTTCTTCATTACATATAAATTATGATCACACTTTACAAGTTCTAAATTCGGCTCATTCCAAAAGGTCTTTATTACCAACTCGGAGTCATTCCGAAGAGGCACAGCCCCAGGTGCGGGCCGCGCGATGGAATCCTCAACATAACATATTGATGTTTGTTATAACCGTGCTACGTCCAAGTTTAGCAACACTCCATGAGGCTAGAGCCTTTATTGGCTCATGAAGATGTTCCCTACCTTAGAAGAACTGGGGTAAATAATAGTGTACCGACAATTTTCGAACAGGGGAAGCATTTACATCATTAGAGAATTCCCGGACAAATGAATATCTACATCCTGCCAGTCCCGGGAATTTATGTTTTGATCGCCAATTCAAAACCCGTGCCGCCCGCTATGCGAGCTTCGCGAACCTGGGGTTAGCTTCCAAATACCGAGGAAAGAATCCGCGGGTTTTCATCGCGTAGGGCGAGTACCTAAAGGATTTCATGCGTTGTTGCACAAAGCTAATCCCTATAAAGAACATCTGTGCCGTTATGTTGCTCAAACTGCAAGTAGGGCCAGGTTTCCAAGTCCAATTCGTCGGTTCCGTTGAACAGTTCATCGAGTCTCCATTCCTCATTATAGAAATGAGCATGATTGGGTCCTTGATCCGGACACCTAAATGCAGCTTAGCGACTTGACAAGGGTCTTCCAGCTCAAACTCAGCCGCAACGCATCACCAAGCCCTACCATGGCCCATCTCAGGTTAGCAAGAGCCCACGATGTGGATTTGGTGGATGCTAGTCGTTAGACAAATCAGGTAGTGACCCAATCACTGTTGCTTGTTACCGAAGCCGGTGTTGGCATCAACACAAGGCGTTCTTCTCCGGTTTTGTATCGGCAATAATACAAGCTTTTGTCTTGTCAACGGACGCTTCCTCTAATCATCTCTGTATGTAATTGTATGCCTTGTCCAAGACAGAACCACTCTAGCTGAAGATAGAATCTGGTTGGTGTAATTTCCACCAATACTGCCTACTGGAGCCTCCAATAAGAACCTTGCTTTGGATAGGACTTGCGGGATGGGGATTGCTGAGGCTATGCTTGTAGCCTATGTTTGCTTTCCCACCCAGTTTTTTCTATGAAGGGCTTTATATAGAACCTGTTCCTCCCACGCGGGTTTGTCTCGTAAGGCTGCATTAGATTCCGTTTTATATTACGTACCAGTCGCTCTGCGATACCGATCACCGTAACCTCGTCATTATTTAGTACTTCAGATGATGGAGTCCTAAGAAGTGTTATATAAGAAAGCATCAGTCAAGAGCTCAAGAAAAGCCAAATACACATTTCTACCGCGTTGAAGTGAGATTGATAGACCGCTATTCCGGAATATCCAAGGGAGGCAATCGACGTGTTCGAAATTGAAGATGGGTTACACACATCGAGATAATGCGCAGTTTAGTCGAGCAAAGTGGAGGAAAAGGATCCTCCTACCGTGCTGGGCGATCCAGATCTTAATTTTGCTAGGCATGATGGGTCTATTCTCCTATCGACTTTCTAGGACGTCCAAAACGTGGCGAGATCAGCAAGCTCAAGGCGAGGATCCTACAGTGGAGTTTGTGTAAGTGCTGAAAAATATTTACCTCTAGTTATTAGCTTTGGATATAGGTGTCGATGAATTACAAGAGGCGGGTTAGCTAACCTAAACTATTGCAGATGGGAAACGGTCAACGTTTCATTTTCGTTCATTTCCCTCGTTATAGTATTTGTTTCGATAGCGAGATTTATCGCAGAGGTGTTGACACCGCTGCCGTTGCTGTTTGGAAACATCATAAACTTAGCCCTTACATCTGCTGTTTTAGCACTTGATATTGTGGTTTATGTTAGGTACGCCGACAGGCGATACTCATTAATTGGATTGGTCATGGACTGCATCCTCATGTAAGCCATACCCCGTGTTGTAAACATCTCAAGAGGGTGGGATATAATTGCTGACGGGATTCCCTTCAGGTTCTTCACGATTATCCCTACGTTCTACTCGGTCACCATCTATCGTCGGCTATTGAATTATGATGATTACCATATTCCCGGCAATATCAAGCCGTATGGGTATGCTAGTGCCGAGGAGCCTGAAGAAACAGCATATCGATCGTCGTGGCTTGAACCTCCCGTGCCGTACGATCCAACAAATCCTTCCGTAACGGTAACTCGGCCACGATCGGTATCCGCCGCCAGTCGCCGTATCTCTTTGGCACTTAGTAGCCATCCTCCTTCACCACAACCGACTCCGCCTGTGGTAGAGCCGATGATGGAGCGACGTGCGAGCTACGATCATAAGCGTGATACTAAATTCGACGAATATGTACGACACCGGTCAGGCTCGTATACTAAAGCTGATGTAGAGCGGGCACTGGGGGTCGAGTTCGGCTGGGAGGACACTCGTGATCAGCGCGACAGTGTGATCAGCGCAGGGGCAGTATCTGTATTGCAGTCGAGACCTAGGGGGGATTCGCTATCAATAAGACAGTCGAGCATGCAGGCGAGCCTTAGTAGAAATGGCAGCAGTAGCACTGCTACCACTACGACCACTACTACAACTACTTCCACAGCATCATTGGATGCGCAAAGCGCAATGGCGAGGGCGCATAGTCTAAATAGCGTACCAGAAGCTCATGAGGAGGAGGTAGATGTCGGAATAGGAGGAAATAAGACCGGAGAGAGTCGAGAGGCTTTACTAAATGGTGATAGGATATCACGATCCAGCTCGGGGGCCAGCAGGCGCAGTGTAGGGAGAATTGAGAAGGTTGAAGGACTAGAAGTAGTAGAACTTGAAAGTGGAAAGCGGATGAGGCAGATATGAATGATACCCAAAGAAGTGAAATGAATGAACGAGAATTGATATAAGAATGTTCCGACGCCTATGACACGATTTATTATGCGATATAGGTGATTTTACTACCTCATTATATACATAACCTAGTTGTTTCTTTCCCTCAGTCCTTTATGTATTTGTAGGTAAGTACCTCCTAAGTAATAGGTATCTTCTACAATAAACACTTTTACATTAGGTATTTCTTCTACACACTTATACACGAACAAAACCATTGACAATTACCAAGCATCCGCTTTGAATTCTAGACTTAGGCTCTTAATCAAACAGCAATTATTCAACTTCGCCCTCTATAGTACCATATTCTCATCATGCTTTACAAGATATTCCTCTGCAATGGATTGTCTTGTCGCCAGTTTGCCCTTTTCGCTTGCAATTCCTGCCACTTAGTACACTACTGTTCGGTAGAATGCCAAAACCAAGACGTTAGACACCAGAATTTCTGCAAATCTCCATACAGCGACCTGAACTGGCGTCCCAGATGGTATCTAGAAAATAGACTACCCACATTCTTCCACCAAAGTCCTCCGCACTTAAATTCGGCTCGAAGACAACCTTAGGGAGGGTCTATCGCACTCGATATACTCCAGCTTAAATCTAACGAGGGTCCAGACTTCCAGGAAGACTTGGATTTACTATTCATTGGCACGTACTACCACCTACCGGTCAAATAGCAGAGCATTATTAACATCTATCATATAGGTTGTGGGGACCTCAGAAACGTTATGATGACTGTAAATGGCATCCCAGAGCATTATCCCGAGAAAGTCAGAATCGTAATCAGTAACAAAGATTTCAATGTCGTCGCCCGCGCCTATATAATTCTCACTTATCTTCTTTGTCACGACGATATAGACCTGGCGACGGAGAACGTCATACATTTATGGTACTCTGCCTTCATACCAACGTCGTTAGAAGAATGGATTCGCGGCCCGCTACATGAGTATATTCTCGACGAGATCCCCAAATTTCAAGATAAGTATAGACTCAAGCCAGATAGTATAGAGAGGCTCTTCTCGGATGAAATAAGTGACACGTGTTCAACAAGGATGACTAGAGAATTAGCAGGAATTTCTGGTTCTATCAGCCTCAAATTGGCTTATACAGACTGGCCTTATCTAGCAAGGTACCTAGAAAGGGAATTATTGCGGGGAGAGGCCATATCTGCTCGCAACGCTGTAGTCGCCTGTGAAAGCAGGCTAGATAACAGAGAACGTTATTTGTTTAGACAGCCGCCTGCCGAGCGTCCTTGTCATGTCAGGTTCAAGGAGGAAGGAGTCTTCCTACCCATGGGTTGGCGTTTGGATGAATGCGTGAAACCTAACGTGTGAGTCTTCAACGTTATTACTTTTCTTATGCCTCTCATATGCCAACTAATCCCTCCGAAAACTCGGTTTCAGCACCCTTTTCGACTTCTCTAGCGGTACAGGTACATGGCTCCTTGACGACATAAAAGGACCAGAGCGTAGGTGGTCTCGATCCGAGTTCAAGAAGACTATTCATGGCATTCCAAAAAATGATATATACGGCAAGCTTTTCTATTACTTGCAAACCATTATTACTAATTTTCACCACCGAATGCGCACTCTCGATATCGAATTCAGCATAGAGCACAACTGCCTCAACAGTTTGAATAAGTACACATTCGACCGCATCTTGGTACGTACGGGTTTCTCCCAAGGGTCACATTGAATCAGAAGGCGAATGTGGGTTAAACATACTGACAAACTAAAATATGAAGCTTCCCGAAGAAGAAACGCATTCATATATCGTACCCTCAGGTCTCAAGAGGTGGCCCGGCGATTTTCTCAAGCCTTATAATCCCAAGTCAACCATCATAACGCCTTGCAGGTTATATCCACGCCCGGGTAGAAAAATGAATACCAACGATAATAGATATGAGCTCGCGGATATATTACCTAGATATTTCGATCATCCTAAATGGCTTCCCCGCGATTTCCCTATTATTAAAACGTTGGAGCCCATAAAGCTTCAGGTCCTCGAATTGGCCGTTCCTTTCGAGCATCTTGAAGGCATGTTCAGAAGGTAATTCTCACACATCGGTACCCACGTTCATATTATATTATGAATAAATTATAACTCATGCTTTAGGGACATATGCGAGAATCACTTCCGGGGGACCTGGGAGGAAAGTGACGTTTTCAAAAAGGCTGAAAATACTATCGTTAAGGCGTGGCCTTACTTTCCGGGGGTAGAATCCACCTTGCAGGTAGGATCCATGACCGAACTGGCTCGAGACCTAGTATGCGAGGATAGATATCCTGCGGTGTTGTATATCGAGTGGGACCTATGAATTAGCAATCGGAGATATTGGGACCGGTTGTGATGACTCCCGGTACGTAAAGCAATGGCAAGCAGAGCAAAGAGACTGATGCATTGCTGGGAAACTTGTAACCATTAAAGAGCACTCGGTTAGTGTATCTTTTTAGAGGGCGGGTATAAATTTATAAGAGCCTCTTTCTCTTTCATGTTAGTTAAGCTATTCGTAAGATCTTGCTGGTACCTTCTAAGCTTTGCCACAATGTACAAAACTGGACTGATCATGTCGCCGCGCAGACACCATCGGAAATACTGTTATTTCTGGGTAACTCTCTTCTATTACCCAGAGACCCAGTCGATTTCTATGCGCTTATTAGAGAGTTTAATTAATCGTTGTTATTTGTCAGCTTTCCTCGCAGTCTCTACCTCCGTAATTTCATTCTCATCAGGGCACCCACGTAGCTAATCTAATAATAGAATTGTGGAGAGAGGTCGACATAGGTAGTTACACGATGATGAAATCTGGGGTAAAGCTATTGGCTTAGTACCTAAGTTTCTTCGCGGTCTGTTTTGATGACATTGGATCGGCATTTTGAAATAAGTGGTCTTTGAGTAGGGTATTTAGTATGTAGAATTGTGTTTATATGCTAGCATCGCGTCCATTTCGTTGCTAAGATACCTGGTAGGTATGCATACCATGTTCGCGTTTGCAGGTAACCCCTTTCACCTGCTGGTTCTTTGTATTTAAATTTATTATGGAATCCTGGACTTCAGTCCCCCGGACCCGAGACCACGGTAGCTTGCGTTTGTATGCATAAATTTAACGTAGCGTGAAGTTTTGATTGGCTAGGAACGCGAATGTCAAGCCGATTGGGGAAGTGGGGTGCCTCATATTTAGCTGTGATTGGTTTAACCATTCTAGTGTAGTGTCGGTTACCAGTAGCGAAGTGAGGAGGAATAAAACCTTGTACTTCGTATGTCCTGATCACAGCATGCTCGTGCATTGGAATGCAATCCGGAAGCCAACAATTCTCACGTAACTCTGGAGGTTTCTGGGTGCCCTAAAGTAGGATATTGAAAAAATCTCCATCTGTACCTAGGTAGTCTGCATCTATGCATTGACGCCACTGATATAGCTGACCTGAGCACGCATGTCGGTGGGCTTATGCTGTAAGCTAACTTAAGCCCATCAATTAGCTAAGGCCATGGAAACCACCGACCAGAGAGAGATTTCTACTTTAAACTGCGGATGGAGGTTGTTACTGTGATCAGTACATTATGAAAATCCCTACCTAAGAGGTACGTATCAACTTCAAAACAGTAATAACCCTTTCGTTAGTGTATTTGCATACTACCACCACCATGTAAACGAGATAGGGAGGAGCACTTAACATACGTTAGCTCAGGGGCTTATTACCTAAGTAGTTATCGTACTTTAGCAGCATGATTACATCTAGAGAAGGCCTCGTATCTACTTAAGTACCTTAATTACGAAGTCATTGATTACAGAGAGAAAACGTTGGTGTTGCATTAGTAACAGTGAAAAAGCTATTCGACTACCATTCTATGCTAGGTCCTGACTATGATTCGAAACCTATTGCCTTTCCTCGTGCAATTATGTACATAGTGCAAACCTATGCATCTTGGCTGAGGTTGTGGGTAGAAATGGTGCTCTGACTTCAATTATTAAAGAGGAAATCCGTCGTATCAAAATACAATAGAAGCAACGCGAGCAATCATAATCCATATGATCATATGTGCGATGTGTAGTGAAACATGAAAGAGGACGCATTTTAGGCCTTGAGAGTTATCATTCGGCATTGGCGAATAATTTCTCCTAAAAGGCGTACCACAATGTTGTCCCCCCAAAAAAGGAAGAACCGCAATGTCTCTCATCCCAATTTGTGAAAGGACTTGATGAGAGTTGAAAACCAAGACCGATACCATGATTGAGGCACATTATGGCGGAGGAATGAACACCTGGCAGAACCAAGTATGGATCGTATTAGCGCCCGAGTACGCTTATACATACCACATAGTTGAGTTCATAAAGGCAATCCGATCTATCTTCCATCTGGTGTTCGCCATCGTTAGTAGGCGGGGTGGCCTTATCTTGACCCGTTCTTCGGCCTCCTCGTAGATTTCCCCGTCGCTCTTCGCGTATGGGAAGCCCGACTTGCCGTATGCCATGATCATCTTATCCGAGTTGATATCCTCATGCGAACGCGCACGGTTTGATGCAAGATGCGCGTAGTACACCGCCGGATGTAGTGATACTGGTGTAGTCGAGCGGCAGAACTGGTAGCATTGCTGGTAAATCATTTTCATGAGCTCATTGGGTTTGACATTAGCCTCATCAAGAATGACCTGGTAATGAACCGGACGAGCAGTGCCTTGGATCGCTACATGCGAACAAAGATAGAAGTCAAAGTGCTGCGGGTGTGTTACGTCTCGTTCCACCAATGTGCCAGGTAACGGGTTGCCGTTGCGATCACCGGATGCCTTGTCGTGTGGTGTAGGGAAAAACCGGACATGATGACGTTTCGTCGCAATGATGACGGTGAATTTAGGGGTTCCGTAGCCTAGTTTCTGGAATACTAGGCGTATGTTATGTACCTCTTTGTTGAGGATATCATGGAACTGGCCCTCCGAGACGCCATCTCGGAGATAGTAAATGTGCTGTGGATGGGTACCATTTATATGGACCCAGTGCTTCGCAAGCTTCAAAAGCATCTCTTCTATTATGTCTGGTTGAATAGTCTCAACTCGCCAGCCGTTCGTTTGGCAAGCTGCGGCAAAGCGGGTGGCGTGCTTATCCATGGACATAGTCAAAGCAGCCATGGATGGCTGGCTGCTGCCCGGCGCAGCGTGGGACACATCAACACCGATCATCATGGTGGGTCGAGACCAGAATGGTGGCTGGTTGGGCTTGGTCACATTCGGGATTTTGCATGTGACACCTCCGAGTTTGCTGTTCACCTTCATGGCAACATTACTTAGGTACTGTGCCTGGGCTCTCCTCGCGTGGCTTGCTTGGACACACTGCGAGACTAGATTGTATCGACAATCCATACTCTTCTTAACACGCTCGTAGACAAGCTGGTTCTTAGTTGGTAAGACGAAGAATATCATTTGAGGATCAATGCCAGGATTGGCACTCTGGGTCAAGTTGTATGCCTGCTCAACAATCTTGGAATAGTTTCCATCCCCAAATCCGATAGTGAGACAAACCGCGGGTTTCATGATTATGCCTCCATGGCCTCGGTATACTGAGGAAAACTCTCTGCCGAAGATTTCCAACTCCCCTTTAGTCATAGTGTCTTCTCCACAGCATACAACGCTCCAGGAGTGTAGGTGTACGCGGTTTGCCTCCAAGAATTTCTTGCCACGAAGATCCCACCGGCCACTTACACCTGGGTTGATCTTCTGGTTGGCAAAGGCAACCTCGGGATTTGTTAGGAGTCGCGCATCCGTAACAACCATAGAAGAACTTATTTGGATTCCAAAGGCCCTCAAATAGGGGTCTTCGGACCACTTTAGGTGAGTAATCCCTTCGATGATATCGGCTCGGCGCTTTGGTGGTCTGGTGGCGGCTGCCTTAATCATGTCCGTAGTCTAAGAAATTCGTTAGTTCCCGAACAATTGATATTGTGGTAAGAGCTTTGGGGCCCAGTAACAAACCTGTTCGGCGTTTAGCTTAAACGTATACCTCTGGTCTTTAATGCTATTGCATAGCTCCAGCGGGAAGAGACTTCCGTCCGTGGCCTCAATGAGAGGAAGCTTGGACCATCGTAGGCGGATACCCCAACGATCCTGGTAGTGATCGAAGACAGACACTGTCTGCTTTGTTCCGTTCTCTAGGGTCTTTTCAAAGGTCATTGTGCGCGCATTCGCACCATCGGTACCGAATTTCTCATTGAATGTGAGCCTCTTGATGGTGTAGACCTTAGGCCTACCAAGTTTTCCTCGATGGTTCACGTGGAACTTCAGTTTGGCTAATCGTCGAAGGAAGGAAAAGGCTTCGGAGGGGACAATCTTGGTTCCTCCATTTTTCTTGTCAACTTCCTCTTTAGGCTTCAAGTTGTATGCCATCTTGTGTTCGTCCCCTATAATAGGTAGGTTAATATAGTGTTGTATATTTGACCAGATGAAAACTTACATGTGGACCATTCCGGCTTATTCCCATTCAACAGATTTAGGGCTAGTTGATCAATACTGTGAACGGGCCAGAATGCAGTCTGGCATCGGTCAACATTGATCGCAAGGCCTGTTCCCTTTCTGTTGATAGACTAAATCGCATTTCTGTCAGTGGATATAAGACGAAATTGTTAAAGGAGCGGTCCTTACCTCGCTAAGGCGAGGTGCGCAATAGATGCCTTGGTTTACTACCAATTGACCTGAAAGACCTCCGACGGGGAACATAGGATCATAGAAGTTACGTTTGATGGTAACCCACTGCTCCGAGGGGAACTGGCGTAGACAGTGATCAAAGAAATCTACCAATGCATTAGCTTAAATCATAAAAGAAATGTTGCGTAGAGAGTGCTTACTCATGCATTCTAAGACGTGTGTGTCCCAGGAGATTTTGCCTTGGAGATAGGCTTTAAGGTACGACAGGCGGATGGTTGTTGTCTGTCGAATCGTGAGGCTGTAAACACTTGTCTTGCCGACCTGTTTGGCGATGTCCTCATGCTCGGCCTTTTCCTTCAGAGAGTCAAGATCAACCATGAAGCGAGCTTCATTACGGTCAATCTTCTCTGAAGACCTAGTATAGGTAAGCTAAGATCATTTGATATCTAATATCCAAACTAGGTACTTACCAGGCCAGCTTGCTGCCATCATAAAGCCACATGCCACCCTTCTTTGCTAGTTCCTCTGTGACGGTCTTTGTGTTCCAGACCTTCTTGATCAGAGCGTTGGATTCTTTAGGGTTGGGAGACACGATGATCTATTACGCAGTTAGAGAGACCGTCTGAGTGGGAAAGAACAATATACTTACATCGTACTGATAGACCTCTTTGTCTGCCCAGCTCGTGACAGCGAACAAGTTCAACTGAATCTTGATACCTTTACCATCGGTGTTGAAACCGGGGCGGGCTGCAAAGCGTGTTTCCTTTGCACCATCCTAGGTAGTGTCAGCTTAAAAAAAAAAAACCTCTCTGTATGGAACACATGGCCCCGAAGCTCATTAAAGAAACGTACAGTCTTGTATGCATCAGCTGGCAAGTCAAAACGCTTGCCAAGCCGTTGGGCTGGTGTAAGTTCGGGTCGATCGCGAGCGGGATCGTATCCGGGGCCCTGAGGGAATCCGGATTGCTTGCTAGAACCTCGAATGGGAGATCCAGCCTGGGATCCGGCACGTGATCCAGGCCGAGAACCAGCCGGGGTGGCCGAGCTTCGACCGGATCCTGAGGGTCGGCCAGACATATCGGCTGTTTGAGTGTCTATGAATGTAGTTAGTATTTTATTAAATATAACACCGTGACAGAGGGAAGAAAATTTGGGGTTTAATGAAAAATAAATGACAGCAGGGTGAAGCGATTTAAGAGCTTAAAGGACTTGGTATGAGGGAAGCAGTTATCGTATCCTAAGCTTAGGATATGAGAGTGAAGGGAAACTGTTGTAGGGTATTGTGCTGGCCATGAAGAGTTATAAAAGTTAGAAGGAGAATACATACTGAAATAGACTTGCTTAAGCAGTCTGAGGCTCAAGTGAGTACGGTAGGGCTGTAGGCTATTAGTTAGTGTTAATAGATTAGAAGTCAAATTATCAACTCTGAATAGGTTGATCTCATAAGTAGTGGTATTGAGGGTGGACTTCGGGAAGGAAGCACAGTGTAAAAGGGGAGCGGGCAATGTATATTGCTAGGACGCGACGTGGATGGGGTAATGAATGTCCAATGACGCGAAAAGAAATTCAAGTTGATGACAATCAAAAGGCGTGCTTCTGTGCTTAGATGAACGAAATGCTTTGAGGGCTTTGAGAAAGATGTCCGGTTGTATCAAAAAGTCTTTGGATTGGTGAAGTGTGAGGAGGGTTGCAAGTGAATAAGTGGAGGGATTGATGATGGAGTGTACTTACCTATTGCGGTTTCTTATTTTAGTGAACTGTTTGATATTAGTGATTGCTTCAACAAATTTGTAGGCAGAGGAAGGTGTGTTGGCTAATGAGGAAAGATAAAGGCAAGATATACCTGCAACTTGAAAGTTTGTTAGTTCAATTCCTTGAAGAGGAGTATTGGGAATATGTAGTTGGATAAGGACCAAATAGTTCAGAGGCTGAAGGTATTTCAGGGTTGGAAAGGTGGTGAGGGAATAATAAGAATGGATGTTTATGTAGGAAAGAGGATGACTAGGACTGTGGGGATAGTGTGCTTATGATGAGGGTAGTTGCTTGCCTTAAATGACAATCAGCTACTGCCGAAATACCACCTGTAGAGTAATGTGACTGACTCACCTACAGTGTATCATATGAGGAGGTATTTGTTGGGTGTTGTTTGGGGTTGAGTAAGTAGAAATGGGGAAAAGATATTGATTTGGGGTACTGAAGTAGAGGAAGAGAATGATCTTGTGCAAGAAGAGGCAGTTGAAAAATAAAAAGAGAGTCTTACCTATTGCACCTGCAAGTTCGTATACCAGATTGGTTGTAGATGGATCCGTTAACTTGAAGGAGTTGTGTAAACAAACCTGTCTGCAATTAGTGAACAAGATGCGACGCGACGCGACCGAAGAGTAAAACAGGTTGAAGTTGAGAGACGTTGAGTTTGGAAGATAACCTAAGAACTGATCACACATAGGTAGGTACCTACCTAATAAATTGATAACTAGAGGTTATTACATGAAGGTTGAAGGTAGGGAAAGAAAGGAAGATGATGAAAGAATTGGGGTTTAGGGTTTGAGGATATCATAAGAGGAAATATTAACATACCTTGGGTTTGACCTGTCAACGAAGGGTAAAAGTAGTATGGAGGATGGATGGTTGAGAAAGATTTGATGTGAATGCGAAAGTTTGAGTTGGAAGAAATTAAAGTCTTGAAAACCCGAGGAAGATAGATTGACAGCTAAGGTAGGTAACGTAAAGTTTGTTTGAAGAACGGGAAGGCGGTATACAAGTCAACATCCGTGAGGTTGCCTTAGATACCTTAGGAAGGGACGTGCATACGGCAATTATAAGGAAAGAGCGATTAGTACCTACCTATCTACATCCTACATATACCTACATACATGTTACGTACACAAGGCAGTTACTTCGCTCAGGCATATGACGGGTATGAGTCGGCTTGAACAATTAGGTCATGTCTACATGTATGTAGGTACCTAACGTGGTACCTTACAAACGTACACCTTCATCCTTGGTCGAAACCGACTTACACAGGAAAGCACTGAGGTGAAGTAAATTTTGTATAACTGCCTTAGATAAATCAAAGCAGGTACCTAAGCTGCCTTTAAGGGAAACAGGCACATGGAGGAGATGTATACCCCGACCTATGGAAGGTACGGCTAAAATTAATAATTTAAATGATTTAATACGTACCTACGTATTAGTGGAAAATAAAAATTAGAACAACATTTTAAGTACATGTAAATATACACGAATATATCTCTTCGCAAGTTTCACAGGATGCAACAACTATGGCACAAATACATCTACTAATATTATTTGTTAATACATCCATATTGCTAAGCTAGTCGAGCTACATGAATACTCATTGTGTACTTAACAAGTACGTCGTTGTAGCAAGACCACAATTTGAACAAGGTAGCTAGATAATAAAAATAACATTCTTGGACATAGTTATGTACATAGCGGTATTCTTTTAGATCCTCTATATGATATCTGCTATTTCATAGAAAGGAATCTCAGATAGTATCAACCTGGGCAGTACATAAAATGAAACAACAAAGTTGGACAACTCTTAGTAAATCAAACAGGTGTGCTCCATAAGCCTACCTGGGCACAGCTATATTTAAATTCCAAGTAGTCGTAATAATAGATGGATACCACCTAGTAAATAAACTGCTCTTTTAAATGTACTGGAATCTACTACTTTCAATACCATATGTCCACCTGGGCCCGTATAATATTAGACCCCTTTAATTCCACATGGGTAGATATAGGCCAATGGGGATGAAAAGGGTCTCATTGCAGTCCCTAATAGCTATGGATCAATAGTTGAAGGAATCGAGGATCTAAAATAAGTGTAATAGAATAAAATATTTATATATGTACATATTTAGGAGAAGTATGTAAGGAAATATAGTCCTGATCTAATATTACTAGAAACTAAGAGGTTCCGTATATCAACATGAATGTTGGTTAGTAAGTCTGTCTTAGAAAAGAGGGTAGACAATGAGAGGATAGATATAAGATGTAGTATTGTTGTACATGCCTCTAGATTAACTATATCATAAAGCTATATATTTGTATTATAGAAGATTATCAAGCTGTTTCACCGAAGAACGTAATATTCTCGAAGAGTTTCTACAAGTAGAGCAACAGCTCTGATCTATAATAGACATGCTGAACCACGCAAAGCATAATACCACAGCTAGAATTTATTGGTTTATTGTTGGGTCATAGATCCCATCTTATTAGGTAGGGTTAGCCTTAGGAACTAAGTCTCAAAACGCAACGAATAGTTGAACTCTTGGCACGAATCTATCTAACGGCCCGACCTTCAGGAGTCCTAACCTAGCCCGAACAAGAGAAACACCAGAAAATGCAGTTGGTCACAAGACATTGTGTGTAGATTCCCTTCCGTAAAACGCCGTGAATAGCACCCCTCGTTTACGTCGATGAACTAATCCATTCGGGTCGCCGTCATATGGATTAAGAATTAATAATACCCACCATATTGCTGGGGGTGCTGTTGAGATGGGCCAGCATTATATTGCCCAGGCGGTGCATAGTTTCCTTGCCAAGCAGCAAACGCAACATTTCCAGGGCCAATGTTCTGTGCTAAGGGGTTGAACTGGCTTACGCCTGCTTGATAGACGGGCTGGGGGGGTTCGTATGACCCGCTCGAATCAGGTCGTAGGGGGGAATTACGATAAGGTGCTGATGCTTGGGCTATCCCACGGCTTATTCCGCTATATGGGCTAGCTGGACGAACAGACGGTCCAGGTGAATCTCGCGTAGAATATGGGTAGTTCTGGTATTCTGAAGAGGCTTGCCGAGTGTGTGCATGCGATGAAGCCAAGATATTACGCGAGGCGCCTTCTCCCCGAGCTTTCCATTCAACATAGCTTGGTACTGCAGTATTCTGAATCAAGCGCACTAATCCTTCTGTGCTAAAATGGTGACTGCGAAACGCTTCAGCGGGAGGAATTACCGTGAGAAGGAAAGCGATATCACGAGGAATAGGAGTAGGTCCGCTGGTATGCGAGGAGACTCCCTGGCCCTGCTGAGCCCGTCGTTGCTGATCAAGCCGCCGACCAGCTGCGCCTTTGAGAGGGGAGACCCCACGGGCTAACTTCCGGGGAGGGTATTCATCCTGGTCATCGGCTTGGAATGGGCGTTTGGGTGAATTAACAGCGGGAAAGAACTGTGGCTGTGGGCTACGCTCCGTCTGGAGTGCAGGGCGGGGGGTACTTCTGTCAGAGACCGGCGGGCCTTCTACAGACTGCATAATTGTTTTGAGACGCATCTGTCTAGCGGATGAGATAATGACTCGAGCGGTGATGGGGTTAAATTTGCCCAGGTCGAATCTCGCCGCAAAATACGTAAGTTTAGGATCCTCCGGGAAGAGCTCTGCCATCTGCTTCTCAAGCTCTTTGACCTGTGCCAGCTCGCCGAATCGAGATGTGTAGTGGTGGAAATAGGCAAAGATCGGCCTCAGCTTGGGGATTAGTTCAGGCTTGGCCTTGAACCGTTTAACAGTCTGGGAGAAGACGACTCGCGCATCTGTATCGAGTTAGTTAAACTTGCATATATAATGATTGGGCTGGACCTACTAGTGAAATCACGCTTCTTGTGAAGATGCTTTAGGTATTCAACCAAGTAATCCTCTTGTTCTGGAAAGAGCCTTGCACCACGCTCATAGATTTTTGTAGCCACATCTTCTTGGTAAACATCCCACTCCAAATTTGACATTTCCACGTAGACATCGCTTGTTAGGCGGCCCCTCTGCCGGGCTTGAATGAACAAACCACGCATCCCTACGGCAGGGTCACTCTTGATGTATCCTTGCCCCTGTATCCTCCTGTGAATGCGTGCAAGGGCGATCCAAAGGTAAGATATATGTTGTGACAATATTTGGATCTGGGCGGCAAATCCGTCCTGTACTACCTTGATTTTGGATTTTTTTGTCGCTTCCAAAGGTAGCTTTTCCGTAATCTCTCCTTCATCTTCATCATCGTCATCTGCAGGTCCGGAGGTAGCAGCATTAATAGAAGCCTCTTCCTCAATTTTTGCCAGAGCTGCCGCTTCTTGATCCTTCAGATTCTTAATCATGCCGTAAAGGGTATCGAGAACTCGATCGCAGGGTTGCCTAACAGCTAACACAAGAGCCGCTTTGCCTACGTCGTCCTCGGGCGTGGCTTGAGTAGATTCGATACGGTCGGCATGCTTAAGGGCTATTAAAGAACTTTCGGGATTTGCTTCGAGGCCGTCGATGAGGAATTGTAGCCCCGTATCTTGTTCACCTTTGCCAACAATGCCATTGTCGAAACACCAGTCAGCTGCGTCAACCCACAATTCCGGCCAGAAGCGCAAAGCCATTAATGCTTGCTTATAGACACTGAGAACCCGTTGCCGATAGATATCCGGTTCATCAGAACCTAGGGAAAGCGGGTCGTCTTTCTCCCAGGCGATCCACGTTTTCCAGAGTCGAACCTGCTCAAGATATTCCTGGTCTCCTTCAAAACCGGGTGCAGGGGGGAGTCGGGGGAGAGTTGTCCTTTGAAGCCCGCGGGTAATGTTTTCTAAATGAGTGTTAGCGCTTCTCGCGCTCATATACGAAGGCGATCGTTCCTGGATGAACTTTCGTCCCTAAATGTTATTAGCAACATCTCTAACTTAAATCGAGTCGTAACTTACCGTCATCTTATTCAATCCCATTTCGAAATGGTCGTACTCTTTCCAGAGTGAGTTCACATTTGCCATAGGAATGGAGACGGCGCGCTGGTAAGCTTTACGGAGAACATCCATCTTCTGCTGGTCTTGCCAACCAGCACCGCCGACCTGACCAGGCCCGCTCTTGATAAATTGTATGTAGTCTTGCCATATACTACCTGCATCTCGGTCCTGTCCAATAGCACCTAGAACAAACTCGTAAGATTGGCTTATGGTCTGACGGGCACGACCCGTGGGGTCATTTAAGTCATTTCTACGACGTATATAGTTGAGATAGGTTGTCCACAATTGGACATTGGGTATTCCCTCAAGTGTGCGCAAGAATATCTGCTCAGCTGCCGTGGAGTTATCGAGGCTTAGCTCCATATCAATGTATTGAACCCAAATCTCTGCCTATATTGTATATTAGCACTGTAAGCAACAGCATGTCAATCCGGATACTTACAGCGTGGGGGAACACCTTTAGAAAGCGCTCATAAACGGCTCGTGTATCTTCAATTTTGTGGCGTCGCTTCTGCTCATCGATCAGGGCCAACCAGGCCTCGAGATCGCCGCGGGGATCCTCTTTGATACGATCCTCAAGTATACCAACAATATCAGTAGGAAGTCTCAAGCGCGCTGCATTACCAGTTGCTACATTGGACGTGGCCACTGTAGAAATAGGATCATCGCTCGCTTGAGCAAGGTTACCAGTAATCATGTCCTGGGGCGTGGTAATCTGCTGAAGGGGTGGATGACTGAAGGATTGAGCCGAAACTTCTGCGGGGAGGGGCTTTAGAGTACTTGGTGAATATGACGGAGCTGGAGCTGGAGCTGGGGTTGGGACTGGGACTGGAGCTGGAGCTGGGGCTGAGGTTGGGGCTGGGACATCATCCTCTTCATCAGAAGAATCGTCGACAACAAATCCGCCTGCTGTCTTAGGCTTCTTAGACGGACGAGGGGAATCGGACGCAGGGCGTTCCACAATAGGCTCGGGTACTGTAGTGATGGTAACAGACTCTGGATCATATTCTCCACCATCCTCATCATCAGATGCATCAGCAGACGGAGCGTGATCAATATTAACATTCGCATGTTGATTGCTATTCTCAGTATATGAGCTCATATTGTCCGTCGCACCATTCCAACCTTCCGCACTCCACGTAGGAGTACCGCCCTGTTGTGCGGACGCGTCTCCAGAATCTTCCGAAGCCATTATGCACAAGAGGAATGAATTTAGTATGGTCCCGTACTGATACTAGGGGTAGTCGATAATGTAAAAGGAACTGAGGTGTCGGGCATATGAGTTCGGTCGCGACGTTGATGTTGGATGACCCTACTTTGCGATTATATCATACAGTCTGCCTATAGGAAATATCGAGGACTTCTCAGGTTTTCTCGTGGCGCAAAAACCGACAGTTCCTGTGACAGTTCCTCGGGCCAATATGAGTAGCTATAGCGCCGTTAGTACCCTGGAAACCAACACTTGACAGTATACCCTCAAGCTGTTCAGAGGCAAGTCGGCTAAGAGCGCTCGGAGGTTTGATATATTAAATGGAAGGCAATTGCAGGAGGACGTATGAAATACGGCTCTTTGGCCTATATTGGTCTTCGAATATTGTGAACCTGCATCAATAAAGAGTGCTAGGTGTATTGCGCGAATGGGAAGATGGCCGATAATTGAAAAAAAGTTGTAGGTTTCAACGATTTAGAGCTCGCACTTGACAAAACAATAGCGCTATCGAGGCAAGCAAAGATCTCTCTTATCCTAGACTTACCAAAGATGTATTAGCGCGGCTCAAATAGGTCCAGTGCGCGGTACGTACTTCCCTATATCGCTTAGGTTACGTACCTAGGTACTTTGGTGTCTGAATGATGTACCTAAAAAAATATTGTACTCCCCCACGTGTACAAAGGACGAGCATACACCTGTTAGGTACTACATACGAAATTTATATACGGAATACTTTACTTTATTATCAATGCACAATACAAATAACTAGTAAAATTATGTTTCTAGTACCATAAATAGTAAATACATTTGTTAGGAGGGTTAATACATGTCATTGTTAGCAATCTCATTTCCTATGTTGTGTATCTGTAAGGTACCTAGGTACTTAACATATGAATGCCGTTGAATTAAGTTCAGAGCACAGACATTTTAGTGTGGTAACTTCCAATGCAGCTTGCCCTCAATATACTTAGGTCATGTACCTATTGATACCTGATGCAAGCACTGAACGCGCTTTCTGCGAAAAAAAAAAAAAGCGCGTTGTCATTTTTTAAAAAAGGACCCCTGCTTGACCCTTAGGTTAGCTGGCAACTGGTTAGGTTAGGTGGTCTCCAGGTCGCAAAATAAACACTAAGGAAGCGCCCACCGCCAACCTCCCATTCAGAGAGACCACAACTTCTCAACTTCTTTGCTTCTCTCCCAGTTGCTCCTCTTCGACAATCCACCCTTTTAACATTCTTAATCATCCATCATTTTTTGTTATTCGGTCTAGTTACACATCTTACAAGATTATACACCGCTAGAAATACTGCTAGAACAGCCCAAGATGTCTGTCGTATCTTTACTCGGTGTCAATATTTTGAACAACCCCGCCAAATTCACTGACAACTACGTGTTCGAGATTACCTTTGAATGTCTCGAACAGCTCGAAAAGGGTATATATTTCTATGAAGATGCTCTAATATGTTAATTGAGCATCGAACCTAGCTGACCAGCCCAGATTTGGAGTGGAAGCTGACTTACGTTGGCTCTGCAACTTCGTAAGTTACCATACCATGCTCTTCGACAATTGCCCTCTAATTTCGACCAATAGCGACCAGTACGATCAAGAACTCGACTCCCTCCTTGTTGGTCCCATTCCTGTTGGTGTCAATAAGTTCATCTTCGAGGCAGACTCCCCCAAGACTACCCGCATCCCCGATGCAGACATTCTCGGAGTGACTGTGGTCCTCCTAACTTGCTCATACGACGGCCGCGAGTTTGTTCGTGTTGGATACTACGTGAACAACGAATACGAGTCTGATGAGCTGAATGCTGACCCCCCCGCCAAACCTATTGTTGAAAAGATCCGCCGCAATGTGCTAGCCGACAAGCCAAGAGTTACACGTTTTGCTATCAAATGGTATGTTTATGATCTTCTATTCTTTTTACGTGTAGCTACTTTGATTATTGGGCTTATGCTAATCTGTATGATAGGGACTCCGAGGCATCTGCTCCCCCAGAGTTCCCTCCTGAGCAGCCCGAGGCGGACCTCCAGCCCGACGAGGAAGAATATGGAGCTGAGGAGCTTGATGAGGATGCTGAGGAAGAAGGAGTTGAAGCGGCTGCCGAGAATGCTGGCGAGGCTAGTGCTGCAGCAGCTGCAGCTGATGGAGACGCTGAAATGGAAGGTGTCGAGGAGAATGGGGAGCCTGTTGAGGAAGACGAAATTTCCGAGGAGGGTAGCGTCGATCTCGAGAATGAAAGTGAGGATGACCTTGAGGAAGAAGTCGAGGGCGATGTTGTCGAAGCTGGTGACGATGCCATGGAGGTTGACGAGAAACCAGCTGGTGATTCATCCAAGCCTCAAGAAGTAATGGCCCACTAAGTACCATTTATATTCGGTCGGATATGATTTCAGCAGCCTATCAGTAGGCCTTTTCTGCATGCAGTTTTGGTGTGCCGTACGAAGTTATGAGAAGCCTTGGTATGAATGTTAATTGGCTTATGGTAGGAGTATGAGCTATTTAATGATGAATGGCCGAGCATTGCTTATAGACACTTGACATCCTGTTCCATACATAATACAGATACGAATGGTTTATGCCTCTCGAGTTTTCAGCTTGCTAGGTACTTAGAGGAATTAAATCAAAGTCATCTTTATCTTGTTCTCTACCTCCTATAAGAATATGATTTATCACTAGCTAAATCGGTACAGTATTTAGTCCCGTTTAGGAAGTGAATTCAATTGAAACATCTCTTAAGGTATCTAGGTTAGGAGGTAGTTACATATAAGACAAGGACTACAGATTGACTCGCCATCTTTCCACCTCCTTTTCCAGACTTCCTATTTCATACATTCTCTCCAAGCCGGAAAAGGTGAGTCCAACTATTGGTAGTTCTCTGATCGAAGGCATTTTAGCCAACCATCGAAACATATTTCTTGATCAATTAACTGGCCGTTCTATCACTCAATTTGTATGTTTACATCTGTAACATATACATATAATGATCCCATTAAAATGTGCACTTTAATGGTCATCTCTTTGATAGCTATAGACCACATACCTGTTGCCGGAAATTTACTGATATAACTTTTATAGGATAAGATTACGCGATAGGTGTATCTTCCTTTATTTTTCTCCCGTAGTAGGCATGCTCCTTTGATACGTAAGATCTTGTTATGCACGTAAACAGAGAGGAAACAAAGGAATTTCTTGGTAAGGAATATACACTACCTAATGTCTCAATGCTACGGTCAACAAATGTGTTGTTCAACTGTCTATTGGTGAATTCTTGGAGTCCAATTCAGTACGTAAACTCCACATTTGTTGAAGTGATGGGCATTAATCCCAATGGTGGTAGAGGGAGGCTTCGACGACACCTTCCCTCTTCGATGATTAGATAGAGTAGTTAACCGTTTTGCTTGTTATGCACTTATATTTCCTATGTGATTACTATAAATCTTTAAGAAAGGCGTCTTTTCGCAGCTGCCTAGCAATATTCATGGAAATCCATTCTTATTGAGGAGGTATTCATGTTGGCTGGCAGCGGACCAATCAAACTTCAGTTAAACTCATGTTGTCAGGGTGGATAAGCCAACTCCTACCCAAAATGATTTAATAACAGGGGTTATATTGCGGGGTTGGGGATATATCGGAATTGACAATACGCACGTTTTCTTGCGGAAGTGAGTTGAAGAGGATCGCGATCCGAGTAGAGCCGAGAAGGGGGGTATCTGCGGTGTAAATATCACCTTAACCAAAGAAGCATAGTTATTAGAAAATAAGAATATAGGAAAATGTTAAGCTACCCTGAGAAAACACACGATATTTTGCGCAAGTCATGTTGTTAGACGCCGCCGAATTAGCAAAACACAATACACCATCTTCCTGCTGGATCGTGGTAAGCGGTAAGGTTTACGACGTGACGCCGTATTTGAGAGATCACCCAGGAGGGCCGGCCATCTTAGTAAAGAATGGAGGAACGGTATGTATAATCATATAGCTAGGCCCGCTATACCAGCACTCTCAGGATCGTAGGACATTAAGTTCAATTGGAATAACAAAATGCGTAGGATGCTACAGTCGAATTCCGAACAATCCATTCCCCAGACGTATTAGAATACCTGCCGAAGGGGAGCTACCTTGGTGAGGTAGATCCTGCAGCTCTAGCATCACTCAAAACGATATCATCATCAAGCAAGCCGATAACAACTTCGGCCTTACCCCCGTCCCCATCATCATCTTCATCTTCATCATCAGGTCCACCGTCGTCCCCTATTGCCAATGGACCGCCGCATATCGCACACTGCGTGACGGCGTTGGACTTCGAGGCAGCGGCAAAGGCGGTGCTCCCTAAAAATCCGTTCTCATACATCTCGAGTTCTGCCAACTCTGGCCTTTCATTACAAGGCAACTTGTCTTCCTGGTCACGTATCAGCTTCCGCCCCCGGATACTCCGTGATGTCCGGCACGTGTCCGCACGATCGGCCATCTTCGGTCACATCACACCCTTCCCCTTCTACGTATCGGCGATGGGCTTGCTCGGTCGAGGCCATCGAAACGCTGAAGCCGAGTTCGTGCGTGGTCTGGCGCGGCGGGGGGCCCACGGTATGATAAGCAGCGAGTCCTCGCTGCCTATGGAGGAAATCGTCGCGGCGCTAAGCGATGAGCAGCAGAAGATTTCAAGCCAAGCCGAAAAGACAAATCAGAAGATCGATTTTCCTCCCTCGCAGCTCCATTTCCAACTTTACGTGCACTCAGACCATACTGTCACGTTGGCGCGCATCAGACGAGCTAAGGCCGCCGGTTTTAAGAGCATCTGGGTCACTGTTGACACGGCAACCCTGGGAAAGCGTACATCCGACCGACGAGTTCAGGCAGCAGAGGCGCTTGAAGCCGGGCTTGAAGATGCAGCTGAACAGGCTGGGGTCGGAAAGAACACTGGTTTCTACCCGGCGAGGGGGCATTTCCAGCCGTCACTCTCGTGGAAAGACCTCTCATGGATCAAGAAAGAATGGGGTGGGCCCCTTGTACTCAAGGGCGTGCAGTGTGCCGAAGACGCGAAGTTGGCGTTGGAGCACGGGTGCGAGGGCATCCTTCTTAGCAATCATGGTGGCAGACAGGCACATACGGCACCCGACGCGTTGACCACACTTCTCGAAATTCGGACATATTGCCCCGAGGTGTTAGGGAAACTTGACATATTCGTCGATGGCGGCCTACGCGACGGTGCTGATGTGCTCAAGGCCATATGCTTAGGAGCTACGGCCGTAGGCGTGGGTCGCCCCTTTTTTTACGCGCTAGCGGCCTATGGTTCGAAAGGGGTAGAAAGATGTATTGACAGTATGTTTCTCCTCATGATCTCCCCTTTTCTAAATCACAAGATGTTATTTACTAATACGAATTCCGTGTAGTTCTTTCCGAGGAGTTAGCTATGGGAATGAGGCTTATTGGAGTTACATCTCTTGATGAGGCACAACCCGAGAGAGTCAATGCTAGGCGTCTACTTAATGATATGTGGCGTCCTGAGAAGAGTCGTCTTTGAATACTTCACATCTATGTTTATATATGCCTTTTATACATATATTAGAATTTGGTATAATTAAGCTATATTCAATGAACTCTCATTATACTCTGAACAAATACAATTATCAACAACGCTAAAATATATCATAAACTTCAGCCACAAAATATCAGCGTTAGAGGTACAGTAGGTATCTTCGCGCCCTCTAGGCCCTGCATGAGTACCTGATCTAGGTACTCTTGGCAGGTAATATGTTAATTAAGAAAGTAAATAAGGCTAGAGAACAGCCCTGAAAAAAATAGAGACATGTTAAGCCTGAAAACTAGAAAAATGAGATTATTTATTTATTTAGGGTAAAGAAAAAAGGTTGTATGTATGATAAGTAAAAATCGTAGTCGTTCGAATGTACCTCGGGTCACAATACCATGAAGATGCGGTACCTAAGGCTACTGGCGTGGCTGTGCAAATCAGCCAGATCGGTCGGGCTGGAATCACATGGAACTATAGATGATATTTAGTTATAGCCGTGTAAAGTGGTAAAACAATATAGATCTTCCCAACTATATAGCTTAACACCTTTTATAAAGACTCCTACTACCGGAATGTCTAAGCTAAGGATAACTCCTCATGCCATAACTGGCCTGGACCGTCTGAGCCAAACGGCCTACCAATTCGGCCTTGGGTATCTATGGAAGGATTTCGAATCAAAACTCTCAGATCTGTTCGTTGATGATGGAACCCAGACCAAGGTTGGTGTGGCTGTGACACAGAAAGATGATATCCATTGGACATCAACTTCGGAAGAATTATACGCTACTCTAGAAAAAGGGGTCCCAATGTTATTGTAAGAGCCATTTCGCCACCCAGTTGAATCGGTTGCTTTATGATTGACAGGAGCCTCCACAGAATCCTCAATCGTTATAATTCATGGAGTAGGATAGATATTACTATCGAAGGCTTCTCCGCGGTATGCCGTCTTGCTGGAATTATGCCCTTTTTTTTGCACTTCGTAGTTGGAATGGGCCTCAAGTTCTCGTCAAAGGATGAAGACTTTATGTCATGCTATAGCACATTTACGTTGGAGAATAATCGTTTAGTTTACAGTCCAAATAGAACAGAAACCTACAGTGATTCGCTTTGGGGTAAGTCTTTCTCGCCATTATATCTTGAAGTAACGACCCTCTAATGGCTTGGTTTATCTACCTAGGGATATGCTACAACATTAGGCATTTTGAACGGCATAATCGAGATTTGGAAGACCCATGGTCCTGTCGCCACTCGGCTATTCACCAGAACTTCTCCGCAAGTTCTGGGCAACCAACCTGGGTCATCATTCAACCCCCTGAAGTTTTCGACGTCAATGTAGACTCGGCGCCGCACCCAATGGCCCTGCACCTTCGATATCTTCAAGCAGCTCTTGTAAATTGGAGAGAATATCTTGACTCCTTTGCCCAAATATTCAAGCGCCTCGTAAGTAGACTCTGTTCCATAAATATACTGTACCGAGCTCGTCAGATCGTCCAATTTTAACACCCGCGCGTACCGCCCCTGTCTTTAGAATCAACAGATAGCAATACCAAATCCGTATAATAAATTCAAGATCGACTTTTCGCACGAGCAACTTCTGCACTACCATAGAGGAAAGCTTCATCATGCTAGGAGCATTCTCACCAACACGAGGAGCACTTTAAATATCATCGCCGAACACGAGTCTGCTGTAGCACAAAAACAGAGCCTCTACCAAGACATCCACGATGAATTCCAACGGACAATGCGTAATATTTCTCGAGAAGTCGATAATTATATTGAAACAGTGCACAAGCTTCTTCGCATGTCAGATGATTTAAGGTTAATGGTAAGTCATAGTAGTTTGACTCATGCCTAGCAATACCGAATTCTTGTTTATTATTTAACCTTATCATTGCGCAGTATAGCAATATCCTCACATTTCATGGCCAAGAGTTGCAGCACGATACTAGCCTTAAACTTGCATACCTGGCGCAGGCCGATGCCAGCGGAAGTAGAGACATGGCGGTCTTAGCCGACCTTACGTATAAGGATTCGCGATCTATGCGTATTGCAACGGCTATTGCAATGTTCTATCTTCCGATAAATCTGGTTATGGTGCGTATTATAATCTTTTGAGTTCACATCCTTCATTGACTCCTTGATGATCATGGGTCGTAACATCTACATTCTATTTCAAGGCATTCTTCGTCATCCAGCTAACCTCCGGGTTCTCGGAATTAGTCATTCTTCAGCAGTACGCTGGTCTGGTATGGAACGGCAGTCGATGTGGCAGAAAGCCATAGTTCTAGTATCCAAATCCGTAACGAGGTATGGATCGCGAGCGTAGCGGCTGTTGTGCTTGCTATTGGCACTATATGTTGGTCTTGGTGGTGGAATTGGAGGGAGCAGAAGAAGCCAGATAAGAAGGCCCATCAAGAGTAATCTATCAATCTTCAGTTAAGTCAAACTTGTTATGGTTTATAGCTACTAGAATATCAACACAAAATGCAAAATTTATGCTTGCTTATGAGACTAGGTATACGTCTGATGCCATGTTCCTGAAGGCCAATCCCAGCGCCAATCAGCGTCCATCAGCCCCCCTCTTCAGCTTCAGCCGTTTATTTATTTCGTGATACGGAATTCTTTTCATCCTGATTCAATTGGTTTAGTTTTAAATCATATATCTTTCGCTAGTCGACGGTTTTACCTCTGTAAGCTCTCTGGATGCTTCTACGGAGATTGTGTCTCCTGAAGCCTGGGATGCATTAGCAAATGATACCTGCATTATGCCTCCAAACACAGTACTTACCACTACACTGTAGTTCTGTCTAAAAAGGCCCTGCAGCAACTCATTCAACTTTGCGCGGTCCACGTAGCGCGTTTCTAGATATGTCGTAACCATCATTGTGGTCATCTCGTTTCCGCAGCTGGGAGTGTTGGTACAAGGCACACAAGAATGCCCAACCGTTTGAGTTACGCGATTTATATGCACATGGTAGTATCTATGTTACATTGTCACATGGCTAAGCACAATGATACTCTACACCAACACCATTCAAGCATCCTTTTTCTTTTTTTTTTCTTTTTTCTTCTTCTTTTACCCGGCGAAGTAGCATATCATTGCATTTGCGCCCACCTGGTAGCTAAGTATTACGATTGATTGCTAAATAGACTACACCCTTATAATTAAATATCTTCCTGTCAGCCACGATCGCAATCATCATGGCGGGCATAAATGGTTGCATCGACAACCTCAGGAACCAGATACAGAATAACCTGGTTACCTCGCTTTCCCAGCGCGATTTCTTACCCACCGATAAGCTTCATGAAATATTTACTCTCCAAGCGGTTAAGGGCGCCATTAAAGAGCTTAATTGCGGCCCAGACGATCGCATCAAATTAGCAGATACGATATATCACCAAGGAAAGAGGGTATTTGCCATGCTTATTTACAGCTATTGGCAAGATCTCATTATAGAATTCCGCAAGCATGGTGCTCTTGATAGCCGACTCCCGCTGACTGAAGCTGATGCGATGACGATTGTCGAACCCGGAATTGCGCTACGGATTGCCCGAGAAGTCCAATGGGGCTTTTGCCCCTATACCTTCCCAGAGAACATGTCGGAGCATCATCGTGAGATTCAAAGCAAAATGATTATCCCTTTTATTGGTACTGAGCAAATCGGCTTTGGCGCATTCAGTAATGTAGAAAAGATGACTATCTCGCTATCTCACCAACATTTTGACAAAGATGTAAGTATAGGTACTATCAAATTGATGTTATTTCCGGTTTCTGCATGAAATTTCTTAGATTAACAGGATGCTTTCTAGGCAAAAATAATGCAAGTAGTACAGAAGAAGCTCAAAAGGAAAGGCAAGACCGAAGAGTTTGAAAGAGAAAACAGGTGTTTACGACTCCTAAACCAGTTGCATCATCCCAACATCATTCCTCTATGGGGCTCTTATACGTGTTGCGACGAGCAGAACTTCCTCTTCCCATATATTGACATGGATCTCGGTTCATTCCTGAGGGCTAAAACCCGCCACCAAGATTTCCAGTGGGATTTTACTTTCTACTCGGCTCTCACAGGGCTCGCTTCAGCACTGTCAAAAACACACTACCTTCTGCTCAACCAAGCTGACCACGACATCGACTTCGAGGCAATTGGCTACCACCACGATATTCGACCACCTAATATCCTAGTTGGTTCCGATACTTTTATCCTCGCTGACTTCGGACTGGGGAGGCTAAAGCAGGCGGGGGACCCATCGCACACGCCTTACAAATGGATTAGTGGTGATTATGTTTCTCCCGAAAGCACAGATAGTCAAGAGAACCCACTTACCACCAATCGAGCCACTGATGTATGGGCGTTTGGTTGTCTTATCGCCGAGGTTATCACCTATATGTTGAAGGGGGCAGAGGGGGTCGAAGAATTCCGCACGGAGAGACTCACACCAGGAAAGTTTCCTCAATGGAAAGATGCTAGCTTCTATCAACCTTGTGGTGATGTCAAGAAAGAAGTCATCAATTGGATGAGGGCGCTGAGGGGCGATAATTCTCATTCGGACTTTGTTCCCCTGCTTGTTGACCTAGCTCTTGATGCTCTTCAGCCTGATCCACGAACTAGGCCTGACATGAACACTATTTATATACGCTTGAAAGTTTTGAGTATGCGAAAACACTTTCACTCTATCCAAGAAAAGTTTTGTGAGGTTCGCGAGACCGGAGAAAAACTAGTACCCCCAGACAAGCGCCATCTAGGGAGTCTTGGATATGCGTACGAACGGTTTAAGGCATGGGGCAACACTCTTACTCTGGATAAGAAAGGATCTCTTGTTTATGATAAAGATCAACCCGAGGGTTCTATTGAGATTATGAAGAAGTTATTTCAGGCACTAAGAGAAGAATTAGAAACGCAACACTCGGGTGATGGACCCGCTTTGCTTTCTCTTGAACACCGGATAGTCCAAAGTGTCGAAAGCTTATGGAAATTCTTGCCGAATACTCTCCTTCCCTCGGCTGAGGATCAATGGCGAAAGAAACCAGATGGTCAACCTGTTGAAGAAAGGCAGAGTTCGTATCATACGGCCGACGACGTTGTATCAGCCCCCAGTATAGCTAACCCTATTGATCCCCTTAAGTCTGAATTCGAAGAAAAGGCGCAAAATTTCAAAAATAATTTAGGCAATATTACATTTTTCCACGAAATCCTCAAGATAACATCCATTGGTGATGTGTACGATATCACAGACAAAATCCAGAACGAGCAAAATGAACACAATGGACTTCGCAACCTAGCGAAAATCCGAAGATATCTAGAGCGCCTGAAGGGGTATGCTGACGTGATAAACGGTATTATCAGCGGGAGCCGCCATATTCTGGCACTCCTCTGGGGGCCGATAGGAATGCTTTTACAGTTAGCGAGACCGTTGAACAAGGCTTACGACTCATTTATTGATGCTGTTGCTGAGGTAGGGCAAAGTTTGCCCGAGTTTCAAGCATCTACCTCAATATTCAAGCAGAACAAAGAGGCTAAAGAAATTTTGCCATTATTTTTTAAAGATATATTGGACTTTTATAGCGAAGCGTTGAATTTCTTTTGTCATCATAGTAAGTGTTGACCTCAAAATGTGCCTTTCAAGACACTATACGCTGAGATCTATTACTGACCTTACCTAAGACTGGATGCATATCTTTAATCGTCTATGGCCACAGCAGTATATGCAACACGCGGAAATCGTAAACCGTATACGACGGCTTACTCGACTGATGAGGACAGAAATACACATCGGGGATATACAACAAGAAGATGAGTTTCGAAAGAAAGCACAGGAAAGTTTTAAAGCGCAGAAAAGAGAGAATTGTGCGCAGGAATTCCACCGTATCATGGTATCTTTTAGCCCAGAAAGATATGATACTACCCTGGATCGCCTCCTTAGCCATCGCTATCAGGCAACTGGAACTTGGCTCTTTATGGACAAGACTTTCACACAATGGCTCAACAGTTCGCAGGAGGAGACCCGGATCTTATGGTTGAAAGGGATACCGGGAGCAGGTAAGTATAGACTCCGCTATCAAATCTATTTCCAGCACTATGAATTGTTCACCACATTAGTCTAAACCGTATCTAATTGTGAGGTAATTTATCATAGGCAAAACAGTTCTCTCTAGCGCAATTATAGATCAATTAAGAAACGTCCAGGGAACCAAGACAGCCTTCGCATTCCTTACATACCAGGAAGCTAAGACTTCAGCGTTATCAACAATCCACTCACTTATCTTTCAGCTGGCGGAAAGAAATGAAGATCTCATGGCTATCGTTTGTGAATCTATGGGCAGAGATCTAAGGGGCAATATTAATGGCGCAGGTGACATTTTATCGTCTCTTATCCATTATGCTGGCTTAGTCTATCTCGTTATCGATGGTGTCGATGAGGTTAGTGAAACAGAGCGAGGTAGGCTCATCACCGAACTTCTTAGGTTAGTCGGGATATGCGGAACCCTACGAATTATCCTCAGCTCCCGACCTGAAGCCGACCTAACGCGGCTACTGGATGATAAAGCAGCCGTGATCCAGATTCATGACCACAATAAAAGAAGCATCGAGGACTACGTTATTGAACGCGCCCAGTACATATTTGGTAACCGACGGGTTCCTCTTGATAAGAAAGCCAAGATCATGAAACTTTTGGAACCGTTGGCAAGTCGTGCCGAAGGTATGTTCCTCTATGCTCGGCTCGTTATGGATATGGTCGCGAGTATACATGACTTGTCAGAGTTACAGAAAGAATTGACAGTCCTTCCCGAAAACCTTGATGCTGCGTAAGAGTGCCATGCCCAAATTTACAGGATGAACTGCAACTGACCGTTTGTCTGGTAGTTACCATCGTATCATTGTACGTTTGGAAAGTCATAATGACAAAAGAAGGGCAGAGAAGGCTCGGATGCTGTTAGGATGGGTCGCATGTAGTACAGCTCCAATTACTGTCGAGGAGGCTCATCAAGCATTAGTTGTGATACCAGGCAATCGGGACCAAGTATTCGAAATGGTGTCAAAGCTTGATGCTGTCGAGCTTCTTGGACCGATCGTGGAGACCGTGGACAACTACATACGATTTGTTCACTTCACAGCAAAAGAGTAAGCAGTGTGCATCAGAACGTGTCGGCCTACTTCTGACTGCCTTACAGATATATATCCAGCCCTCACCTCGGAGAACAGCTAATTGATACAACCCAAGCCACATCGGATTTAGCTTTGCGGTGCATTACATATCTATGCCAACACCATCATGATCCTGGTTTGTCATTCGAAAAGCGATATGAGAATGTCACTACTGGACAATACAGCCTCCATACCTTTGCAATACGTATGTGGTTTGAGCTAGTCTGTCAGTATTTTCGATTGATCGGAGAGACTGATCCATCAACCGAACTGGTTGAATCTATTCAGATGCTCTGGGAATATAGAGAGATACGAGACCTTGACGATACTGCTGAGGACGAGGGTGACGTCAACAACGACGAAAGTGGTAATGAAGCTATTTTCAAACCATTAAAGAAGAAGCACCCTTTGCTTTATCAGTTACTTTGCAGAGTGTCGCGGTTTCGCAATTCATCTTTCCTTTTCACTGGAAATATAAGCCAAGGTATGACTGCATCATTCACACTTTCGAACCCGCTACTAGTCGAATACATAGGTTAGGTACCTAGCTAACATCTATCAATGTGAATAAGACTTCGATGAGGATACAGATGACCCGCTCTTAACATCAAAGATATCTCAACTCATTCGCGAGGCCTCCGATATCGCCGTCTGTAGTTCACCAACTGACTGGCTCCTATCCGGCAAACGTGGATGTCATGAGGCTTGTGCTAATATATTATATTACTACGGACCGCGACCCTTTAAATGCAAATTTATAGGGTGTAAAACTTGGCAAGATGGCTTCCAAGAGCGTACCCTCAGAAGAAAGCACGAACGTTCGCATGATAAACCTTTGAAATGCCATATTTCCGGCTGCGAATTTGAACTTGTCGGATTTTTGTCCGAAAGGATGCGGCAAAATCATATCAAGCACGATCATCGAAATGACCCGAAGAAATTGAGCTTCGACACTGAGAGTCTGACCCAGGACAAAGCTGAGACTATGCTTTCTGACTTTATCAAGGTAAACGAAATAGAAGCGGTCAGAAAGATCTTGTCTACCTTTCCAACCATTCTCGAAGACTATAAAACCCAACGTGAGCTTAAACTGCTTGCCGCATCTACAGCTTCAGGTGATATACTGAAGTTGTTAAAAGGGCCGACGGAAGAATCAAGAGAATGGGATGAATGTATTACAGAGTCAATTAACGCCCGCAATGGAATCACCCTAAGATACTTCTCGTCTATAGGACTACCTTGTAATGGCGCCAAGAAAAAAGGGAGCAATTTTTCAAGATATCTACCCCCCCTCTCACATCGCCAGATCGTCTTGAAATTGGTATCGTGTGACTGGCTCGAAGGAATGCAAATTTGGACCAGTTGTATTCTAAATCGACTAAACCTACTCTCCGATGCAACCAAGAAGGGTCTTAAGTTCTACTTGATATCGGATATGATATACGTCAGGCAGTTTATTAGGGCTGCATCACACCACCCACTTGGGTACCAGCAACTTCTCTGCGTGTGGAAAGACTCCGGGATCGCCCCTTTTTTGGATGATATTTGGGCCAATAGAACTCTGAAATATGTAGCAGAAGCTGGTTTATCAACTACTCTGGCGGTATATTTGATTGAGCAGGGCGCTCATATTAACCATAGACGAGGACCTAAAAGTCGAACTGCACTTCAATACGCCGTAAGCAAAAGCTCCGCTGGGGGAGCTGAGATGATCAGATTTCTTCTTTTAAACGGCGCTGATCCGGAGATAGGAAGGGAAGGGACAAGCGTTAGGAGGCGATTAAAGAAAATACGTCGGGCACCGGGCGCAAAAGATATTTATAGATGGTTAGGGAAGACTTGGAAGGAGCTTCTTGAAGAGACCAAAAGTATACGGGATAAAGCTAAAGAACTGTCAGATGTACCTAAGTACATCTCAACACGTGACCTTCGATCACGTGTCGTCCAAACACTCATCTAGGTTAGGTACGAAGTACATGTATGATAAGGATAAGCGTTTGTAAAAAAAATAATAATTGTATCATTAGATTTTATGCAATCAATACCCGTCCTTTCACCTCTTTTAGTCCGTATAACTACGTGACAGGTGTTTCTATTCTAGTATCTTTTTCAATCTCTATAAACACGTCAGTAAATCGATTTTGAAAAGAATCGTGATTAGGATTGAATCTTACCTCCCATCTTCTGTATTCTACATCGGCATCTGTCATGCTATTCGCATCTATAGCCCGACTAATTAATTGTATTTTTTCCTTCTGCACATCTTGGACATACTGGATAGGGCCACTTATATTAGTAATGGAAGAGTTCAAAAATAGGCTAGTTAAAGGGTTTGTCTACCGTTTCTACAGAGTTGGGGACGATATATCGAATAACTGTGACCTCTTGCGTTTGGCCTATGCGATGAACCCGATCAACCGCTTGTGCTTCTACTATGGTTATATGGGTAAGTAAAACCCCTGCCTTAAGTTACGCGCTAAAAGGTGGCCTGTGTTGCTATTTCTTTACTTATTAGAGTTTAACGCATACTCATACATATACAATAACAAATTTAGAAAATTCACCACTTTTGGCATCTATAAGTCAAAATATCATATTTTAGACCTTTCAATGATTATTTTGATACCAATTTTATTTTTAAAAGTGTATAGAACGTTGGTGCATCAATTATTTTCATCATTTTTTTGCCAAATGTATCTTTCGAATACCCTTGACAAACTAATACTGATTTAGTATGGTGGTTTGTCTAGCGTATTCTGCGGTACCTGACAGGGTAGTTTTACTTTTGCCTGCAACCATAGTATCATCGGGTTCCAATGAGGCTCTAGTAGATGCACTACACTAGCAACCGTGAGATTGACTCTGGAAAAGTGTACGTTAGCTTAAAAAAAAGGTTGATAATAAAAAAAAATAATTCATTAGGTATACCTAACCTACTTACCCTTCTGCAGAACTACCGATTGTAGCTAGCATCACTGTGCAATTAGGATTGCCATTAAACTCTTGTAGGGCTCTTCGGCGTCCCTCTAGGCTAGTATGCCCATCAATGCGTTGAAAAACGATCTGCTCCTGATGGAATGCCCGCTGAACCAAATCAAGCATTTTAACCCAAGAGCTAAATACTACACTATTTTTAATTAGCTATACCCCGTATTCTCTAAAAGTGAGCTCATTGGAACATACCTTTTTCTCGGCCTGGTGCTGTCCTCTGCTTGTGCCTGTTTTAGATTCCCCAATAATGCCAGTACCTTAGCCGAGGGTCGATAACAGACTTTGGTTGAAATAGAGCTTTCAGAACTGTAAGGGCCCTTTTTTGAAGTTGCGCAATTGATGCATATGGAATCTTGCTCCTCTGTACCAGAGCCGCCGTCGTCAATTTCGCCCCCGCAGAGGGAGCAAAGTTGTTGCATTTCCAAATCCAAGATAGAACCCGAAGCCCCTATCCTTTTCTCTGTTACCTTATTGGGCAGAAGTTGCTCTCCGTGATCGCAAATTCGCTGCAAATACAATATGAGTGATAAAATGTTGTATTCCTTGCCTTTGGGTAATGAGCCACCCCCCAATCGACCCCCTTGGTCTGCAGCTTTTTCTACGCAGAGTTTCTTATATACGTCATATAACTCCTGATCCTCTTGATGAAGATAAACTTCGTGTACCCTTTCAAAACGCGGGGGAAGTTCTAAAGTTTTCTGTTTCGTCCTCCTAAGACACGTTGCTCGGATAAGTCCTCGGAAACGCTCGATTCCAAACTTATGCCCCTCCTCCACGGGTTTAGCAATCCAGGTCGTAAAATTGGACTTTTGAACAAACGGAAAGACGCGTATAAAGCTAACCAAGGCGCCGTAGTCATCGAGGGAATTGTGAATTGGTGTTCCTGTTAAGCACCATCGACAACGAGCTACGAGGTCACAAACTGACCGGAAAGCCTTTCTTGAACGATTGCGAATGTGATGGGCTGCAGTGAGCTTAGTCGAGAGAGGGAAAGGCTAGATATACACAAGAATTTGCTCACCTTCATCCAAAATAACTCGAAGCCATTTCCAGGAGAAAAGAGGACGTATCCCTTCTGAGGCTTCCCACTCAGAGCGAAGCGTTTCATATGTAGTGACGACAACATCAGTGTTGCAAAATTGGCTGGCAAGGCTCTCTCGACCGGAGCCGTGATATACCTTTATTCGTATCTGTCCTTCATGGATATGTCTAGAGAGCCAACATATTGTAAGTCCTTGTCCTTATTTAAATAATACCCGAAGAAGTTCTTACTCTGAGGCCTGGTCCATCCAACTATATATAGCTTTTTTTCTCATTAGTATCTTATAATATCATGCCTCTTAGCATAAACTCACTTGACTTTGGTGCAATAATAAGTGTTCCCTGGTGTCTTGCTTTCTGGTCTTGATCTATCACTGTAGGGTTAAGATCCAAAGAGGAACAGATCAGCGCCAACACGCTTAGGGTTTTTCCAAGGCCCATATCCTTGATTAATCCTATCAGTATTCGAACCGATAGTAGGTACAAGGGTGACATACGTCAGCAAGTATTCCTCCCATAGCTGGGATGGGCCTGGGCTCAAGTGACCCCGTGACTGTATGACGATAACTAAAAGTCAGGGTTAGGCACCAAACCGTTCTTCTTGAACTAGGTATTCCTTAGAATCACTTACTACACTTTTTTGCTATTCTTAACAACTTCTTTTCTCCAAAGCGATGGGAACATCGGCTCTTCAATGTGGCCGCTTTCCTTTTCATGCATCATCGCCAGCGCCATAATCTGATGTCTAGATAATTTCCTGTATTAGCCATCGTTATTATCAAGGCGAAGAAGTATGCCATTACCCCATAAGTTGTGTGCGAAGCCGTGGACTTGATGACGTATTCACCCCTGTTACTGCTCCCCCATCCGCTCCGGCGGATTCAATAATTTGTAGAAAATAACCTTTGTTCACTTCATCTCTTATCTCAGTATGGGTAGGATCATCATCTAAGGCGTCTAGGCTCAAATTCTCAAGTTTCGGCATTTCAGCGTCAGGGCGAATAAGGTAATGGGGGTTGTCATATTGAACTCCAGGTATGACTTCCGCAGCATAAGGATGCTGTAGAAAGCAACCAACATCTGAAAGAAGGTCTCCAGCAGCTTCCTTATCACTCCTCAGACCATAAATTACAATTCGTATGCTGTAGTCTCGGGTTGCTTTGATGGGGGCATTTTTCTTCATTTTACGTTTATTTATCCCTCTAAGGCCCCTTTTCTCGGAGATGAAGAGCGTGGCATCCGTTTTAAGGCGAATTTGACGAAATGCATTTACAAGCTGACAATTGTTTAAGATACCGGCGTATGCATTAGAGTCCTGCTCGTAAATCATTAGAGTACCTCCAAATGGCTTTAGATTTATAGGTATAGAGTGAGCTGTATCCTTTTGTGAAAAGGAAGATGTGGGTACTGCCAGCACCTTGCGACTTGTTAGAATATTGACAGGATCTTGGGGTAGACGTGGCTTACAACACCGAAACATGTGTCATAATCGCTATATATATCCTTCCCAGATTCAGTTAAGAGTGACTCGGCTTCGTTTTGTGGCAGAGATTCATTGGCTTGGAGTTCACTGAACACTGACTGCTCACTTTGGGGTGCGCCGGTTTCAGAGGAGACGTCGAGTGTGGTTGCATGTTCGTAAACTAAGGTATTACCCATTGATATATCATGTTGGATCGAAGGCGGGGATGGGGAGTCAATGAGGAGTGGTTGGGATGACGAATTCCCGTAGCTATAACGGAGATCTTGTATTTGGAAAGATGCGTCCTCATAGACAGGTAATGGCGACTCATTGTCTGGAATATTGCCATCCACATCATTGTCGCGTGGCTGCGTACGGGATTTTTTTACCTTACGAATTTCGAGGGCTGGGGTGGGACTTGGTCGCTTACTGCCTACCTTAGTAGATCGCAGATTCCAAGACCTGTTTTTATTATCCATAGCTATTTAATATAGGCAAATAAGTAGGTACCTAAAGAGTTGTTGCTAAAGGAAAGTTGAAAAGGAGAAATGGTTTATACGCCTAGATATAACTCATATTGCAGCTTACGTTTTATGAGTGTTTTCGGGTGTTAAGCATCACCCATCACCCATCATCCATCACTTTGAGTTGTTTAGGTATGTTAACTTGATGCTGTTGGGTGGGTGTTTGGTAAAATTTAATCAAATGGAGCATATGCGACGTATAATGCCGTAGATATAGTATCTAAGTCCAACACCAATCTGCCTTGACATTTGCTTAGTGTATGTATACCTATGGTGCTGCCAGGTGATTGGCTCTGATAAAATACCTAAGGTTACCTGGTACCTAAGCTGGTTTATGTAGTTAGCTGCACTCAGGAAAGTACCGCCAAATGACCTAAGAACAGAGATCCGCATTATCGGCGATTTTAAGCGGAGAGGGCCGTTAGACGGACATATAGCAGTAGAGGCGGGAAGGCAAAACGCGGCAGCTTGGTTTCACCCGCGTTCCGCTTTATAACGGGACTATTTTAGTCTAAAAACTAACTTACCGTGACTTAGTTAAAGCTTAAAGCTTCTACGTAAAAAAAAAAATTAGGTGCTGTCAGGTTAATATATTACATCGTTTTTCAAGACTTTATAACGTACCGTTTCATCGAAAACGCGGGGTTGATTTTAGCCTTGAGTTGGCCATGGCACCGACCATTTTCCAGGCGAGTTTAAAAATTAACGTTGAAAAATCTATTGACCAAACGTTTATCTTACATGTAAGTGCCTGCTTATGCAAATATGATGAATGGGAAAGGTCTGAAGCTCATTCATTGTTTAGCTCGTAGAGTTGGGATTCTTCATAAGACCTAGATCGCCATATGAGTTGATGATTTGAAATCTTACGCCAAGCAGAGGAGTGCTATCAAACGGCGTAGGAACACGAGCCTTAATAGGTAATATTCCGTACCTGTCTTAGACAGCCGATTTCCTACTTATCTGCATATTTCTAGGACCAATTTCCTCATTTATTCACCGAGAACACAAGGCAGTATTTAGAATGAACATGTATTCTGTCCTATACCCCGCATCACTATACGAAGCTTACCTCTCGATGAGAACTTAGTGCTGAACTCTCAGCCGGGGTACCTGTAAGTATTTGCATGCGACGGCCCGAAAGGCGATCTCGTGAGCCGAGTATTAGGTTAGGTAGAGTCGCAGTAAGCATTCTAAGTGTTGGATGCGATACATAAACCGCAGTTGTGGTGAGATTGGTGCTTAAAAACGTTCCAGAAAGCCTCTAGAAACTAACCCAGTTGATATAAACGATACGACTGCCTAAACCTATGGCATGTCTTGTAGTAAATGGACCTTGAATTATGCTGACGATAAAACGTATTGTATCAAGCATGGGGACCTTGACGTGATTAGGCACCAACCTTTCCCAACGCTGATGTCTCGCATGATGTGGACTGTATAATGAGCGGCGTTGAGATACGAATCAGATTGTAAATTACTGAATCTATTAAACTAAACTATATATATGATCGTAGGTTTCGTTTTTGTTGGTTGCAGTAGTCTTTTTCTTGTATTTGGAAGAGGTTAGCATTCCCCAAGCCGCCAAGATGTCGATTCTAGACCCTCCTTCGTAAACGTCTAGCTTCCTCGTTGGTTCGTAGTATAAACGATTGCTTTGTTATTGGCTATGTCAGCATCATAATATCGAATAGACCAATGATAAGTGTTATGGCGCAAAGCGGCATAGTGGTGTGACTAGGTTACTCATGCTTGGCGGCTTATGATTCCGACAGGCGAGTCACCTAACGGGGTAAGATCACCATACGATAGCCTAGCTAAGGATCTTATGTAGCATTTGCTGCCATCTCATTCGACTAGGCGACTGGATGCTGAACGGTCTGATCGGTCTGATCTGGGTAGGTAACGTCGTGATGCTGATAGGGAAACTGAGGGGCAAAATGACAAAGGGTGTAGGATTCATACGTATTAGAGCTGAACTTTTTACCGTTTTACTTTCTTCCACTGTTTCGCGCCACATATAATTCGTAGCATCCCCCAATCCTTCCTTTCATGTGATATTTCTTGCTGGGGATTGGCTCATCTCTGATGTTATTTAGAGCAGTATTCTACTAATTTACTACTACAATTGTCCTGACTTGGTGGTTTCGGTTTTGGGGGAGAAAAGTCATCGAGTAGTAAAAATTACGTAGCATTCTCATCATGGCGAACGACGCGACCGGCGACGGCGCCGTGGCCACCCACAATAGCCCTCCTACTGCTGAGGAAAAAGTTCCGCCTGCGTCGGATCTCAAATCTACCGGTTCGGGTCTGGGCTCAGATATAGATGATCGTATCCGTGGACCAAATGGCGAGGAATATCCCACAAAAGAAGAACTCGATACTCTACGTCGAGTCAAAGGTCCTATTAATTTGATTATCTACACTATCGCTTTTATCGAACTTTGCGAACGATTTGCTTACTATGGAACTACTGCTGTCTGTACGTCTACTGTAGCTACCTACGTTTCCGATTTTTTATACCGGATTTAACTAAATATTGGATAGTCGTCAACTTCATTTCGCAACCTCTCCCTACCGGTTCTACCACCGGAGCCGGCGGCACGGACCTACAAGCTGGTGCTCTTGACCAGGGTCAGCAAGCTTCGACCGGTTTAGTGCTGTTCAATTCTTTCTGGTCTTATCTAATGCCTTTGCTTGGTAAGTGACATTATAGCATCGAATATAATTATGGCTGACGTTAAACTCTTGTGTTATAGGTGGTTGGTTGGCCGATACATATTGGGGCAAATATAAGACAATCCACGTTGCTGTCGTGGTAGCTCTGTTTGGCCATATTATTCTCATCGTTTCAGCACTGCCGCCAGTGATCGCTAATCCGAGAGGCGCGCTCGGTTGTTTCTCTGTCGGCTTGATTTTCTTCGGAATTGGTGTTGGTCTTTTCAAAGCTAACATCTCTCCTATGATCGCTGAGCAGTATGAAAGCACGCAACCGAGAGCTATTGTCAAGACTTTAAAGAGCGGCGAACGCGTCGTAGTCGATCCCGTCTTGACAATTTCTATTATCTATATGCGATACTACTTTTTCATCAATGTCGGATCATTGATTGGCTCTATTGCGATGGTGTACGCCGAGAAGTATGTCGGGTTTTGGCTCTCCTTTGTTTTGCCTACAGGCCTATTCATTCTCTGCCCCATCGTCTTGGTTGCTTTCAAGGCCAAGTACGTTCGTCATCCACCAACAGGCTCAGTTCTTAGTAAATCAATCGCCCTGGTTGGTTTATCGATGAAGGGGCGTTGGTCTTTAAATCCTATCACCACTATCAAACACATTCGTGAGCCCGGTTTTTTCGAGAGGGTTAAGCCGAGCAATATACCTGAGTCCGAGCGCCCAGCCTGGATGACATTTGATGACCATTGGGTCGATGAGGTACGCCGTGGTTTCAAAGCTTGCAGCGTTTTCGTCTGGTATCCGATCTACTGGCTTTCCTATAACCAATTAAACAATAACCTCGTCTCCCAAGCTGCAACAATGCATCTTGGAGGAGTGCCGAACGACGTGGTTTTCAACCTCGATCCTTTCGCCCTACTAATCTTCATCCCTATCTGCGACAAGTTGATTTACCCCGCCATGAGACGCGCTGGTATCCATTTTACCCCTATCAAGAAAATCACGACCGGTTTTGCCCTGGGAACTTTAGCGATGACGGTTGCCGCTATTATCCAACATTACATATATATGCAAAGCCCGTGCCGAAGCCGAGATGGTTACGGATATGTCGATGACTGCAGGGCGCATCTCGGACTTCCAGCTGATGCTCCAGAGTCTTTATATAAACCTAATCTGTCAGTCTGGATTCAGACGCCTGCATATGTCATTTTGGCACTGGCTGAGATCTGCTCGTCGATTACCGGTCTCGAGTATGCTTTCACGAAGGCGCCGAAGAATATGCGAGGTTTTGTCACTGGTATCTTTTGGTTCTCTCAAGCTTTCGCATCTGCCATTGGCCAGGCCTTCGTTCCTCTCGCTACTGACCCCAACCTCGTATGGTTATACATGACGATTGCTATTATCTCAGCCCTGGGCGGTGTTGGGTTTTGGTACAACTTCGCGAGCTTGGATCGCGAAGAGGAAGCTCTGAATGCACTCCCTGACAGCTTGTTTCAGGGAAGTCAAACTCAGGATGTAGATTTCGCTGCTCTCGAAGCGGCGCAAGTGGAACAGGAGAAAATTCGGCACGCCCAAGGACTAGATAAGGCCCCTTAATCAAAGGGCATTCCACTTGCATATTGCACTATGTATCCTATATTAAAGATAAAATACCCAGGGTGCGAAGTGGGCCAGCTATTTCTTACTACCTAACATCATAATAACTATTACCATCCATTCTCGGTTAACGATATATAAAATCTATAGGTTTCTGATAAGTGATACCTAATATATAGAGTTCCAAATCTAACTTACCTCCTAATACCTTCATGGCGCGAATACTTTAGTTAACCGGTATACTGAAGTATGTAACTCATGTCATAGCGGGTACAGTTGACACAACAATACATGTATACCTAGGTATGCTTTCGGATTCGCCACCAGGTATAGCATGACGGAAAATAACCTCGGTTCTAAGTCTGCATAAGATTTCTCGAAACGTAGCTGTTATATAGGTATTTGGCCTTGAATCATCAAGCAGCCGCAGTCATACTCACGCTAGGCCCATTTATAATGAATGGTAGTTGACAATCATTCGTTAGTGGATTGATAAGCCCTTCTCTCTGTTGAAATGAGTGGTTGAGGGACTACTTTCGGGTACAGTGCGTGGTGTCTTGGCGTGGAATATATACCTTAGGTACATATAAGGACTCCCCTCCTCACTCATATTGTTGATAGGCAAGGTCAATATATAACATACGACACATATACCGTAAGTATATTTCAGTACTCTCGAGTCACATCTGTACTATTAACGAAAAGAGAAGATAATGTGAGCAAAACATCTCAGATACTAACTATTAACTACGAACGTAGATAGCACAGAGAACTAGAATTGTTGTTTGGGTCATCGGGCGTGTAAGTATCACCTGAGCAAGCTCGCTTCTGCCCTACAGCTCAGAAATTATCGGCAGAATACATGACCCCCTATCCCCCTTGCAATCGAATCTATGGGATGTAAGTTCCGCAGTATGGGCAGTCACGCCCAGAGAAAACCCATATTACGGAACCCGATGTTAGGCATTTTGGGCAACGCTTGCCTGGAGCCTACGATTGGAAATAGTTAGATTAGCATGAGTTGCATTAGAAGTACAGGTACTAAACTAGATTAGTTACCTTTCCAGCAGTAGATGAGCTGCCGGAGCCAATTGAATTAGCTTGTTGGCTTGCCGTGCCTCCTTCGCTACATTGGGCCAATCCAGCAATTTTACTTGTAGAGTTTCCTTGCGAGATTGCCATTGTGATTGAAGATGGATTTAAAAAGGTGTTGTGTATGAGTTTGATACTACAGGAATCATGGTTTATCATCATGACGACCCGTAAATCAAACTAAGGAATGACAGGCTCAATTTCATGGTGCGCCTTTGTCTTTGATTTCGTCTCATAACTGACATATACCATGACATTAGCGTATGTTCTTAGACTATCGACTTAGGCACACATCAGTCCTTTATCCATAACTTCTTACTAATAATAGGTTGGTTAGTAGGTATGTTAGAAAACTTATCTCTAGTGAATGGTCCAACTACGAAAGCAGACGTCCTATGAACAGTTTTAGTGATTTGGTTAATAGACTTAACTTCCTCATGAGTGAATAGTTAGCGATAAAAGCTTACTAGGAAAGTACCTAGTTAAGATGAACATAATGTAAACCATAAAAACCTACACTAGGTTATTTTGATTTTAAAATATCTTAATTACTCCTCTTTTTAAATACAGATATGATTCACTTGAATTGTTTTGTCTTAGTATTGTGATGCTTGCGAGAAGCTATGAGGCTTGAAACCTTGGTCTGTATGAGCATTGATAAAGAAGAATTGTAAATACTCCTAGATACGTTTAGAGACCTCTATTCATTTCTTAGCGGACTTCTTGGGGAAAACAGAAGAAAAAGCTTTGGTTGAAGCTCTGAGTTGGTATATTGTTAAACGTCATAGAATCGCAATCCAGCCCTCCTATATTTCCCACCCAACCTCTCTTGTTGAATCTGCGGTGATTAAAACCGATCCGATGAGTTGAAAAGGCAGTATTTCCAAAGTCTAGCAAAAATAAAGACGAGCCACATTGAATTCTACCAGCCTCAAGAAACTCGTGGATCTCCAAATTCAACCAAATCTAATGTTTTGTTGGATTTCTCTACATTTAGATATCCTCGGTCTGCTGAGCCATATGATCAGACACAGCGGGTGATAGCGGCATGGAACAGCCGCGAGGTCTGGATTGAATGGTCCGAAAAGCCTTCTAGTGATTCACGGAAGCACGTGGCAAACCCGCTCCATGAGGAAATGCCACCGGCTTTTCGAGCCCCTCGATGTCTAGGTTATACTAAATATCAAAGAGAGCTAGGTGAAGTAGACTTTGGGATCATCTTTGAGAACCCTGGACCGAATGGAGATTCGAACCTGGTAACGCTTCGCCACCTATTGAGTAGCTGCCCGAAGCTAACCATAACGACGAGAACATCACTTTCCAACGCCCTTGGCGACTATCTGTTTAGCCTCCACACAATAGACTGGATGCACAAGGGACTCAGAAGCGACAATATTATATTCTTCGACACGGGACTTATTGAACCAAACCTTAGCTCGCCGTACGTTACAGGCTATGACCTTTCCCGACTAAGCGACATACCCGAAACGACTGGGAAACCCCCCTTTGTCCATCGACTGACACTTATCAGCATCTCCACGCAGTTTGGCAGGGGAAATAATCTCTACTATAAATTGTACGACGTATATAGCTTGGGTGTTGTTATCATATAAATTGCTTTACGGAAGCCTATTGAGACGATCTTAAACATCGAAGACTTAGCGACAGGGGAACTTAATAACTTACGAAACGTACGGAGGAGACTACTAGATTTATCGGATGATAATGCCGAAGAAAGCAAAAGTACATCGATATCCAAGGACTCTGAGTATCTGGTGAAAGTTATATGTGAATTTGGAGATTACCACCACGATACCGTGGAGATATGTCTTCGCGCAGACGAGGTAGAGCAGCCGATGTACAGAGGGGAGTCTCAAGCTTCTGTTACGTCTCGGATGCGAATAATGTTCAAGAAACACGTTATAGATAAGCTTCGGTTCATGAAAGAGGTACTAGGTAGCTCAGGTCAAAACGCTTTGCTATAATCGCTTTCTTTTCTAATCATGTTAAGGAAGGGATCATGAGGCATTTCCGATTCCTCGAAGACTCGGTCGGTACGTTCAGTATCATCGATTTATTTTCTATCTGAGTGTCATGTCGATGATATGCTAGGGTTCTATAAATAGGGTATCTATGATATGAAAGTTGTTATAAAGCTCTAACTGGATTTGACGGATAAGAACTCTGACTACCTACCAGATAGGTACCCAGGGGGGGTGGTGAGTAGGTCGACTATGGCGAGAGTTGAGCAAGTAGTTAACGATGGTCAACTACCCTAATCCAACTATCCTACATCGTAATGTATCGACCGTCTTCTCGACACTGTCGCCCATATAGGGGCGCTAAGCTGCGTTTTGATTTGCTACTAAAATTTGGTCGGGTGATGTCAACCAAAATCAAGCTACAGCTAAGTCCATACTTGATTTGATGTTAGGGACTCGGCTAGATTCGATATCGTTAATGTCAATGGTCCTTTCGCTATTATTTCGTCTCTATCATGGTGACTTGTGGCTCGAGTAGCTCAAACACCGATGGTAATGGGGTCTTTTCAACCCACGCTCGTATCCCTTTAGCGAACAGAACAGGATCCTGCAAATTCCACGCGTGAATAGCTTCTCTTACTACAAACGCGCGGGACCCCCTGCCTTCGTTTGTGCCCAATGACTCCAATAACTGACCCATTTCTCGCATACCCTCGACATTATCCTGCTTGCCTCCGGCGACCAGGGCGATCCTTTTATCTTTCTTTCCAACCTCTACCATGTCATCTCTGCTCCAATTACCCGTATCACGAGTCCCTGCTTCGAACAATTGTGATTTATTATTTCGCTTAATTTCTTTCACAAGGTCTTCATTTTGATACTCCGGGGCCCATCCTGTTGCTTTGAACAACCAGCTTCTCGGGCTATATAGTAGAACCGATAGCCCCATATGTACAAGCTTCGGCTGGGAGTTTAGGCTCTTCCATAAATCGTTGACTGGAGTAGCGCCTGACAAGAAGGCACTCATAACAACATCTGGATGTCGTTTTATTATTTCCATTGCTATAAATCCACCCGTTGACAATCCAACGAGATGTGCCCGTCCGTCGTGAGCATGTTCCCGGATTATTTGGGCCACGAGATCAGCAGCTAAGACGAATGAGAAAGGTTTAACATGACGTGAGCGCGAGTGCTCCGGTAAATCGGGTATGAGAAGATGGTATTCGGAAAGCTTGGGCCAACAATGTTGCCATTCAAGATGAGAGCTCAACAAGACGTGTAGCATCACGATCGTAATGGGCGCAAGAGAATTAAGCGAGGTAAAGAACAAGCCATCACTTTCCGATACGCTTTCTGTAGTCCAGCTACTGGTAGACATCGTCCTACTACCTATAGGTAATGTAACATCTCTACTCCGCCAGCTACTGCTGGTAGTTGCCGAAGATATGACCCTGCGCATCGTGGCTAGTGTGGCCTTGTGATTGTATGATAAAGTCTTGGAACCGCCGGACCGTTGCCTAACTCTCACTTAGACACCGTATCCATAGGATAAATCGTATAATTATCGCGAAACTCCGTGTTAAGGTATATTACGAAAGAAATCAATATCCTTGTTGTACTCAATTGTGCCGCAGTCATTGGAGAAGCGATATGAAATTTGCGGCGTAGCGAGGAAATAAACGTAGTTCCACTCGACCGTTGAGCCAAACGTTTATCAGGATTCCAGAACCACTTCCATCACCTGATTTTATTTTATTTTTTTCTACGCTCAGCTTGCTCTGCGAACGCCGCCTCAACGCCGAGGCCGTTACATGGTAAGTTCTCCAGACTTCCCTCGCCTGACATAGTGGGCTCTCGGAATGTCTGGATCCATCGAAGCGCATTAATGTTGCTCGAAGTCCAACATACTGGAAGAAAAAGAAGCTTAGCGTCATAAATGTGCCGGCATAGTCGTTTTCATTGGCCGGTTTCGTTGATGAATGAGGAGAAAGTCCATTCCTAGATTAGCGACTAAGGAAAATGATACGCTTTCAGATAAACCCACTGACTAGTAACGCACGGTCTTCAGACAGATCAGGTTTCATTCCATGTTATGTACGTAGTGATTTACTCTAGGGTGAGACCATATCGGGATAACCCTTGTATCAGGGGTGCTTTGATCTCACACGTGAGGTTCAAATATTATAAGACAAGGGCCGAGGTTTATAAAATACTTAAGGGTTTATGAAAGCAGAAAATTGTATCTTAAACGTAGCTGTATTATAAAAAATTTAATGTGTCTTTTGGGTCATATCAAAACTCGTATCTTACCATCACCGCACGGATCGATTCAGATATCACTAATCAAAATACCTTTGGTATTTCTCGATTCGGTCAGTTCTAGGATTAGTCCGAGGTAGATGTCGTATATCTTACACTAGGTTCACGTAATTTAACGTAACATGGCACGGTAATAATGTTGTAGCCAGCATTATCGGTCTCGTACCAGGGACTCGGATCGTGGAGTTCATCTACAATCTAGTTAGATTTCGGGAAATCCCGACGATGAAGGCAACACCAGTCTCTTGTTCTACTGACAAGCCGCGGTCCCAAAGAATGCATGCTGTCTTATTGTCCCGATATTATGCCCTGATGAGTAGATAGTCTCCGAACTAGCGAACTAAAACCCGGCCCAGGGACTTGGGTTACGAATGGCAGTCTAACAAGGATAAAATTAAGAAGTAGAGTGGATTCTTTATGTAGTTTCGATCAAGCTAGTCATCTAGTTCTATCTTAGGATAAAACCAGAATGGGGGTTGATATATTATATCATCCACTCAAAACTACTGCACCAAATTTCGTCCAGATTGGTTGACATCGTGCATTCATATATATCTTAACTGTTATTAACTTAAGAATTCCTCTCACACCTCGTTTCAACTTTTGTTAGGGGCTACTACTCTAAGAATCAATCATATTAGCACCCTGTTCTTAGAATGGCCTATCGTCTTAACACTGAGTAGTAGATTCCCTAGCCGCCGGAGCTAAGGAAGACGGCTATAACGGTAGTAAGCTTGAGGTACAAATCGACAATATATCGGAATAACCTTTCACCATGGCCCTCATTACCGAAGCAACTATTCTATACCTCGAGTAGTAGTACTCGACAACGAATATACCCAGGTACCAACCATCCACAACGCCATGTTCAATGTAGACGAAATATAAATATTATTAATTAGGTACATACTAAAGCATAACAAATAGCATCGCTAATAGCAAACATCAGCGAGAATCCACAGCTGCTAAGTAGGAAACCTCCTAAGTTCTTTCTACTTTTATAATTGCAGGCTTCGGTCGTTGCACTGAGCTTCCAGAGAATAGAGACTTAGACTTTTGTTTAAGTAAGTCATACACGCCTATGTCAGCTACTGGCGTTGTCGGCGTACCGGTAATGATGCTGGTAACAGTGTTGGAGGTTGATTCCCAATCTAATAGATGTCCCTCATCATCCGTCTTGCCCGGGGCCAGCTTACTAGACTGACAGCCGCTGCGAAGCTGCTCCGCAACGTAACCGTAGCTTTCTCGCACTTTGAGCCAGAATGGACGCAGAACAGGAAGGCAGAGCGAGAAGATGGCTAATTCAGGCTCTAGGACACGGAGGTGCATATCACGACTGCCGTAGGAGACTACTGTAGCCGTTATAGACTTGTCTGCACGTAGAAGAGCGTGTATTCGGATGCAGGAGACCACAGTGACGCTGGGATTGACATTAATTCCTGTGACATATAATTTATCGGACGGCTAACTTACCACATTCCCAGACCAAATAGTATCGTCAGATTTATCTTAGACCTAATCCTCATCTTCAGCGTCCAGATAGGCCGTATGGGTAGAAGTAGGACGACGGCATTTGTGATTACATTGAAAACTGCATTTCCAATGTCGATCTTCTTATTATCCACAACGTGACCGAATACTGGCTTTCCCCAGACGTCTGACGCGACCTCCGAAAGGGTGAAGACTTGTACATATACTGATATATACGCCAGTAATATGAGAAAACTGATGATCAGGCAGAGTACTCGGAACGACCTATGGATAAATATTCTCATGTATAAATATATGGCGCTGAGTTTTGTGAAGCACATGGAAGTCAAATAGAGGGATTCGAAAACAAGGAGTATCTAGTATAAATGTATTAGCATATCTCATAAGGATTTAAGTAACCCTCAAATAAATATACTTACACAGAGAATACCCCTGTCGATTCGGTCTGGCGAAACACGATAATATCCTCCATTCCATACTAATTAAAGGTTAGCAGAGCCGCCTCTAAGGTGAGAACTTGACATACAATAGATAGAGACCGCAAATAATGCAACCTCCAGAACAACAGCAATCAGGATAAACCCATCGTCCCATCCAATACCTTTCGTCAATATCCTGCAATGGAAACGTAGCCCAACTGCGACCAGGCTGATAATGAATACGGTGCAGCTGATAGCGAACACAGGCACATCCATATTATTGCGGGCTGAGGTCGAGCGACCGAAGTTTTACTGTATTTGACGCTATAGCGCATTTGAAATTGATATATATAATTTTCTTAAACGGTCATAATGATAGATTTGCCTTGGTGCTTCGTGATTCAAGAATTTCAGTCACATTGGTTGGAGTTGCGCACACTCGTGTAGGCATCGTGTAGGCAGGAGGCTGAGGCCAACTCATAGCCTTGCATCGTGTGTCGCACACCAACAATTCAGATCATATGTACCATGAATCTAATTGTTAATGTTAGTGAATTCAATTTTATCTTCTAAGGGTTCAAGTCACTATCAGTGGATTAATAGATCTAAATCAGTGAATAAGTGTTAAATGTATCCTAGTAGTTAGATTTACTCCAGTATCTTAACCAATCCGGTATTAGAGTCGCTCATTACTTAAGCCTAATTGATTGTTTTTGAATCATTATTTAACTGTCTTGGCTGTTTCCTAAATTATTGTAGGATAACGTCACCTGTGACTGTACTACACAGCGCATAGACCTAATCTCTTAGCAAGGCCATCATATTTTAATACCCTTACCTGTGATCCTTATCATGTAGGTATCAAGTATGAAACCACGTCTTGAATTGATAGATAAGAGGTAGTTATTAAGTGTCTGTAGAGTAAAGGCCGCGAGTATTGAGATAATGCCAACTAGGTAAACTTTCGTTGTGGGGATATAATGAAATACACTACTTAGAAGATAGGATAAATGTCTGCGAAAGTACTCAACGTATGGCGAGGTATGATATATTGGTAAGACAGATATAAATTCAAAATAAGGTGTAGTTACTAAAGAACATAGCAATGACCTAGATTTTCTAATAGCGAGAAATGCACCTGATAAGCTTCGAATGTTCAAAAAAATATAATATAATATAACTATCTAGGTGGCTATTCTCAGGGTTAAAAGTATTCAATGAGTTATCAACGTCACGGACAACTTGACAGTACTTGCGCAAGGAAATAATTGAGTCTAGAAAACATCAAATCAGTTAGTTTCTCTACTTCCCCCATCCTCCTAAGATCATACTGGTTATGGATCTTGGGTATGCTATAGCTTAAATAACCTATACTAATATCTAAACTCATCCAGTAGTAGGATATATATATGGGATAGGATGGTTTGACGGCAAGTTTAATAAACTCTGATCTGACATCTACTTGGCTCGGTGATCCATATGGACTTTTCACGGTATTGTTATAGTTACGGATAATGGCTTCTATAACGAAGACTCTAAAGTACTAGAGTCATGAAGCTAGATTCTGACCTTCAGTTTGAACAATTAAGGAATTCTTGACGAAGTTCTTCCAAATGGTGGAATTTAATTTTCCGTCCCGCGTTGCCTTGGTACCCAAGGTAAATACTCACTGGGCGCTTTGTGCTATTTGCGATAGGTTGGTGTGAGTACGGTACAAATGGCACAGAATAAAGTTAGTATAAATTCAAAAGTCTTGTAATACGCATGAAGAAATACACTTGACTTAATTAGTTGAGATAGTATTTGAAATTTTATGTCATTCGACTCAATACGACCTACCTGCATGAAGAATGCAACTTATTATGCAGTTGGCACGTCTTGGCATTGGGTTCGTCTATCAACTGACATATAGGGTCTCATCCGATCCTACAGCAGGTCAACGGGGACCTGGCCGGACTGCAGAAAACCTGCATGGCCGAAAACTAGCTTTAACCGCCCCTATAGCCAGCACGGCAGCGAGTATATAGGGGGCGATACATCAAAACCGGGCTACTAGCGTATAAATATTTACGCGTCAATAAACATGAAGAGTAGCATGTTAATAACACGAAGGCCCTTAACGTAGTATCGGCTTTATTCCTTAAGGAGAAAAGCTTTGCCTGCGGATATGGATCTGACCCCAAATAAAATACATGAGTGGGAGAACGGCACAAGCTGTCTTTGGTGCGCTTGTCTCCGTCGCGGGCCTCGACTCGTATTTCAATTGTATGTCGCGGGAGATCTTACCCCAGAAATCCGGATATCCATATTGCTTCTCCACAGCGGGTGAGAGGCTTTACCCCTGGTTCTCGCTCATTATATGAACAAGACAGCTCGCCGGTGCGTACCTGGACATATCGCACGCTCGTTCGAATTGCATGTCGATCCCGCATGCACACTTCGGTTGGTTGCATCTAACTAACTAACCTAGCCGCTTATCTTACCTCGAGATGCATTACCTCCGAGCTTTACTCTTTGCGACTCTGTCGTCGCTCGCCGAGGCGAGCTTACAAGTAGTACCCGGCGCTACTTGGACTACGGTACAACCTTTTCAATCCTAAAATACAAATCGTCGTAGCATAACCCCTATTCCCCCCTATTTTCCCCTTGCTAACCCCTTTTTCAATCCCATCTTCAACTCCACAACAGCTCCACACCAAACACAACCTGCTGTATAGGCACTCAGCCGCTAACATATCCTCGTATAGTCAAACAATGAGCACTTGCAAGCCCACGGTGCCGGTGTCATCAAGGTCGGCTCTACATACTACCTAATCGGCGAAGACAAGACGGAGGGAAGTGCCTTTCAGAACGTCAACTGCTACTCTTCCCCAGACTTGGTGCAATGGACCTATGTCGGCGCGCTCCTCTCGCGTACCGCCAGCGGCGACTTAGGCCCGAGCAGGGTCGTAGAGCGACCGAAGGTCGTTCATAACGCCAAGACGGGCAAGTACGTGTTGTACATGCACATCGACTCATCCAACTACGGGGAAGCCAAGGTTGGCGTGGCGACTGGTGACTCCGTGTGCGGCAAGTACACGTACGTCAACTCGTATCAGCCACTTAGCCACCAGAGCCGTGACATGGGTCTATTCGTCGACGATGACGGCGCGGGTTACTTGTTAAGCGAAGACCGCCAGAACGGCCTGCGCATCATGAGGTTATCCGATGACTACCTCACCGTGGCGAGTAGCACGTACCTGTGGTCTGACAGCATCGAAGCTCCGGCTCTGCTTAAGCTGAATGGACGCTACTACATGTTCGGCTCGAAGCTCACCGGCTGGGACCCCAACGATAATGTGTACAGCACTTCGACATCTCTGACCTCGGGGTGGAGCGCGTGGAAGACATTCGCCGACGCCGGCAGTAAAACATACACCTCACAGACCAACTACGTGCTACCAGTCGGCAGCAACGCCGCCATCTACCTCGGCGACCGGTGGGTGAGCAAGAATCTCATGGCATCGACATACGTATGGCTACCCCTAACCATCAGCGGGACCACCGTGACCATGGCCAACGCCGAGTCCTGGGTTCCAGACCTATCCTCGACATCGTCTTCCTCATCGAAAGCCAAGCCGTCGGAGACAGCGTATGAAGGCGAAGCCGCTGTATATGGTGGCAAGACGCGCAACGTAAGCTGCAGCGGGTGTTCTGGACAGACGGCGGCAGGCTATGTGGGAGGTCCGGATAAGGGAACCGTGACGTTCCGGGGAATACGAAGCGACGCGAATGCGCGCACAACCGTGCGCATACGTTACGTGAACGGAGACAGCTCGGCGCGATATGCAAACGTGCGAGTGAACGGTGCCGCTGCGCAGAAATTAGCATTCCTACCAACAGGCAGCAGTGTGTCTAGTAGCACACTACACGTCGATCTTAAGTCCGGCAGTACAAATGAGATAGTCATTGAAGGCATAAACGATGGATGGGGACCTGATATTGACAGATTGATAGTTCCTGTGCAATAAGTCTAGTATGACGATACTAGATTAAAGAGGTTGGAGGAATGAATGATATTGATACAAAGTATATAGAACCCGAGGTATCATGAGCTCTAACAATGTAGGCTCTGTATGTTGACACTGCGAGTTGATTGTCATACGTTAGAAGTGTTACCCCCCAACTTGTATTTCCACATGCGCCTTTCATACCAGTCAAATTTGACCTTCCAGGCTCTTCCATTCATATATGTATACCAAGCCCCCAAAACTAAATGCTACATTGCTCTACAATCCCTGCTAGAAAGCTCGAGGAGATAGACGCTTTAGAAATAGCATTGGCAATAGCCGCCGGACCAGCCGAGGAAATAACAGCTAAGCAACACGGATTCGAGGGATAATCCCTCGCTTGTTTCACACCCTCTGTTCGACAATAACAACAACATTCGACAACCTAGGTAACGACGCCTACCACCTCCCCCCAACTTGCCTCCAACGATACGGCAACATTAGAACCACACAACCTTGCGCCCGTCCCCTCCAACTCCCTAAAGGGAGGATTGACAATTATTATTCTGGAAACTCCCTGAACTAGGAAACCATTTCGCGTTGGATAGACCGTTCTCAGACGGTAACATATAATAGAAATGCTAGGAACGACATGTTCCTAACAGTGTTGACATATGCGGCATGTAGGCTTGCAGTCAAGACTGCGGACCAAGTCATTGCCCCATAGTGGCGTAGCTAACTCTATTGGCAAGATAGATATTGCCTTAGGTAGTCATTTGAAATGCCCGACTAGTATTAAGTTTTCGCAACTGGCGCCCAAGGAGCTGTGCCTACAATAATAAGTCGCAAATCTCGTCTGGGATGGGTGCAATACTATGATATAGCAAAGAAAATGGTATCAAGTCGTAATGAGCCATAAACGCCGCGCCAGGTCCTGTAAACAAACGTGTTGCAAGTTGATAATGTGAATAAACCAGATGAGTCCAGAGGCGAATTCACTAAGACGTAGTGTCAACTGATCACCAGCCTTTCTTCCTGGCAAAGCGCTTATTTAGCAAGGCCAGTACCTTCGTGACATTGAATTGCACGTATTCCAGATCCAAGTCGTCTTGGTTGTCCTTCTGCATTTCTAACAGGTCGTCAAGCTTCAGGTCAAGTTCTAATAGACCACGGTTGCGCCCTATATGCCAATTAGCTGGGGAACAAAATGAGCCAGGCTTATTATAACTAACCTTTATAATGTAGCGAAATGACAAAGGTCCCCGGTAGAGGACTTGTGAAATTGAAGTAGATGTTAGCTCTCCTATTGTCGGGAACATTGCTCTTCTGGATGACACCTTCCTTTTCTAGCTGTTGGTGAGTAAATTTGTATGGTCCAAGAACTTGCTGCTTCTGCTGCTTTCGTCTCGTGCCTTCGGATTGACTTCGTACGTTGTGAAGATAACTCTTGTATGTCTCGAGTTGGCCAACAAGGTACGCGTTATGATCTCTGATAGTCTTGTAGACTTCTTCGAGTTTAGCTGTCTCAGCGATTACACCGTCTTTCAAGGAGCCTAGATGTTGTAGCTCCTGTTCGACCTCATCCCTTAATAAGCCAAATTGGTCGGACTTATCAATAACCTTCATCTCTTGAAGTTGACTAAGTAGTTCCATGGCACGGATACCTTTCCGAACCATCACCGCGTCATTTCTTGACGTAGCCGCCGCATCCGCAATTCTCTCTAGACGCAGGGGCCGCCGGGCGACTGAGCTGGTAGCAGGGATAGAGCGCATAACTTGTACGAAGATGGACTTGGCTTCCATAAAGTAGACTTCCTCCTGCGTGATGTCTAGGGCGGCAGTCAGATCGTCTATGGCTGTCTCCCATCGGCTAAATAGGGGAAGGTTGATAGCCCTATTCTCCTTTCGAGGTACTTGTGTAGGTGCGTGACCTAATTCGGATATAATTTGAGCCAAGTGTGAATTTTCGTCCTTACACAGTTCCCCACAATGCTTTTCGATCAAAGAGTGCATGGCATATATCTCGTTTAGGGTAATAGAAAGCTCAAGGTCCTTCTTCGACAGCGCTACGTAATTATCCATCTCGAGACTCTCATAAAAATCTTGGACTTCACAGAGATCCAACATGAACTTGTTGACGCGGTCCTTGTTCTGTTGGATGAATGGCTGTAACTTGGCCATGTATGGTTCTTTTGCATACGATGGCTTATTAGCCAGGTTCTGTAGCATCTTAGCGACCAATGTGAGAGTTCGGCGTGGTCGATCAGACGGCACTCCATCGATGAGCATGTATGATTTCGGTGTGACGATGGCGGGATTGATGAAACGTAGGAAGAAAAAACCACCGATCAACGTGCAGATAACCTGATCGTTCGCGTCGGGATACTTTCGTTTGGTCAAACTTCGAATCTGTTTACATATCCATCGGATCCCATAGGGGGCCTCGTCAAGCCCATCAATGATTGTTTGTAGGAAACCGTTGGCGATTTCCGTTAACATTGTCAAACGCGGCTCTATAATTTTCTGTACCTGAGGATTTTCCGCTGCTTGTTCGCCAGTGATCCCCCTAGGAAGTGATGGCGGAAGGCTACCGGTATCCTCCTCGATCTGTTGACACATGCGTTCGTAGACTTTCAAAGGATTGATCTCAAGATCTAGATCTGTTAACTCGATTAGGCTGTTGATTCTCTGTGCCAATACCGATCGCAAGAAGCTCTGCCCCGGCCCACGCCTAGTGTAGGTGGTCATCATACGAGAAACCGGCGTATTGGCTCGGAGAAGAGATGAATATTCGGGAGTCGTATCAAATTGGTAGGTAAGGACAGACTGGATACAGTTAATCAGAACCACGCCATCACGAGGGGATGGTTATCGACTTACTTGAAACATAGTCAAGAGGAGATGTTCTTCTCGGCTTTCATACTGGTTTCCATATATAGTAAACATAACTGTCTGCAGAAGCGAGTCGATCTCAGACATAGAAACCAATCTGCAGAGATGTGCAATATGCCTGGGCTCAGATTGCAACAAGAACAGAAGATTACCATATTTCTGCGTTTTGTCGTCGTTAGGAAACGCGCCCTCCTGTAAGTCGGTCGCGTCTTCGAGATGGCTGGCCACTTCGTTTTGCTAGATATCCGTTTAGTCGCGATGGTATTTATAGGACAGGAAATTTGACAAACCTCTTCTAATGCCATTCGATTTTGAATAAGTAAAGCAATTCGAGAGTCGAGATACCGAACATCCTTTTCAAGGACAAAGTTCTTCTTCGACTGCGAAGAGATTTTAGACTTCAACTCGCGCAGTATCTTCTGTGCTGTAATCCACCCCCAATGTTAGCATTGTACCATCTCACCGAAATCAACTCTCGTGACCCTCTTACCTTTTGCGAGATCATCTTCAATTTCTAAATCCGACTCGTTTGCCGACATAGATAGGTACAGAGCTGACATAGACATTCGCTTAGACTGTCGCGCCGAGCGCGAGCCCTCATAGGAAGACATGGTGTTTTGACGCGATATCGGTTGGAAGGAGGAAGACGAGGCCGTCGACGCCCTAGATGGTGTTTGTAACATGACTGACATGTTCGAGAGTAATAACTTAGTTTCAATCGTTCAATGGCGTTAATGCCGCTCGCTGACAACACTATAGTAGCAAGCTAAGCACAACAACGAATTGCGATCATTCCAAAATACCAAAACATCCAACTCAACACCGAGACACGCCTTTATCGAACCTGCACTGTCGTTATATTTACAATCTATCGGACTTCGATAAGTATACTCTACAAGAGGCAGTAGTAGAAACAGTCGAGAAATTGTCTCATCGATCGCGTAATGCTAGATTTATGTTGAATTGCTCGATCTACAATCGATATACGTGGGCGTGAATTATTCCGCCAATGCGTAGAATAGATCGGGGTCGAGGAAGGCACAACGATCCAGCGAGGGCCAGATTAAACGTGGTTAAACCGGAAATGTTTCGATTTTCGGGTAGTTGATTTAGATTCCCGCAAGGGAGGTTTCTTCTGACTGCTTATCGATCGGCCAACAAGGTGGGCGAATGCGTATGGATGGATATACGTATAAAGCCAAGAATCGACTGCGATTAAATAAGACAATCGGGAGTCTTGTGGTCTATCACCAATTACGGAGAGCGGGTATCGTGATAAGTTTCCCGTCCCGGATTATATCGACAATTTTCGGTTGGTCTGCTACTGAAGGTCTGACAACGTAGGGCCGGTCTGAACGGACGATGAAAGGGCTGCGCTGGGTTGCGCTGCGACAAAACTAGCCGCAGAATTGGAAGAATTAAGTCGTACACACGGATAAGTCTCAAGACATAGGGTCCTCAAGAGGTTATGCTAGATGTTGCACGGAATTGGTTGGAAATTGACTAAGACGAAGAAGGCGAGAGAGGGGTCGGCGCTCAATGACTGGGCTGCGACAGGGCGCAAGATGGTCGGGGTGTACGATTGTGTGGTGTACAATAATAAAGGGGTGGGAAGTTCTTGTCTTGGATAACTGCGGGATGGTGGATGGGTAGAAACACTTTTTTGGGGGGGGCCTTTGGGGGGGGAAACTCGAGAGTGTATGTAGGTAAAGTGGGTGAATGTAGATGTATGTAGTAGGTACGCCTATAGGTACCACAGCCACGTTGATAAAATAATAATAAAAAGGTGATAATTCGGTTAGATAGTCGGCTGCATGTACAAAAGCAGAAGGAAAGGCTTGACGCTATCGATTAATCCGGAAGTGACCTGGGTCTAGGTAACACTAACAGTATATAATAGCTGTAAAGGGGGAAGGAACATGAAGATACCGTAAAAGGTATTTAGTAAGTATTATTTAATAATGTGAAATGTACCTATATTCCGTAAATGCTTAAATGATAGACGTCGAAGATAAAAATTCAATTGTGAAATCAAGATAAAAAATAGATGTCAGTTAAAGTATGTAAGGTCAAAATACATAGGTAGTTGTAGCCTCGATCCTTTTTTTTTTTTTTTCGTTCTTCTTTCT